AGCGCCGCGCCGCCTCCATCGTCGTCGTCCGTCGTCGTCGTCCGCCGCAGAACAGAGCAGAACAGAACTGCCGAGGACGCAGCCGAAGCCTACTCTACTAGTTAGTAGCACCGTTTATACGTTTAGCCGGAGGGTCGGGGTCGGCAGAGGTCGGGTGAGTCCCACTGTAACTAAGGCCTTCGGCCAACCCCCCATTCCCTGGTACTCCTGGTACTCTAGAGTACCTACACTACCGTACATACACTACTTGACTATGCGTCAGTGCTTACATACCACTCCGGTCAGCGCTACTTACGCATGTGCTAGTAATACTGGGTAGTACAACCCAAGCACAACCCATGAGTAAACAAAACCACGAAGGGAACAATTATTTGCATTCGTCTTCTGTACGGGGGTTCCCAGTGCTGTTGAGGTTTTGTCTATTTATTTATGTTTCCCATCTATTCCCTCCCCCCCTTCATCCTTCCACCCTCCACCCCCCAGGTCCCCCCTCCCCCGTAGAGATGGAGATGGAGATAGAGATATGTGGGGAAATCGGGTCCCGTCCTCCCCCCAACCCCAACTTCCAAGGGATCGTATCGGGGATGTGCGCGCAGCAGTAGCACCAGGGCCATGGTACACAAGCTACAAACGATTGCGGGCCCGGCCGTGAGTGAGATGTAAGTAGGTAGGTAAGTATGTACATAAGCAGCTTCCTGATGTGACAACCGCCGTCCGCCTGCCGAGGGGTGATTGATATGTATCTGACATGTATCTCCCGCGGCGTTGAAGCCGGCGTTGTGGGCACGGACAGGTACGGACAGGCACGGACATGGCGGGGACATTGGCGGAGATCTTGTAAGACCGGACCGTATGGGAGATCAGCCGGAAGGTCTGGCTGGTGCAACTTATTCCATTAGTTGGTTAATTTTGCGCGGACGAGCACGAGATGCCCCCAGTGTATGTAAGTATTCGGCCCATCCACCCCCGAGACAGACCGGAGAGACCGGAGAAACCGGGCCCTCTCGTCTCTCGTCCTACGCCTTCGGCCCATCTAAATCTCATCTCAAGTAACTACGTTACGTATCTACGTACGTACGTACTTAAGGGAGAGATTACTAGATTAGATTGCCTATCTACAGCCTACATACACTGTACAGAGCTCATCTCCCCCCTTGCCCACGTGCTCTGGCCGTCGGCATATCACTAAGCAAAGCAAAGCAAAAGACCAGGCCAAAGACTCTCCCCGTAGTGTACATACGTCGGGATCGTCACCAGAGACTCCAGAATCCAGAGTCCGTCCCCGGCGGACAAGCTGTTGGAACTGGTATGTACCTAGATAATAGCTTCCTGGCCGTGACAACTAACCAGGTACCTATTTCCTAGGTAGACGGGGGTTCTAATAATACCGCGTTTGATATATCTACAGGTCCTATACACATCTGCAATGCGGGAAATCGGGACCTCCCATTACCCAACCCCCGAAGCGCCAAGAGTCGTCGGTCGGAGCTCGCGGCCATGGGTGCCGATACTGGACAGTCGGGCTGGGGAAACGCACAGCCAAACCCTGGGTAGTAGGTAGGGCCATCAGATTAATAGCTCTCATGTACGTAAGTAAGGGGGAAGGATGGGGAGGGGATGGGGATGGGGAGGGTCTGGCCAGTCGAATTATTCAGGGGGGTTCGATGCCATTCTCGACCAGCAGCTGCTGATGCTGCTGCTGCTGCTGCTGCTGCTGCTGCTGCGGGGCGCTTACCTACTTCTTTACATTTGTACCTGTGGAGCCCTGTCGAGACTCGAGAATGTGATAAGTATTTTTTGCCTCGGGCCGTATGTGCGTGCGAAAAGTGATCGTCAGAACCTCAGGGCTTTCGTTCGGTATGCGCCCAGACGGAGGATTTTCGGGTAGGTAGTTAGTATGTATCATAACTGCTTCTTAGCATAGGCCTTGCTGTGCCTAAGTAGGTATGATGTAGGTGGCATATCAGCCAGGAACGGAATTTCTGGTGGCGTCCGAAGGGCGCTGGCTGCTGGACGGAGGGAGGGATATCTTGCATCAGGTATGCATACACATGTACCAGGAGCTGCCAATAAGTGGTGGCTCACCACCATTACGAATTATAAGTACTAGTCTATATTAGAAGCGCACTAAGCCAGATACAATGAAATGAGTGAGTGGTTGTGACTAAATTGTATGGGGGAAAACGCTAAGTCGTATGGGGGAAAAACTGGTGAGGCAGCACTTACCCTTACATCCGAGTACATACACATGTACCATATGCACCGTATGTATTCCACGGCATCGACGGAATCGACGGACTCCAAAGTCCTACGGCCATTCCATAGCGGCGGGAGGCATGTATAGTAGGTATAGCACCTATAGTGTCTTGATAATCGAATGTCTCAAACACCCCATCGCCGACTACTTAGGTACCCGTGGTAACAGGACCGCGGGAAAGCGGAAAAGAAAAAGAAAAAGCAAGCCGTGAAGAAGATAGATACCTAGATGGATATCATTTTTCCATGGCGACGAGTAACTGCTAGTAGATAGGTAGGCAGCCAGCATCAGGCTCCTGTTGAGCTCCCCGTGGGAACCGCGAACTATAGTATGAAACTCTTAGGGATGCCTGATTACCGTAAAGTATGAGCCGTAACGGTAAAGTGTCACGTAACGATGTAAGCTTGGCAGTGCTGGGTGGCTGGCGCCGCTTGAACCAGCCAATAGCCGGCCGGGGCGGGCAGTACCAGCCACCCAGCGACCACCACCAGCCACACCAAGACCAAAACCAGCCATCACTAGCCGCCTTGGCAATAACTTTACCGTCACGACTCATGCTTTACTGTAATATTACGTGACATTACGTGACATTACATTACTGTAAAGTTACGGGCGGCATCCCTAGAAACTCTATAGCACTAGATATGCCGTACTGTAGTCTGTAACTCCCCAACGTCAGCAAAAAAACAGTGGTGGTAGTAGAGAACGCAGGGGGGTTGTGGGATGAGAGCTGGAGCTGGGGCTTATGCAATGCAGTTCACACATCATAAGCGACCAGCCGCGGGTGGGGCGTGGGCGGCGGCGGTGGGCGGGGTTTCTTACTTAGACACTGCTACGCTATACAGGACTAGTAGTTAGTAGTAGCCCTGCATAAGTGCACGAAATTCACGCCCCAAATCAGAAAATCCTCAAACCCTAGTACCGTAGTTTCTTTTTCTTTTTCTTTTTCTTTTCTTTTTTCGTTTGTGGCTGCTGTGCTCTGCAGACTGCGGTTGTGGTGAGGCTCGGTAACGGTTTTTGTATGTAGAGCAGCAGAGGGGCCTTATTTCCCATGGTGAAGATCCGCATCGTGCTAGTACGGTACCGGTAGTTTTTGCTGGCGACGGATTGTTACTGGCTGAATACCTATGAACCGTGGTCTTTGGCGGGGGAAAGCAAGAATTATCCGGTCGGTCGGCGTGTGGACGTTTTGGAGCTACGTACGGGGATGAGATAAGTTTTGAGTCTGGTCTGCTATGTAGAGACTACTGGTTCGCCGGAGGAGGAGGATGGGGAGGATGAGAAGGACGGGGAGGACGGGGAGGAGGTGGCGGGGTGCAGCGGTTGAGTTCGATGCGGAGGAAGCGACGGAGGACCTCCGTCCCAAACGCAAACGCGTATGTACGACCGTAGAAGTGGCATGCCCAATCACGATCAAAATGCTGAATACCCACCGTATATGCATATGATGATGGCCACACCGACACGACGCTACCGTATAGTTAGCGGAACCCGTGCGGCGTGGACTGCACATGCCACAACCCGCCTCAGATGCACACACAGCCTCAGATGAATCTCGCGCATCAAATGTACCGGTATCACTATATGTATTCTATTCCAACCTCCTACTCGAGCTTCTGTTTTCAGCATTGGGTGTGTGGCAGACCACAAAACCTGCAGCTGTATTGCAGCTGTATGTAGAGTATGGCTGTGTATGGGTGTGTGTGAATGTATTCCTCGAGCTTCGAGAAGCTCATATATACGGTAATAATGAACGCTCTAATGTGCGCCACTTTGTCTCACTACATCATACATAGAAGCCCATTCAAGTCTTCTGGAAAAGAAAAGAAAGAGGGAGGAGGGAGAGAAGGGGAAGGAGCGAGTTGGAGGACTGGAGAAATGGAGAAATGGGGGTGGTTTTGCTTTTCTTCTTCTATGGATGTTGACGTCTTCTCGACCTCGTGTTCACCATTGGGATGTGGGTGCCACCCTCCCCATCCCCCTCTAAACAGCTGTGGCGGAGCGATGGGGGAGCTGTCGGCGGGAGCAAACGAATATGGTTAGTACATAGCGGTAGGCATCAACGTTAGCGGCCATAGCGAGGTCGACCGAGTAGGCTCGGCGGGGTCTTCTTCTTCTTCTTCTCCTTACACACTCGATCATCCTCTACTGAATAGACGATCAACCTCTATCTCCTCTTTCTTCTGTGTATGTGCTCTTTTCTCAACCCCGCCTCCGGAAGAACAAGAAGAACAACAAGAAAAAGAAATCTCGTGAAAAAGAGCTCGTGGAGGCCAATGCCCAAAGCCCGAAGCTCACGGCGTCAGCGGCAGTCGATAACACACACACACACACACACACACATATGCCAGGTACACTCTACCTATACCGCCTATAGGTACCACCTATACCACCTATCCAACCATGTAAGTGTATACATACACCGAGGGGTTTAGCAGATCTGACTGGGTAGTACGAATCGACGGAGATCCACGAAAATGTGGCGAACGAACGAAAAAAAATGAAGATGCATGCTCTCTCCTCCGGGAAACTAAGCACTCGGAGACTCGGAGTTCAAATTCGCATTCGATCCCCTGCTCGGTCCGTCCGATCATGCCCCCTTTTGTTCCTCTAGGGGAAAAACGGTGGCTGACTTGAGGGGAGGGCGGGACCGCGTGCTTTGGCTTTGGCTTGTCGGCGGTGAGCGGCGGACGGCGGGCGCGCAGACAGGGGATAACATCTACCGACAGAGCCTAAAGGTTCCCTCATATCCCGGGCAGAAGAATACTTACTAGTATGTATACCTACTCTAGATCCGTTTCATCTGATGAAGTGACTATTTTGGTGGGTGGCAGACTGGCAGTGAGCACTGGTGGTGCACTGGTGCTCGCTCGTGCTCGTGGATCCTCGGGATGGTGGGTTTGCCTTTTGAAACGGGATTTGTATGTATAATATATACTACCATATGACATATGATATGACCCGGGCATGCTGGCTGACTTTGGTGAACGTTCAACGTAGTGCGCACAGCTCGTGACAGCGGCTAGCCGTGTCTGCACTCTGCACTCGTGTCGTGCGGTGGATAGGTACTCTACACACTCTACATACACGCACCGTACATACATACCCTCCTCGCGTGGTAGGTATCACTTCACTTCGCCCCGGGGACCAAACAAAGACCGTCAAGCGATGTCGACGCCGGCGGATCACTCTATAGTACTCACTCTATGCACCCTGACTTCAAACCCATGTGTGGTAGATCACGTCTCGGGCGTTATATACATCGGCTCTCCGAAACCAGGAAGTAGGGGGGTGGGCAGCCATAACAACCGGTGGACAGCCGGCATTAACGGCACGGACAACTCCTTCTTCCAGTCGGACAAGGAGCACGAGGAGCACGAGGAGCACGAGGAGCACGAGGAGCACGAGGAGCACGAGGAGCACGAGGAGCACGAGGCGGGGACCGACAGAGGGACACCAAACCTTCGATTGGGTCTGGCCGCCTTCCCGTTTCCACCTGCCGTTTGTGTGTTGGTCAAGCCGCCGTTACTCTACTTTACACACCATACTCTAGCTGACCAGTGGACAGAAGGATTTTCGGAATGTTCTTCGCTGATTTTGATTGCGATTGGGAGGGGGTTTCCTTCCCATGCAGGCTTGCGTCCGTCCGATGTTCCCATTCGTCCAGAGTTCAGAGACGGAGCCACACCCGAAAGTGTATCTGGTTACTTACAGAAATGAACATCAGACACGTGCTCAGATCAAGTGCGTATGATGTACCGTATGCACTCCAAGTACTCCAGGTAGTTAACCGCCGATGATGGCTGACATTCGATACCTATGCTACATAGGCGGTGCCACCAATCTGCTAGTTAGCGCGCATCGTGAAGTGTGCTCGGCCGTCTCAGCCCACACTTCCTCTAGGTACTCTAGTGAGGTCCGGGAGGAGTGGGGTTGGAGGTTTCAGGGGAGTGTGGCCCGGTGGTGCGGAGGAGGAGGAGTCGAGGAGGAGGAGGGTAGGAAGGGTTCGGGCATTCTCTTCAGTCGCTCGGTCGCTCGGTCGTTCGGTCGGTCGTTCGGTCGTTCGCTCCCTGCACATCATCCTGCTTGACTTTTCTTTTTCTTTTTTCTCTTTTCTTTTTCTTCTTTTTCTCCAACCTCCAACGTCCAATCCCTTTATCCCTGCCATCTTTTTTTCTTTTCTTTTTTCCTTTTTTTCTTTTTTCTTCCCGTGAAACCCATTCGGAGGGGAGTGGAGGGAAGGGAAGGGGACTGGGACTGGTACGGTCTCGATAGCATCGAGATGGATGATACACTGATACACTGATACAGTGCTCTGCGTTCATAGGCACACACATATGCACAACAATCCTCTCTTTGTTTTTCTGGCTTTCGCACCGGCATCATCACCCCCAGCATCACCATCATCATCGTGCGTGCGTGGGTGGGTGCGTTCGGCGGTGTTTCCACACCAAAACACCAAAACATCCCTCAGCGGTGGGGCAGGTAGAGGCAAAGTTGGAACCGTAGGGTAGGTAAGTAGAGTGTGGAGCCTTTCGTTGAAGGGGAAGATGGATGGGTGGATGGGTGGATGATCATGGATGATGGCTGCTGCTGATGCTCATGCTGATGCTGATGGCGCCGGACCGGAGAAGGCGACAAGTCGTTTTTCGTCGTAGTAGATAGATGGAGCCCTCGAGATCCATCCTACTACTCTACTCCATTCCACCCTGGCTCTGCCGCTGTCGACGGGGGGAGCCTGGAGGGGTGGGTTACTGCTGGTGGGAGCACAGCATGGAGGATCCTCAGATGTCAACCAAACAAACCCCCCTTCAACCCACCCTTCCATACCCAACCTACCCAACACACCCATACCCAACCCAACCCACTCTATATTTCCACTTCCTAGTCCAGCCGTTAGTGATTTGTTATATACGCGCAACGGAACAGCACTCCATCTATCTCACTACCCTCCCCCTCCACCCCTATGTTTGCGCGCCCGCCCGTGGTTGGCGTAATTATACGGCTGTCATACAGCGACGCACGGTAAAAGTAGAGTAGAGTACTCTACTTACCGTAGAATACAGTGCGTGTGTGTGGGAGGGAGGGAAGGTTTAGCGCCTGCGACGACCGACGATGTGTGTGTGTGGGAGGGAGGGATCGAGAGAAGTTGAGAAGGATCATGCCTTTTTGCGTGAACCGGTCGGTCGGAGGAGTCGGAGGTGTGGCCGTTGATACTTCGGCGTCTCTCTCTCCACCACAATCATCATTATCATCATCAAGGGCCATGGGCTATGGAGGGAGGGCTCAGAGAACTCGCGCGATCCAAGTTCACCGATAACTAGAACCGCGCGTCGTGATTGGCCGGTCGGTGCAGAAGTTGAGTACTAGTAAAACCCACACACCCACACAAACCCACACGAGCACGAGCACGCACACACGCAAGCACGCAGAGGAAGAGAGAGCTCCAGAAAGGCACGCACGCAGGCAGGCAGGGAACAGGGCAACTACATAACTTACCCGCTGCTGTCTCAGTTGACGGAAGACGAGGGATGATGTATGTTGTGTGCTTTGCAGCCAGCCAGCCAGAAGCCAGCAGCCAGAAGTTACATAGAAGCCAGGAGCCAGCCGCAGTAGCAGTAGGAGTAGGAGTAGCAATAGCAATAGCAATAGCAATAGCAATAGCAATAGCAATAACAGTAAATTTAATAGCAGTAGCAGTATGAATAGCAGTAACAACTAACAATAGCAATAGCAGTACCAATAGGTAGCAGTACCAATAGCAGTAACTAGCAGTAACTCTAGCAGCGGAATCGCAGTAGGCCGGCCGGGCTGGCTGGCTGGCAACCCTGTGCCCCTCGTTTTCTCTCCCTCGCTCTCTCTCGCATTTCCGATCGACCCTGAAGAAACGAGCAGTTCGTCTCGACTTTTTTTTTAGTTTTCTTTTTAGCTCCAGAGTACGTGCCCCATTCTAGCGCTGGTATGAATGTCTGAGACCCATTGGCAGTATGATACCGTACTATGATAGTACCGTACGAGCGAGTATGTACCGTAAGTAACGGTGGATACTCTACCCTCTTTGGCACTTGGCGAGTAGTTATCCAGTGTCCAAATGTCTCTCGCAAATACAAAGTAATTGCTTTGACAGTGCCGGTGCCGGCCCGCACGAACGCGGTTGGTTGGGCGGAATCTTTCCGGCAAAGTCGAGTGGTTCGGCTCCGTCTGTCGTGATGATACTCTAGAAGAAGCAATCCTTCAGGCTCCGACAGCTGCCAGCACCGACCGGCGCAAGCTAGTAGAGTTAACTTTGCAGCTCAATCACCACGACGACGACGGAGCGGGCCACGACGACGACATACCGACCACATCATGTAGTGTAGGTACAAACGACCGACGCAACGCAACGAACGAACGGATGAACGAACGAGCGTGCGAACGGACGGACGGACGGACGGGCAGACGGGTGAACGAGCGAGCGACCGAGCCATCCATCTATCAACGCATCACATCACGAACCGCACGCAAGATCCATCTACTCTAGTTACTCTAGTTACTCTACCTACACTACGCTAGGGGCCACGCCGGGGGGTTGTACTATCAATTCACCGTCCGCACCTCCCCTGCCCCTGGCCTTTTCTCTCCCTCCCTTCATCCCTCCCTCTACCCACCCTAGGTGTTCTACTTTGCCCCCCCACCCCACAATGGTTGGGCTCTCCCTTTCTCACCCCTCCCTCCCTCCCTCCACTTCCTCTTCACACATCCGCCGGCTCCCACTCCCTGTATCTCTCCCTAACCTTGTCATTCACCCCCTCCCACCCCGGCCCTCCCACCGCCCCCCCCCCCATCCGGCTCTTCACCAGCCGTGGAGCGGTAGGGTATGTTGAGAGGACTTGGTTACTCGGGTACTGGTACGCAGAATCTCCATAGCAGCGGCAGGCAGAGTGTAGGGTAGCAGATGATGATGACAGGGCTTCGGCCGGCCTAAGATTTCCACTCTATGCTCGATGCAACGGTCACTGTTGCGAGGGAGGTCGGCTCCCCCCGGCCCCGACCATGCTGCACCACGCCCGCAGCCATCCATCCAGCCAGACGGCCAGACGGACATGGTCTCTGGTCTCTGAGGGTACTCTATATACAAGGGTCGGTCGGTATCACGGTCAACTGCGACAACCTACTCTACCTACTCTACTCTACAACCTGACCCCTCCCCGGATCGGCCGTCACCACGGAATCATATGTATGGCATGGATGGCGTGTTGCGAAGGGGGGACGACTTAGCGAAGGGAAGGGAAGGGAGTGAAAATTGAACGAGGCCTCGCCAGACAGACGGACGGACGCCGAGAGCAAGCGAGACAAATGAGCGCGCGATGCAGACGGAGGGAGATTGATTGATTGAGTGTGGCATGGTGGACATGATGGGTACGATGGGCTGCTTGACACGGTGACAGGCCGAACCCGATACGATGATCTCCTGAATGGAGGCTGCCCGCACGCCGGCCTGCCCGCCCACCAGTTCGTGGAGCGTGGAGAGCACATGTACTCTATGTACCCATTGCAGTGTACTCTACGCTACCGTGTGAGGGATTGCGAGTGCGGGTTCTTGGAGCATAGAGTAGGTAGAGTACAGTACCGGCACAGTACGGTGCAGTTCTCACGTTCACACCCACTCTCACACTCGCACTCACACCCGCCCTCACACCCACACACCACACGTGCTGCCCTGTCCCATCCTGCCCTGCCGGCCTGCCCCTGTGCATGGCAGCAGCCGTCGGTAGCATAACGAGCTCTACTACAACCCACTACCCTCCGTACCGACCAGAGTAATAATAACACCCACAACATGCCCTCCGCATGGTCAACCGTAGACGAACGAACTCGAACGCCTCTCCCTCCCCGTCCGAGTCCCTTTCTCGATTACCATAAGACTGCCACACCCCTCCACGTCCAACCCATACCATACATACATCGAATCTCCCCTCCTCCCCCCTCCTCCCCCCCCTCCCCGCCCTCCCACCAGTCCTGCAGACCCCCTGTCTCTTGCACATCTCGTTTTATTTCAAGAAGCCTCCCCCCCCTCCTTCTCCGCATCACTTTCAATCCCTCGAATTCTGTTCGCCAATTCCAGGAATGAGAGTGCTGACATCGACTTGTGTTTTCCACCCCTCCAACCAATAACATCGGCCTTGGATCTGAATTCCTTCTTGAGCTGCCCCCCCCTCCCCCCCTACGCCACTCCCGCCTGCAACCTCAAAGTCGCCAATCGCCGCCGCCACAGCCGTCATCTTAAAGAAGAGGTTCCCTCTGCAGCCGCGTCGTCAGTCGTCGAATCGAGCCTTCCATCGAATTGCGTGGTGCAATAGCCCTTTACATTCGTGCCCTCTGCAATATCCCGCCGTGTATCCATCCCGAGACGCGTTTGGAAGGAAAGAAGAAGGAAAGAAAGACGAAAGAAAGAAAGAAAGGAAAACACACACGCTCACACGCTCACGCACACACACATAACACGCACACACGCACATACACACAAGAGTTGGCCCCATTTCACTGGATTTTTTTGTTTTTGGCAGTTTGTGTGTTTTGATACCTTGTACCAGCACATACCACACCCACCCACATACATACATACATACCCACATATCACATACCCACCGCCGCCGGAACATCTTGTCCGTCCACTACTCCTCCTACATATCCCCCACGCACTCGCCGCTGTCGTCTTCCTCGTCTTCCTCGTCTTCCTCGTCTTCCTCGTCTTCCTCGTCGTCCTCGTCGTCGGCCTAGAAAATATACCACTGCTCCGATCAACACTGCGATAATCACCGCCGATTATATGTCCACCGTAATGCTCACACAACCTGCTGCCGCAGCGATTGCCATCCCTACAGCCGCCATGGCCGCATCAAGTACCCCGGCGTCCCCAACCAAGAAGCGCAGACGAAGAGCTCCTGCAACCGGAGCGGCTGAGGATTGCTTTAGCTGCCGCTCCGCCGGCATCAAGTGCGATAGGCGACGGCCCTACTGCGGGCCATGCCTCGAAGGCGACCAGACATGCAAAGGCTACCGAACTCAACTTACGTGGGGTGTCGGGGTTGCGAGTAGGGGAAAGCTCAGGGGCTTGTCACTGCCGGTGCTCAACGCCGTCACCGAGCAGCAGAGGAAGGACAGGATTTCGAAGCAGAAGGAAGGACAGGAAGGGAAGGCAAAGAAGGCTAGGACGGCAGGCGCGGGGACTCCGAATTACGGAGCAAATCAGAAGCAGCAACAGCAGCAGCAGCGCACGTCACCTCCGTTGACGGCAAGCGTCAGCAAACTCAGTGTCATCACGAGCTATGATTTCGTCAACATGGAACCGCCGTCGAACTCTGCAGTATCCCGTGCACCATCATCGGCGATGTCTGCGACACCGCAATCAGCGATCTCGGTGCATAGTCCGGCGCTCTCCGCCAGGGGTGGATTGCCTTCTTCGAGATCCCCGCCATCTGGGATCTCATCCCCCTATTCCGCTGTATCACAACCATCTTACCGCTCGCCCGTACTGCCGCACCCGACGCAGACTCCTCCGCCATCACACCAGCAGCAGCAGCCGCAGCAGCCGGCGCACCATCACCAGCAGCACCAACAGCAGCAGCAGCACCAACATCACCAGCACCAGCATCAACATCACCAGCAGCAGCAGCACCATCACCAGCAGCAGCAGCAGCAACACCATCATCATCAACATCCCCCGGCGCCGCAAGCCCAACAGCAGCATTACCAGGCATCCTCCCCTTCCGGCAATGCGCAATACCACAAATCCCCTTACTCCCATGTCTCCCTGCCTCAGCAACAGGCCCCGTCGATGCTGCTGTCGCCGATGTCGGAGTACGAGCCGAGCTTCAACAATGGTCCCCATCACCACCATTACCCAATCTCCTCCGCCCCTGCGTCTGCCCCAATGTATGAAATGGTCTCGGGGGTGACGAGTGCATCATACCACGGGTCACCGTCCATGACGGCCACTAGCAGCGGTGTCTCTTACGCGCCTATGACTGCCTCGGTGCACGCACCGGCGCCGCGCATGATGCACAGTGGTCATGTCCACCCAAACGGACAGTCGTGGAATGGGCCAAACATGGGAGTAGGCAATCTTCATCACCAACATGTACCCCCGGGCCACAACAACCTGTCCGACCTGTTGTACGATGAAGATATGCTCGGTACGTTCTAACGCTTGGTTCTTCCAGCTGCTCGTATTTTGCTTTTTCCTACTTTTTTTTGTATATTGTCTGCATCCTTTAGAGGTCCATCTCAGCGACAGTTTGCGCGCCTTCTCTCTTGCGGTTGATTTACACCGTCCTGTACGACTATTTTTTCTTCTTATTCTGCTCTGTCCTATCTGCGGCCACCTTTCTGACTCGGTTGATTTCGGTCGTGGTTTCAGCTCCCGCCGGTTCGGATATCACTTTCAGCGTGCCCGGGTACCGTCAGTCCATTCCAGCGCATGCGCCGATTAATCCGTCCAACTACCATCGCCGGCATCGGGGAGATGTTCGAGAACTCTCCCTAGGCCCGGTTCTTCCACCTCCGCAGCTTGCACATCTTGATCCGTTCCTGAGGTTCCTGATCGACTATTACGACAAGTCGGTCTGTGCGGCGGTCGTTGTGTTTGACGGACACAACAATCCTTTCCGCCGCCAGATCCTACCGATGGCCTTTGAGAACCCGGCACTGCTCGAGGCGATCTTTGCGTTGTCCCGGAGCCATCTCCAGTCCCGTAAGAGGATGGGGTTGCCGACTGTCAGCCATCCGGAAAGTCTCATGCCGACATCACCGCATTCCCCCTACCGGAATTCTGATGACTATCCTTCGACAACGACGCCGCGCGATTCGTCGGGAGTGCACGAGACATCCGACAGCGCGTTGCACCACAAGAACAACTGCACCAAGCTCCTCCAACACCAACTCACCGACCCCGTGTTGTCGAAAGAGGATTCGGTTTCGGCAACCCTTCTCATCTTGCTACTGTATCACATCTGCGACACGGGTGTTGGGATGTTCAAAACCCATCTTGCAGGTGTGAAGCGGTTGATGATGATGAGGGAGGTTGGCAAGGAGACTGGTCGGTGGGGGTGGATGGAGACCGTCTTCTGTTGGCTGGATAACATGTGCAGCTCAATCAACAACCGGGAAGCCCAGCTTCGGGGTGGCTATCTGGACATGATCCATGCTTCCACCGACGAATGGAGCCTCGAGTCACTCACCGGATGCGATCGCGATCTCTTTATGCGTCTTGCCGGACTGGGGAGGATCAACATGCTGAGCCAAGAGCCGGCGGGGCCCGCAATCAAGAACGAAATCGATCCTGCCGACGAGGAGGATGATGGAGAGTCGGAACCCGCACGGAACGAGAACGACGGGAGGAGCGACTTCTGGTTGGCTTGGAATGCCATGAAGTCAGACCTGTACGAATGGAAGCCGACCACTCAGTACGCGGCGACCTCCTCTCAGATAAACCCCGTGGAAGTCAAACGCGAGTCTTCGATGAGTCCTCCGGCGGCGTCACCGCCTGTTTTCGCGAGGACACCACCGAGCGCCCACGTGAGAGCCCTGGAGGCGGTCGAAATGAACCACTGGTTGCACGCCTGCAACGTCTATCGCTACGCTGCGATATTATATCTCGACAGACTCGCCTACCCGCATCTTCCGTCATCGCATTCGATATTCCAGAATACCGTCCGCGAAGTCCTCGACCACGTTGCTTGCATCCCCTCGAACGGGTTGGGCAGCAGACTCCTATGGCCCTTATTTATCACCGGGTCCGAGTGTGTGATCGACGCCCACAAGACGCTTATCCGCGAGAGGTGTCTGGAAATGCAACGCGACGTGGGATTCTTCAATAAATTTTCTGGCCTCGACGCCCTGGAACGGATCTGGAAGGAAGATGACGACGATGATAGTGCCAGTGGGTTATTTGCTGGATCTCGAAGGACCGGGAGGGCCGAGAACCGCAGCATTGGTGGCAGAGGTCTTCGCTGGAGAAAGATCATTGCCTCGGACGAGATGGAATACCTCATGGTCTAATGGCCAACAAACAGCCTAATGTCTGGTTCTAATCAATCACCTGCCACAACTATTCGCCCTTTGCTTTCTCTTTGATTCCTGTTGATGTTACTTTATGTTCCTTTCCGAGCTCATTGATTGACGGCATTGCACGCATCGGATACTTGCCTGTGTTATGAAGCATTGTGGGCGGGGTCTGCAAAAGATTTCTCTTTCCTCTATTCATCTCCTTTCTTCGGGCACGGTACATACATCTATCTCTCTCTCCATTACAGGCGGCGGCGGCTTTGTGTATTGTTTTTTGTCTCTGTTTTCTGTTCTCTTTCCTTTGTTTGGTTGGCTATATATCCCGGATACCTCTCCTCTTTTCTTTTACCTTCAACATTTTACCGTCTATTCACTCGCACTATCGCTTTTACCTTTCCTTTCCTTTTCTGTTCCCAGTTGATGTATTGCTTATTGGTGGCTTCGCACTATCTTTTCTCTCTCTCGTCTCTCGTCTCTCGTCTCTCGTCTTCGCGTCTGCTTTTTATGTTTTGGAGTTAGGTCTGGTTCGGTTTCGTTTCGGATGGACTGGTTGGTTGGTTGGTTGGTTGGTTGGATAAGGGGGGACGGGGGCCGGGGACGGGGCCGGAGCGGAGGGGCTTCTATTCTACCTTGTGGGTTTTTTGTTGCGGTTTTTTTCGTGTTTTTGTATAGGGTTCTTTCTTTCTCTCTTCTGTGGTTTTCAAAAATGGATTCTTACTTGGATACTTACTGGGTAGGGTTATTGGAATTTGGGTTGACGGGGGGTGATGGGGGAACTTGGAAGGGATGGGATGCGGTGGGGTGGGGGAAAGGGGATGGAGGGAGGGGATGGGGGTGGAAATACTGAGGTTGTTACTACTACTACCTACTCTCGTACTGCTCTGGTGCTTGCTGCTTGATCGTGACTTGATTTGATGTGATGTGATAATGCAATGGTGGATGTGATGTCTTGTGATGTGATGGCTCATGGGGGAACCTGGAGGCTGGAGGGGGTAAGGGGTAAGGGGTGGTTGTTAATTTTAGCTTATCGTTCTGTGTTGGTTGACGGTCGACCGGGTCGGTCATAGACTTATAGCACCTTGTTGGACTTATGGCACCTTGTTGGATCATACGGTAGGTACTCGCATTAGGAATCTGGGACTGGGAAGACTGCTCCCTATCCACCGTCCGGGTTCCCTGCTCGACGTTCCTCCGACTGGGCTCGCGTCCGGTTGCTATGTAGTTACTGGCTAACGTAAGGGAAAAGAAAGGAAAGAACAGCGGCAAGAACAGCGGCAAGAAACCGATCCCGATTCCACGGACCACGAGCGACCCTGTACAATACTGTACCTACTATACTATACTGTACTGTTCGGTACTGTTCGGTACTGTACTGTAGGGCAGCGCCGGATCCCTGCTTGCCGCCGCCTCTCTCCTCCTCCGCCTCTGCGTCCGCCTCTCTACCTGTGCATCCGCCTCCTCCGCCTCCCCTCCTCCGCCTCCCCTCCTCCACCACTGCATCTGCGTCTGCGTCTGCGTATGCGTCTGCCTCTCTCGCTACCTAATGTACTCTATCCGCTCGCTATCCGCTCAAAGTAAAGCCACTGCATCGGACCTACTGGTTCGAACGGGGGCCTCGGCCGCTTCTGACGGCCGGGTCTACTCCTACTCTGCTGCCGGGAGTACTCCAACGGAGGCGGAGTTACACAGGAAGCTCGGAATTGCCGGCCTACTCCCCTCCCCCTATCTCCCCCCTTCTCGGGCCGGCGGAAGAGGGTCTCAGGGTGCTCACTGCTCATTGGCCATCCGAGTGCTCATCCGGGTGCGGTGACGGGCTCGAGTCCGAGTTCGAGACCGAGTTGACCTTTAGTCCTAGTTGACCTTCTGTGGCTCGCTCTAGAGACTTTTGCTCCGATATTCATCTCTGCCGGTCACGGTGCGGTGCGGCGTGGGGCTTGAGCGGATGCTGCCTCGTCTGTTTGCCGTGATACGATCACCACCAGCAGCAGCACTACCACCACAAGCACCACCAGCAGCAACCTGTCGTCTGCGTCTGCGTCTGCGTCTTCTAGTTGTCCGGTAGTGATAGATGCTCTCCGTTGGGAGCAGGGCCGGACTGCAACTGATACTCTACCCACCGTAGTAGTAGTGCGAGACCGTCGTCCGCTTTATTGCCTTTTCAGGAACCGGACTAGGTAGATCCCCGCTGTCTTCGCTGTCTCCGCTCGCAAAACGAGTGTGATACCGTATGCCGCTGCGGAAGCGATGATTGTGAGCGAGTGATCCGCCGTGGAGACCGTGAGTCGTAAACTCGACGTTAGTCGCCTCCACTCCCCCCTTCCCCAAGGTAGCTGAGTAAAACATCCCCACGAGCCACCACCTATCCCAAGTACTAGTTTGCGGGCGGGTACACTCGCGCTTCCATCCCAGCACGTTTTCCAAGTTTCACACACAATCACTCACCCATGGAACATGATCCGACAGAAACACTAGATTTTAAGCGCCGTTGCCCACAAAAATGCAAAATCCCAATCTCAATCCCAATCCTAGCCTAATCCCTCCCACCTCTTCCTCCCCCTCTCCCCCCACCTCTACCTCCTCCTCCACCACCTCCCCCCCTACCTCCCCTCCACCCGCCTCTCCCACCGCCAAATCCACCACCTCTATGCCCCCCATGCCCTCCAACCGGCGGCATATACTTGGGCGGATTACTCTTGAGCAGCTCCTTCTTTGCCTTCCACTCCTCGTCGGTAACACTGACCCAATCCGTCATCTGGAGGAGCTCGCAGAACGCCTTCGTCTGAGGGCTGCGATAGTTCGCGGGCTGACCGGTGACCTTCTCGCCCGGCGCGTATGGTGGCGCAGTGATCGAGAAGTTCTGCGGGATCTCCAGCTTGCCGGCGGCAACGATGTTTTCCTCGATCCATTGGCGCTCGCGCGCAATGCCCGCGCGGATCGAGGCGGTGCTTAGGGATTGCAAAGTGGTCAGCGTGTCTGCCGATGAGGCGGGGTATCTGTTGATGAAACGTGTTATCGCTAGGAATTCGGGGTCGTAGCTGAGTGTTTTTGGCTGCGGCGTCGCGGAGGTCGACGGGATCGCGAGCAACTGGAGGTATTCCCGCCCAGGCATGGCTTTGTCTAGCGCGAGGAAGCGGGTGAGGTCGTTGGTCGGGGGTGGGGGTGGGGGGAGTGTGTCTTCGGGGATGCTTGCTGTGGGGGCTTCTGTTGTGGTGGTGTCGATGTCGATGTCGATTTCTGCGGGTCCCTGCGCCGCTGTGGGCGCGGCCGCGGGTGTGTCGTCGAGGTCTAGGTCGAGCTCATCGGGGTTGTTGACCGCTGCCGCTTCTGGGGGAACGTCGTCCAGGTCTAGGTCGAGCTCGTCGGGATTCTTCACCGCCGCCGGGGCATCCTCCAGATCCAATTCCAGCTCGTCGGGATTCTTCGCCTCCGCAAATACCCCGCCTTTCCCATCCTCTTCAGCCTTCCAATCCCCCTCATGCTTTACTATCGCCCCAAACTTGCAATGCATATGCCCGGAGAACCAGTACCTCGGCCTCAATTTCTTCAGCAGCCCCTCGGCAGGCGGACTGCCCAGCTCTCCCTTCTCACTATCACTCTTGAAGAACGGCTTCATACGCCAGAGGCCCTGGGTATCACCAAAGTGCTCTATATTCGCGGGCCAATCATGGGAGAGCATGACATCGACGTCGCCGGAGAGCTGGTGGAGCTTGAACACGTCGTAAGCGCGCACATGGTAGATGCTGCGCACCTCGCTCGGGTAGAACGGGAGCTTCTCGGAGTGCGGCCGGTTGTAGTCGTGCGATTTGTAGATTCCGCTGAGCCCGCCGATCCGGATCCCGCCGAACTGGATCACCCCCGACGCTCCGAGGTAGTAGATGTTCGGTGCTACCCAGCCGCCGTGGAAGCTTTATGCAGAATCATCATCCATCAGCACACCCGCGCACGATACTCTCCACCACCCCCTTCACCCCCGGGATGTATAACCCACAGCTCGGCGTTGTGACTGCTCGCTTCATGATTCCCGCCAATAAAGATTGTCGTGACGGGCGCCACGCGCTTGCCGGAGTAGTACTCGTGGAAGTCTCCGATCTCGCGGTACTTTGGCGGGCAGGACATGACCTCGAGGTCGGTCATGTTTCGTACCGCCTGGAAGTCGCCACAGATGATGAGTAGGTCCACCGCAAAGTTCGAGTCTGTTGAGGCTCGCGCAATCGCGTCGTACATCACGTTTAGTTTGCCATGGCCCTAAAGCAGCAGTGGGTGGGTGGTTAGCGGTGTGAGCGTGTTGGGGACGGGGACGGGGACGGGGAAGAATGCGTACGCAGCCGTCGACGGCGACGCGGATGCGATTCGCGGCCCCGTTCGGAGGCATCTTGTGCGACTTGTGCGGCGGGAAGTCGTAGGATATTCTTGTGGCGGCGGGGGCGAGAAGGGTGGTGCTGAAGAGGCGGCGGGTGGATTTGGTGGTGACGGTGGAGCACCAGAGAGGTCTGCGACAGACACTCGCATACATGATATGCGTGCAGTCGTCGTATATAGGAAGTTTGATCCACCAAAACTCAATTTGATGCGCTCTGCAGGGAAGTGTTGAGCCGCAGTTTCACGTGCCCCCACCCTCCCCGCTATTGTAGTCCAAGGTTCTTTATCTAGGCAACAGACTTCCGACACCCCGCCTTGATTGGCGGGGCCATCGTACATACACACTCTACATATCGAAGCGCGTCGAGATGTTAGACATGGAGATGCGTTCGGCCGTGGAATTTGCTTTCTTTCGGACGGGTGAGACCGAGGCCGAGAAATGGGATGACGACACGTCCATCGCAGCCAGGCCGGTCAGCTTTGAATGAAGCCTTAGATGCGTGGCCAACTAGGCCCGCCGCATCGCTCGCTCGCTGGCAGTGGACTACGATTTACCGAGCTGATCTGGGAGCGGGGCGATATAAAGTTGGCTTGCGCTCTGACTCTGACTGACCACTGCAAGACTGGCTTGAAGCAACACCACCACCACCCTCACCACCACCACCATCTACAGGTACACCAACCAATTCAGCTTCACCACCACCGCAACCACCCACACTCCATCCAGATACCCACTCAATGGACTCAGCAATCGACCTCACCGACGCCTCGTCGGCGCTCGACCTCTCCAACATCCGCTACCAACTAATGTACCTCCCCGTTCCCCCACTGCGCACCCCACCTAACCAAGCAGCCGCCTTGAGGACACGATAATCTTCCACCTGATCGAGCGGGTGCAATTCGCGTACTCGCCCTCAATCTACACACCGCACGGGGTGACGATCCCCGACTTCACCGGCTCGTTCCTCGACTGGATGCTCTTGCAGCAGGAGCGAGTGCACGCGCAAGTGCGTCGGTACGAAGCCCCCGACGAGTACCCATTCTTCCCGGGGCAGCTTCCACGGCCGTTCCTAGCACCACTATCGTACCCGCGGCTGCTGCACCCGAACACCGTCAACATCAACGAGAAGATCAAGGCGGCGTACATCGCGCACATCCTGCCGGCGACGTGTCGGCCACACACCGACCGCGGCGTCGGCAACGAGAACTACGGCTCCGCCGCGGTCATGGACGTCGCTTGTCTCCAGGCATTGTCTCGTAGAATACACTTTGGGAAGTTTGTGGCGGAAGCGAAGTTTAGAGAGCGCCCCGAGGAGTTTACTCGCTGGATCAGGGAGGGCAATGTCAAGGCCCTCGAGGATGCCATCACGAAGCCTGCCGTCGAGCTACAGGTGCTTAAGAGGCTCGAGCTTAAGGCCAGGACGTATGGCACTGATCCGAGCGCGCCGCCGTGTGAGGAGGGGAAGACGGCGGTGAAGATTAATGTCGATGCCGTGGTGGCGATGTACAGAGTGAGTATAGTTTGTCCCGGGTGAATGTTGAGTAGTTGAGCTAACAGCAGTAGGATTGGGTGATACCCATGACGAAGGAGGTCGAGATCGACTATTTGATGCAGAGACTGGATCCGGTGGAGGAGAATGGCGTGGAGGCATAGCTCGATTTTTCAGATAGTGGACCCCATATATAATAGCAGGCCTTGTTTCTTCATCCTTGTGGTTCATATCGGGCAGAGAAGCATCATGACCCGTCACTCCATCACTAGTTAACGTCGGAAAAAAAGTTGGACAGTGAGATCCAGATCACCATGATCTACTAGAGTAGTAGATGGGCCGCACGCAATATGGATTATCACCACCAATAGGTAGTGAGGTAGTTACAGAGTGAAAGTGCCACAGCTGTGATCGACACCTTCCAGACTTCCAGTGACCGACAACATCTCACCCGTTGCACTCCCTACGTACCGTGGATTTCTTCCAATCTATTCCATCTACAGTGGACTACGGCACGATACTGCTCCTTACCTTGCGGTAACATGACGCTGAAGCCGCGGCTACCGGACTCCCGGAACGAGTGATCGTGACCGTAGTGGCAATCCACGTACTGTTTCTTCATCTTTCTTCATCTTTTGTCTGGTTTTTGTTTAATCATTACATCCGACCTTACTAGATGATGGCGGTTACCGGTAATCTACAGAGAGCCCAGCCCAGCCCTCTTCCGTTGGCAAAGCACACACATGTCATGTTGCATACGGCACCACTACCGAGTGATCGCGATGTGGAGGTGGGTCCCGTGGGGTTTGCTATAGCTACTATGATAGTAGGTAGTAGGTATTGCTTCCAAGCCTCGCGCGAGAGGACACACATTCGAACTGGAACTTGAACTGGAACAGGAACTAGAACAGTAACTAGGAGTCATTGAGCCTCGACTTCCGCGGTGGATTGCGTATGTCCTTTCAACCTTGACGACTCCAGAGCCTCGCATCGTGCCGTGAAGACTCGCAGTAGATACCCCTTCGTATGTATCGCTGCCCACCCGGCACCCATCATACGTCTATTTACACCGATATATCTACGCCAACAATACATCCCCTCTAACTACGCCGCGCAGTATGCTACCCAGTACAGTATGCTGCCCAGTATCCAGTATGTACACATAATCAAAACCCCCATAGATAAATCAAGAAGCTACATGTACTCTACTCTACAAAACAAAGTACTGGTCCATCCATCCAATTTAACCCCAGCGCCATACATACATAATACAAGACCCCCCGCCGCCGCCCTGCCACTCCCGCTCTCACTCGGTCCCCCGAGCATACGCAATCAAATCCGGTTTCCAGCCCAGCGGATAAGCCGCTAGGGTATCCTCTTCCGGCGTGTCCGATTTCGGCGCCTCCTGGGAGATTAGGGCCTCGATGTTGTTTGCGATTGTTATCTCCTCTCTCAGGGCCGCCAGACGATACGACAGTATCTCGCTCCAGATCTTCGATCGCTCCTCATTCGGTTTTTGATCTGGCGGGCCCGCCTCCTCAGCGCCCTTCAGCGGCGGGAGTAGGACTTTTTCGAGGAACTCGTCGTCCTGGGCGACATTCTTTGGTGTGTCGAGGGTGTTATAGGAGTCGAAAGCGTTCTCTAGTAACCGCATGAGGGCGTTTCTGCGGGACTCGCCTGGGTCACGGGAGCGGAGGTTCTTTCGCTTGTATCTTGCGTAGAGCTGCGTGAGCTCCGCGAGGCGCGGGACCTTGACCTCGGAGGTGACGTGGAGGCCCTTCGTCTTCTGCGGGCGCACGATGGAGACGCCGTCGTGGACCCATCCGCGCACGCGCGCCTCCTCCAGGATCTTGGCCGCGGCGGGCTCGCGCCCGCACGACTTGCAGAACTGGAACATCTGGTAGTACGCGCGGAGGTCGGTTGCGGGCTCTTCCCTGCGCACGCGCGCGATCCGGTCAAGGCGCTTCATGCGCTTCCATACCACTTTGCCCTCTTTCCAGTTGCGCTTCTGTGTCCACAGGCGCAGAAGGCTGGTCAGCAGCTTCATGCTGAGGAAGGGTGAGTCCGGGAAATGCCGCTTGATCGCCCGGATCAGGAAACGGATCCGCTCCAGGTGCCCGAACTTTGCCGCGCCGTGGATCATCGCTTCGTACACCATCTTGCTCCGCCGCACGCGCTGCCCGCCTTCCCGCGCTTGCGTCTGCAGGATCCGGAGAACGCGCCGGTAGGCGTCGTAGTCGGCGGATTTGACGCAGAGGTTGACTACCGCTACCACGCCGTAGTCGTCGAGCGGCATGCCGAGGTCGACCATGCTGTGGAAGACCATGTGCGCGAGAGAGTTCTGGCGGTGGATGGTGAAGCCGCGAAGCAAAATGTTGTAGGTCTTGGCGTTGGGTGCGCAGTTGGATGTCAGAAGGTTGTAGGATATTTTAATGAGAATTCGGGGCGGAGGGGTTCGGGGATGAAACAGGTTCAGCATAGACTTGTTGAGAGCTACGGGGGGAAGTGGTGAGTCGTAGTGAGGGAATGGCGGTAGGTATGGCATGGTCGTTGAGTGCGCAAGTGGCGCAACTCGGGATTGTGAAGCTTGAACGGCTTTCATGACTAGGGCCACGACTCTAGTGTCATAATAGTGTGTTGCTATATGGACGTAAACTTTCTGCAGCGACTGCACTTCTTTGGCATGTACTTCTTTCTCGGTGGCCGACTGCGCTTCCCGGTACAGCAAATTCCTCCGCTGAATCTCCGTCTCGAGGGCTCTGAGCAGCCGGTCGTGGTCCTCCAATCGTCGTACCAGTTTGTAGACCGATACTTCGATGTTGCTGTTGGGAGGGCTATCGGCCGGCAGGCCAGGTTCGAGTTCCCCAGGGCCGTTTCTGTCTGGTGCTGCCCGCCCCCGCACCCTGCCCAAAGTCGGCCGACTCGGCAGGTATCTGAACGAGTGTATGTGCGCCGATGAGATGCTGGGTTGTCGTCGTCCTACGTGGACCGGAGGTGCGGCGGCGGCGGCAGGGTTCGGAGGTGCGGCAGCGGTGCGCACGGGCTCTCCCCCCACGCCTTCCCCAACGGAACGGCCGCCGTGGACTACCGACCCGCTGCCGCAGATATTACCCGTTCCATTGGGTGTAACTGCATTGAACCCCCTCGCCGGTCCAGCGTTCTCCGATACCGTCGAGTAGAACCGTTTGTAGAAATCTCCGAACCTCCGGAACAGCGAAGAGCTGTCGGTGTGATTTTTCGTGGTTGTAGTTGTGGCGGTGGTGGTTCTGATGTTCGTATTCTTCGCTGTTGAGCCATTGAGCACAGCCGTGCTCTTGGATGTTGAGAGGAGAACATTCGACAGAGAACAAGTGGTGGTGCCGGAGGTGCGGGATGACCTGGTAAGAAAAGGCTGCATTTCCAAGCGTCCCCAACCTCCATGTCACTGTCTTCGAAGCCGATTAGATGGGGACGAGGAGGAGGAAGCAGGACGGTGGGGGGGCAGTCGAAGGAGTCGAGTCGGCAGCCGTGCGGGGGAGGTGGGGTGAAGGTGCTGCTGCTGCTGGATGTCGGCGAGGGATGTCTTTCGCCGCAGTGGCCGTTCAAGTCCGTCAGTCCACTCCCGAAATTTTGTGCTTAGTCATTCCGTCGGAATTTTAAGCCGCATCTCACCTGACAACTCCAATTCAACCTTTGGTTCCACGTTCGATGATTTGTCCGCCACGCCACCATGGAAGTTCTTATTTGAGATTTCGCCGGTTGCCGCGGATTTTCCCCATGAAGAAATCGATCGACTTGAGGTGAATGGGATAGAGTAGAGTGCAGTACATGGAGGATTGGAGCAGGGACATCGATCTTGTACATCCATACGATTCAAGTTTGGACGATGTTTCATTCTCTCCACCCTTTCAAGCCCAGGCGTCCGTTGGCCTTTAGGTATATACATTGGGTACATGCTTTACATGCTTTACATAGAGTACTCTACCAACTGTAGCCCAATCATAATAACACTCGTCGTATGGCGACCATCCGCGGACACAGCAACCGACCCAGAGGCCAGCACAACGACTGGAGCTGGTGTTGCCCAGTCCGGTCCAGTCGGGTCGTGTCGTTTCGATACATACGTCGACTGGATAGAGTTTGCTCGCACATAGTTTCGCTTCTCGAATGGACGGGAGAAGCGTAAGACAAAGCCTGCATTCTCCCTATCTTGCAGCAACCAGATGAAACCGCAGTTGTGCACCATGCCACAGCAGCGAGGGATAGGCATGATGGGTAATTCGAGAAGCCGTCCGGCATCTACCTTGTATGATGTCGATAGAGTAGAGTACTCCACGAGCTGGATCTCGGCGTCAAGCGGACGGATGCAGTCCGCTGTTGGAGATTTGGAGTAGCACCGCCGCTACCGTATTCGGGATCGAAGAAGTCACAATACAGCTCTACTCTGCTCTATTACGGTATCCTCTGGAGTACAGTGGCCGGTAACTCTGAAGGAAGAATCCCACCAGACAGCTCCAACTGAGGACCTGCTCACAGAGCTCGAGCAGAGTACGTATATTGTATAGCACACACCCTTCGATGTCCATCGTCCAACGCATGCTGGGAGGTACATACCACTACGAGGTATATAGCACCGTATATGTACATGTACCACTCCGCAGGCACTTGTATGATTGGCAAGCCCGCAATTGATCGTCAGGCTGCATCCCGCATCTGGGCCCTTACACATCGCCTCCACATGCCAGAAGATACTGCTGGGCCAGGGATGCGGCGATAGCGACGATACCTACTACACATCTGTATGTACCTATCTGGAACCGGCCGGCTCGCGCGACGGATTACCTCGTTCATGAGAGTCGATTAACTATGGCACTCTACGGCGTTCGGATGTCCGTCACCGCTCACGATCCTTGTAATAGTACTCGACTCTATGTAGTAACTCCGGCGGTGTTTCCTTTCTTTTTGGAGGGGTTGGTAGGTTGCGTTTGGACTCACGTGGATGCGCTGAGGACGTCATGGGAGCGGAGAGGGCACGAAGTGTTGTTTTGCCGAAGAGACACGCGCGTAGGTTCCGTGTTGGGAGAAGAGAGGGCGGCGATGACCGAGAAGACCATTGGTGCGGTGGGAGCACGATGACCCACCTGCACTGGGTGGACTTCGAGCTCGCGAGCATTCCGTGTCAGTACCCAAGTGGGTCGTAGCTCAAGCCCCCAAGTACTCTGGTTCGCCGTTTGCACATCGGTATCGTTCCACCTTGCGATCTGGAAGCCATCGCATGGAGCTTCACAGCGAATCTGCTGCAGTCTGCCGGCGGGACTGAGGAATTCCCCATCGCCGCGTTGTTGTTGGCTGGTTGCATATGCGAGTGTGATTGTGGAGTGCGGGCTTCAATGCTTGCTGGGGGAGGGGGGGCGGTTGATGTCGCACAGCTCATGCGTAGGGATGTCTGGACACATTCTCGCAGTCGGCGTTCTGGAAGGAGAATGGCCTGCTGGAAGAACCTCTTGAGGAAACAGCCGGGAGCCGCCAGCCACATCGTGAAGGGTTGAAGCGAGACCGAGTGGAAAGAGGAAGAGGTGGTGGAGGTTGAGGTGGAGGAGGTGGAAGAGGAGGGGAAGGAGGAGGAGGGGAAGCTTGGTGTGGGGTCCCTTGACGCACAGTGTTTGGGATTGTTCGATTCGATGGATCCGGAGGACGTGCTGCCGACGCGCTAGTGGAGCTCAACATGCTCGGTCACGAACGCTGCGCAGGGTGCCTGCTTGCCGCACAGAGCTTTGGCGGCGACGGGCGAACCAGACGAGTCCGAACCCACCTCGTCAAAAAAGAAAAGAAAAAGAACAGAAAGAGAAAAAAGCACAGGGCAGCAGCAGCTTCGCTCCCCCTCTAGTTGCGAATTCTGCAGCAAAGCCCGGCCAAAAAGTAGGGTGGCCACCACCTCCATCACCTGCCGTCAAGCCGTATCGATTTCGACTTCGGCCTGACCTTCACAGGTCGAGAAGGTACCGTACCTATGCCCCCCCGTACATAAGCCCCGACTCGAGCTCTCACCTTCGTCTTGCCACTCCTCTTCAACTATTCCCCGATTCAATCCGACCTCTCCCTTTCTATTGCCTTCTGACCGGGCTGCGGGAAGCTCTGCTTGCTCACATATTAAAAGCCTAGTTCCTTCCCCCGGACCCGCCCCCCCATCGCTATCTCATCGCCCCTCTAAGAAACGCACGTTGCTTCCTGAGAGCTCTCTGGTTGGCTGGGGACGACGACCCTGACAGCTTACTGTTCTGTGCAACGTCCGCAATATCAACAATCGGCCGCCCGAACGTTCGGTGATCGCCCATCAAGGCATCATCCCCTACCCCCCATCTGCTGCCAGCCAAGAAGAGCTCTATCTTCCCGTCATAAGCTGCTCCCGGCCCTGTCAGGATCCAAAAAAGAAATAGAAAGAAACCCTTCGAATGGCCATTGACCTCTGTCTCCATACCATACACTCCCAGAATCCCATACACCCGTTCAACCAGCTCTAACTTGCTCCCCAAACACACTTTGAGACCCATTGAACTCGATATCACACAGTACAACACAACAACACGTACACCTCAACACCCCTCGCATTGCCATCATGAAGTTTGGAAAGAAGTACGTCATTGCACCCTGCCCAGATGCTCTTCGGTTCTAACTGGCCTTTAGCTTGTCTCGGAACCAGGTACCGGAATGGTCCGCCAGTTACATCAACTACAAAGATTTGAAGAAGCACATAAAAACAGCAGCCGACGAGAAACGGGCTGGAAAGACTCTCGACCTTGCGCGTACGTGGAAGGGCGACCCCTTACGAATATAGGGGATTCATCGTGCTGACATCCAATGCAAAGTATTTCTCTTCGCACTTGACCGCAATATCGAGACCGTCGACACCTTCTTCAATAAGCGCCTGGCGGATGCACAACGCCGGTTGAAGTCGCTGAGATCCCGATATGAAGACCATTTTGATCTTTCCCCTGCGTCGGAAAACATCAGCACCAATGGTAGTGTACACAGCGAGGATTTCGGCAGTGACTCCGCCACCAGAACTCTGGATTGTTATGGACTTGATCGCGACGAGATGGAGGAGATCTTGGGAGCTCTCTTGGAGCTCCGGAGTATGTTGAGGAAGATCCAGTGGTACGGCGAGGTTAATCGGAGAGGATTTATCAAGATCTTGAAGAAGTAAGCGCCCGAAACACCCACGGCATATTCTGGGATTGCGCTAAAAACAGTTGGATCGTACAAGGCTTGACAAGAAAACGAACTCGGCTGTACAACGGACATATCTTGAGTCCAAGGTCCTGCCGAAGCCGTTTGCTTCGGCAATTGAGGCTTTGACGATGATGCAAACGGTCAACCTTTGGCTCTCAAAGGTTGGTGGCACGGAAGGACTGGATCCTGAGAACAGCCGCGCAGCCGATCTCTCCAGCCGTCCTCTTCTCAAGCGCGTGTCTTCCGGTGCTGCCGCCGGTTTGTCTACGGACACTGTGGAGGCCATTGACCAGAGCATTCGTGACGACACCGTATCTGCCCTCGCCGATATCTTACAGGGCTCGCAAGGCGAGCTCATCTCCCGGAAATTGGTGCAAAACCTGCTACAGCGGTGCATCACGAACAAGTCTCTCAAGTGTATTCAGCTGCTTCTTGGTAAACTAGATACCTTGGACGAAGAGGATGATATCAACGGGCGCAACATCATCCACAGACTTGTGATCTCGATCGGCAGGACCAAGGGATTGATGATATCTCCGGAGAGCGATAGCTCGATGGAAAATGCCTCGCTTAACGTGGTGCCGCCGCAGCTCTTCATCACTCCAGCCGAGTCCCCAATCCAGGCGCCTCCACCATCTACGGGGGCAGTTGAATGCGATGGAGTACTCCGTCTCTCCCCGGACGACGAGTCGGTCAAGCTACTCGATTATATCCTGTCGAGCCTACTTCCTGTGCAACGTGGAGCTCTGGCTGCTCGGGACCAGTACGGCCGCCTGGCACTGCATTACGCCGCTCAGTATGGATTCGTGGTTCTTTGCAAGCTCATCATCAAGCACATGCGCGAGTGGGACCAGTTCGACGTGTCCGATGGCATAGATTCGGCGAGTTGGCAGGATGCAGATGGATATGCGCCATTGCATCTGGCCGTAATCGGGGAACATCCGAAGACTACCAGGACGCTTCTGCAGGCCGAGAACTGGGATGGGGGTGTGGGCACGACCGAGCAAGTTGTTTCGGCTCGGAAAACGGTCTCAAAATCTTCTGCTGTGCTGGTCATGGCTGCGAGGCGTAACTGTGTTGCAATCGTGCAGCTCTTGGTGGAGGCTGGGGTGGATATCAACTATCAAGACGAGAATGGCGAAACTGCTCTGCACCACGCCGCTAGGCTTGGACATGTCGAATGTGTCAAGGCACTTATGGCTGGTAGCAGTAGCCAGCGGCCCGACCTTGAGCTCACCGAAAAGACCTACGGATGGACGCCACTATTCGTTGCGGCCGTCGAGGGAAAGAAAGAGGTGGCGGAAGCACTGATCGATATTGGTGGATGTGAGATTGACAAGGTCGACTCTTCAGGATGGTCTGCACAGGAGCATGCCGTTCTGAGAGGACATCTTGAACTGGCAAAGGTGTTGATCGCCAAGAGCTCGAAGAGTCCCAGAACTGGCTATGTCTCTTCTCCGTCACCGTCTTCCACTCCTCCGTTGTCCTCTAGTCCGCCATTGACGTCTACTCCTTTCGAGAAGAACATCTCCACTGTTTCTCTAACAGGTTCTCTGGGACCCACGGATTCCACGCCTGCAGTATCCACTGGCCATCAGCAGACGGTGAAGAGCTTTGGCCATCGTTATCTCAAGCAGGGACAGACCATGATTCTCATCACTCTCGGCAGCATGGACGTGCGGAAGAACATTCAGGCGGTGAAGCTGGATCAGATTCCCGTTCACGAGGCGCACACGACGCAGCTAGATACCGCGCTTTCGTTGGTTGTTTCCGCACAGAATGCGACCGGTGAACCGACGATCGTCGATCTTCCGGTCCATGCCAATGTTACCACCGACGATCCGATCCTGTTCGAGACGACCGATGCTGGTAAGGTCAAAGTGATGTTTGACATCGTCCCGACGTACGCAGGCTCGAAAGACCGCATCGTCGGCCGTGCGGTTGCTCTGCTGGGCGCCGTGAGACCGGAGCTCGGTAATAAGAGGGCTTCTTTGCAGGGCGGAATTCAGGTTCCAATCCTGGCCGTTAGCACTTTGGAGGTCATTGGCTCGGTCAATTTCGAGTTCACCATCATTACTCCATTTGAACACCCCAATGTCGGAGTTACCAAAGAGCACACATACTGGAAGAGCTTGACAACACCCAGAGTTAGTACTATATATGGCGCGATCCCGCAAGATTTGCAGTGCTGATGTGTATCGTCTAGGTTATCGGGCACCGAGGTGATTGGCGTAATAGAGTCCCCGTGTTCGTGGCGTTTTTCCTAACCATCATAAAGGTCTCGGCAAAAACTTTCCTGCGAGAAAGTCATTGCAGCTTGGCGAAAACACTCTACTGGTATGAATTCACCATTCCCACAGGTCTTTAGGATGTAATGCTAATCGATATGTTCAGTCGTTTATCCATGCTGCGAAGCTAGGTAGGTTGCCCATCGTAGGTTTCTGGCTGGATGGTGGCTAACGTAGGGATCGCAACCGATTAGGTGCATCGTATATCGAAGTAAGAACCAGTTGCCTCATCTCTAATTTGATCGATGCTAACAGTCAATAGTTTGGTATTTTTGAACCGTTTCCCCAGGAGGTCTTCCTCGCTAATATTAGCCATCAGATGTTCAACTTACGAAGGACCATGTTCCGGTCATCTACCACGACTTCCTTGTTGGAGAGACTGGCATTGACGTCCCGGTTCACACCTTGACGCTGGAGCAATTCATGTCCATGAAGGATGAGCCCGCTCACCTCGACTCCAGATCTGGTTCTCCGGAACGCGTCTGGGGCAGCGACAACAAGAACGTCAACCCATCCAACGAACCAGAGGGCGTGCGCACACCGAACCTCCGACGAATCCGATCCATGTCTCTCAACGAGCCCGACGGGCGCCAGAACGATATCAACGAACGCATGAGACTCTCTAGAGCATTCAAGCTGAACGGTTTCAAGGGAAATAGTAGGGGTCACAGCATTCAGAGTCCCTTTGCTACGCTGGAACAGACCTTCAAGGCGCTGCCGCAGCACGTGGGATTCAACATAGAACTCAGTAGGTTCATCCGGAATTGGGATCTAAGGCATGGCTAATGCAGTGGCCAGAATATCCTTCGTTGCAGGAATCCGAAGAACATGGCATGGACGCTACCGTCATCGAGATGAACGCTTGGGTCGATACCGTCCTCAAGGTTGTTTACGACCACATGAAAGGACGCAATATCATATTCTCTAGTTTCAACCCTGGTGTGTGTCTGTTGCTATCTTTCAAGCAGCCGTCGATACCGATTCTCTTCCTCACCGAGGGTAGAACCCACGAGATGTCGGATATCCGTAGCACCAGTCTCCAGGAGGCGATCCGGTTCGCCAGTAGGTGGAATCTGCTCGGAATCGTTTCCGCGGCTGAACCGCTTGTTTTGTGTCCACGCCTCATCCGGTATGTTGATGCACCTCGACGCACCCTGACGTCCTCACAATCAGCTAGCTAACCCGGTGCACAGTGTGGTCAAAGAAACCGGGCTGGTCTGCGTCACCTACGGCACGCTGAACAACGAGGCGAAGAGCGTCAAGGTATGTTTCCTCACTCACTTCGAAGCATCGCTTGTTCATCATGTCTAATCACCCTCCGTTTTTAGGCGCAAGTGGAACAGGGCATCGACGCGCTCATCGTCGACCGCGTCCTGGCAGTGGACAAGGAGCTTCGCCGCTCCGATGAGACCAAGGAAGTCGCCGCGACTTCCCTTGCTAGTGATGAGGTTGCGGTTGTCGTGTAAGGATACGGGTTAGATTGGCGGTGTTTTGGCGTTTTGTTTCGTTTCATTCTTGGGGTTGGTACGTACTACGTACAGTAATGGGCTTTCCGTTCTTGCACTCTGCACATAGCTTGAGCGGAGGATGGGGGGATGAGGGGATGAGGGGATGAGGGGATGAGGGGATGAGAAGAGTGATGTGATGTCGGAGTGTTGTTTTTACCGATTGTTGCGTATTTTCCTTGCTGCAAGAGTTACTATAGACTACTGCTTGTTACTGGTAGGCTTTACTTTTGAAATACAGCTGCAGTTCGTACTTTGTACTTGTGTACTTATGTGCGGGAGAAATTCCTGGTTATTCTTGAGACAATGTGGACTTACAACCTACAGCATCCTAGGGTCGCCATTGCGTGAGCATCTTGTGAAAGGTTGTCCGAGCAAGATGTTTGTGATGTCGTCGACACAAAATGGGATACGGCAAGAGACGATATTGTACCTTTTAGATAGGTAGAGCCCTCGGTCACTCGGGATTCGGGAGCTGACAACCTTCGCAGACATCATTCGCCGAGTGCATCGCCGAGTGTCAGTGTATGATACCGGTATGACACAGTCCGGCAGGTCCACCATGATTCATCTACCCGGATTGCGGTAGACGTATCATGTGTTCGTTCAAGGCAAGGCAAGACACGACAAGACAAGAACCCCGACTGGCTACTCTCTTTTTTTCCTCGAAGGACTCTGAAGGACCGGAGAATCCGAGATCCTAACAGCTTATTCGTACGGTACTGCAAATAACTGGAGTCGAGTATTTGGTCGAGTTGTAGACCAGCGTTTTCTCTACAGATTACAATTTACTTACGGAGGAACACCCTTCAAAGTTCAATATCCTAGACCATGTAGCGGTCTTACAACCACGTGGTGTGACGTTTTTTTTCCTATTAACGTCACGTTGCAGCACGACACTGGCAACCACTCATCGCTATGCTCAACCCCCGCCGACGTGTTTTTTTCTCCAGGACGCGCATTTCACGTGTGTAGCTTTCCGGATAACATGATCTACTACTCTTACTCTAAAACTCCGCCGACTCTTCTCCCTCCCTCCCTCAATGGCATCGGTTACCCTATCACCACCGGCGAGAACTCTTCAGGGGGGAGAGGGCGGTCTGCGAAAAGCGGCTCCGCAAAGGTGCAATAATGAAGAAGGTTCGTCTAAGGTTGCGGACAAGTCGTTCCTCACATGCAAATGACCATGTATCGTGTAATACGATATGAGCCTGATATGCTTTGTACCTACCTACTCGTCACCAGCTTTTCGAAGTTCTCACTCGGTCACGGTGGACTGGGAGGTAGGTACCTGCATACCTATCCTGGATACAGATTTTTGTGAATGGATTATCCTAGATATCCGCGCCGAAAAGTGGATCACCGTATGTAGATAAAAGCCAAAAAAATTATTCTTCCGATTAAGATCCAAATAATAGCACAGAAGGCCCGGAGTATGCACCGAGTGTTGCGAAACGGGGCCGATTGATCCGCCACGGCATAGTTGTCTGAAGAGGGTACCATATGATACCTCTTACACGTCTCGAACCTCGCGGAATTACCACTCGCATTGACCCGGATGATGGATAAAACACCGGTACTTGATGCCAAGGGTCGGTTCCGCCTGGCCCATATTTATGGAGTTGCTGAAATACTTGCTTACGTGAGTAAGAACTTATCCAAATGCATAATAAACGAGGAGCGAAAAGCGCTTGGTTTTGTTGATTCGTTTACTTAATTCCGATCGAAGCGATGGGAATGTGCGTAGCTTTCGTGGGGGTCGTGGTTTGATAAGTTCCCGCGGCAAAAGTCACCCCTCCCCTCTGGATCACTCACCCACCACCCACCGTTTCCCCAGCTGACCTCGAGTGAGCCCTAACCACAAATTTAGTCTGCCAAGTCAAAACTCACTCGCTCACACCACCTTGTTAGCTCCAACCTCCCCTTCCCACCATCTCCGCTCTCTCCTTCCACCCGTCATCAGCCATCACCATCTCTTTTTTGCATCACCCGTCACTCTACCCCCCATACCCCCTCCAAGAAAGCACTCGCTCTCTTTCGCGTCATAGTAATGGCAGACGATATCGAGGCCCGGTCGGTCTCTGTCACGATGGGCGAGGAGGAGTCGCGTTCCGTAGACGAGACTGTCGCAACCGAGACCACCACCGTCGAGCAGCCGACCATCACCACAACGAGTGACCAGATTATGGTCGAGGCCACCATTACCACCACTACCATCGAGGCCGATAACAACCTCATCGAAAATCACTCGATGGAAATGGTCGATGAATCCGCGCCCGTGGCGGGTGCTGCGACCGACGAGGTGCCGGAAGTTCCTACGGAAGAAGCGGCTGTCACCGAAAATCTGGGTGGTGCAGACAACAACACCACCACTGCCGAGGCCGCCGACGCCGCCGCTGCTGCCGGACTCGACGACGATGGCGATGTCGAGATGTCGGATCACCACGAGTACTCGGACGACGGCAGCGAGTACGAGCCCGAAAATGATACGCCTCCGCCCGCGAAAATTCCAAAGACGCCCAAGCAAAAGTCGCCTACAAACGTCAAGAAAACCCCCACTACCAATCACATTTCGACCGGCAACAACAATAACAACAACAACAGCGGCATCATAGATACGGCCTACGGTGGTGAAGCCTCCAACACTGCGACCCCCGAACACCTTCAGGACCCACAGACGCCGCAGGGCACGAGGATTCCTAAGACGCCAGGTTCACGCGTGCGCTCGGGTAGGGTCGAGAAGTCGGGAGGATCACCTGGCCCACAGGGCAACCTGCGCTGTCCAGTCAAGGGGTGTGGACAGACTTTCACCGGTCGGAACCCGAGACAGTCTCTCTGGCACCACCTTAAGTACTATGCTACGCGCGGACTTCCTGACAGGGCCGAGTTCGAGAAGTCGCACGGCGAAGCTCATGCTGAAATGAAGCGCGACGCGGGTAAGATACATGGTACCTAAGTCTCACATCGCGTCTCTTTTTGTCTGACACGCGTCTTATCTCTAGAACCTAAAGGAACCCCCGTTGAACGCAACAGAATCTCGTCGTCCGACTACCGCAAGAAGAATCCCGAGAAGGCGAAGACGTCGGCGCGTCTTTCGAACTTTAGAGCCCGTGCAAGGAAGAAGGGTCTCACTGATGAGAGGGAGATCGAGGAACACGTCCACAAGTGGGAGAAGGAGTGGCAGGAGAAGCAGGCCAAGGAAGCCAGCGAGGTGAGTCATTTACCACCATCAATTCCGCAAACGACTTCATTAACTCACGAAACTCTAGTATTTTTCGGGCATTCTTCTCTCCGCCTTCGAGTAACCGCTGGGTGTGGATTGTTACCTGCCGGGTTCGTGGACATTTTTACCGCAATTATACGCTGCAAAATGTCGACCTAAACTAGTACTGCTGATGGTTTACTACTTGGATATTTCTTACTACCTCTAGCTGTTTTTCGCTCTCTGTGTGTGCGTTTTCACTCCACCTGTGTTGTTGCTTCGCTGCCCTTGTTACTTGAAGGCGGGGCGAGCCGTGGATTTTTTTCCCCTTTCTCCTTCTCATTCTGCTTTTTCCTTCAATTGTGCGCTGTTTCTGTGTTGGTTGGGAATTGCGCAGGTGTACGGTTTTTTTCTACTCTTTTGCAGGCTAGGCTGTATATTTCGTTACTCCCTAAGTGAGTCGTGACTAAGTGCGTGATGTTCAATGGGCTTGTTAATTTTATTGTTCGTGCACGGATAGTGGTTCGCCAATGTGATGTGTGATGGCCCGTGATGAAGGATCTTTTACACACATATCTTCGTGTGAATGTACTGGGCCTGGGCCTGTATCTACCCGAACACTACGCGTCTTTCTCGTGCCTCGCTGACTGCTGCCATTGCCTCGAGAGAGAGAGAGGGCGAGAGAGATCGGGTTACGTAATCCTCCCTCCATTCTCCTGCGCGTATCCACTCCTACCAGCACTCGCCCGTCTAACCAGTGACCACGGCCTCCATACGCCACCCAAAGAAGCCTAGTCCCGCCGCGTCCCGTCGTGTCCCGCCGCGTCCAACCACGGTCCACTCCACAACACGTCCCCCCCTCCCCCTCCCTCACTCTCCTGCACCACACCACACCACCACCACTGCCACGACATAACACGACCAATGCCCCTCGAAATCCAAGACTCCGAAGACTCCGGCGGCGACGGCTTCGACGGCTTCGACGACGCCGCACCCGCACCGACAAGCGGCGAAATGCGGCTGTGCGCCATCGAGGCGGCGAGGATGCTGATTGCGCCGTCTGTGTATGAGACTGTTGCCGATAGGGAAGGCGAGGGGGCGAGTGGCGGGGAGTATGCGGCGGCGATTGGCGGAGAGTATGCGGGGGAGTACGCGGGAGTTGATGGCGGACAGGAAACGATCGGCGTGGATGTTGCGGGGCAAGGAGCGGGGCCGATTGAGGGGGGCATTGCGGAACAGATCGCGAGGGAGGTGGGTGAAGGGGATGTGCGGGTCAATGGGGACGCTCAGGCGGAGGGGGATGTCTACAACCCGCCCGACGACGACGACGACTTTCTCCCGGCACCAGCGAAGAAGACGAAAGAGAAGGCGAAGAAGTCTGCCGCAACGGAAGCGGGACGACCGCGAACCATGGGCAACGATTCGGACAGCGATTTCGGCGCCCCCAAGAAGAAGCCTGCGAAAAAGACGAAACCCAAGCCCAAGCAGCGCTCCAGAACCGCTCCACATCCGATCATCATCTCCGACGACTTTGCCCCCGCCACTACCGGGAAGCCGCGCTCCATAACTGCTCCGCATCCGATCGTCATCTCCGACTCCGACGTTGCCCCCGCCACTACTACGAAACCGCGCGCCAAAACCGAGATCAAGCGAAAGCGAGATCTGACCAGGGAGCTGCAGGATTTCCTGCCGTTACCTTCGCCCCCCTTTGCCATAGAAATCCAACAGGGTCAGGTGCAGGCTACTGGTGCGCTGCCTGATTATATGGGCTTGGGCGATGGCGGGAGCCCGATGAGCACCATCCCCGATCCGCCGGAGATGTGGGCGGGATTGGGTGTTGGAGAGGTTGGAGGTGGTGTGGATAGTGATGGTGGTGCTGGGGGCATGCGGATTGCGTCAGAGTGGAGGGCGGCGAAGGCGAAGGGACGACAGAATCTTTCCGACAAGCCTGTGAGGCAGTCGCCAGTGCTAGTGCCAGTCGCGGATGGGAATGCGGAGCAGAAGCAGAGAAAACCTACTCCTAAAAGGCCTACTAAGGAGAGGAAGAAGAAGGAACAGAACGAGGATCCGCCGCTGCCCGTCGTTGATAATAACATTCTCACGACGGAACATGAAGTCACGATGGAACTCAATGTCAACCCTGACCCTGCACCCGCACCTACAGCTACGATGGTAGCTGACTCGGACGGTGATATGGATGCACCGTTGTCTTCGCCGCCGCTATCGCCTGTTGAGCCCTTGAGTAAGAAGAAATCAAAGCCCCCCAAAGAAGATGAGGGATACGGAGATAGCATTGCGGTTGCTCCTGCCGCCGCGCCGGTGAAGCGGAAACGAACGACTTCAAAGAAAGACGATGCTCCGGTTGATGACGGAGATGGCGGAGAGTGGAATGGGGAGAACCCGAAGGCTACAGCGAAGCGAAAGCGGACGACGGCTGCTGAGAGGGCACAGTCACGGCTAGAGGCGAATGAGCCCGAAGAGAAGATGGATACCATTGAGCAGGACCCCGCCCCCGCTCCTGAAGCCATTGAAGACGTCCCTGCTGCCCTCGCACCAGAGCCCGCTCCCGCCAAACCCAAAGCCGCGGCTAAGCGTAAGCGCACCAAAACTGCTGATCCTCCAGCTGATCCTGAGGACACCATTCCTCCTCCCGCCCCGGTCGAAGAGGAAGAGCTGCGAACCCCCATCCCACCCCCAGTCACCCCAGAGACCAGCAAGAAGAAGAAGCAGCTGCACTCGCCACTGAAGAGCGGGAAGGTGCCATACCGCGTTGGTCTCTCCAAGCGCGCGAGGATCGAGCCGCTGCTTAGTGTTCGGCCGAGAGAGAAGAAGCGAGATGCGTGAGTGACTTGGTTGACTTGATTGACTTGAATGATTTGTGGCGTTTACTCTTTACTGGTGTTGGGTGCTATATTTACTGGCTTTTACTGGCTTTTACTCTGCTTTTGCTATGCTACTTGTTCGGGAATTGTGATAGATGGATGCCATGCCATGCGATGAGATGCGATAGGAGTTGCTTGGTGGTAATTACGCGAGTGCATTTCGTTTGGCGGGGAGCTACTGATTTGATGGAGTTTACTTCTACCTGCTAATTTACATTACTCTATATGGTGTGGTAATGGTAACTGGTTGGCTTTGATGGCCGTTGCTTACCTAGTATGTAACGAATGCCATTTGCTCCCAGCCTTGATCACTCGCTTCAGCGATTCTCGAGCAAGATGCAAACAAAGATCTGCTCGAGCACACGTGTCTTCTGATGTGCGAGTTTTGAGCATGAGGGTTCCGACAAGTCTTGACAGGACAAGGCAGCATCGGCAATGGCAGTGGTGTTGGCGTTGAATTGGGCGAGTTGAATGTATCTTTCAAGATCTTGTCTTCGGGTTGTAGTGCTACATACCTACGAGTCTCCTCATCGCCTGTTCAAGCCTCGAGGAGCGCCAATCTCTGTCTAGTAATCCTGATGGAATCTGCAGTAGATTGCCAATCAGCGTGTTTGTTTGTCTACCTTTTCAAGTGCGTTTCAAGTGCGCACCTGCTCTGCAGTTGGTAGATACAGCCTCGTTCAGACTTCCTTCAAGATGCACTCCGGCTGGCACTTCAGGTAGGTAGTGCGCCTGGGCTGACTGCAACAGGTACTAATCCCTCCTGTTGCTGTAGAAACCCGCTACTGGAGTGCCCACTTCATCAGCAGACTACAAAATCATGGGAAATGAACGGCCGGATACACATGTAACTGCAACGGATGTAAGGCGACCGTACCGGCGAGGGTCAACAAATATAAGAGTCATGATTTTGTTTGTTGGGCGGCCGAAGTGCCTACACTGTGGACACTCTCGCAGGTATCTTGAATCGGTCTACTACAGGGCCTCGAGTCATGCGATATCACCTGCTCGGCGAACTTGACTCCCACGTCGAAACCTCCACATGAAACCGAAAAAAGAACAAATACAGAAAGATGGACAAGGAAACCACATGTAGAAGCCAACTATCAATCACGCCTTATTGTATGTTTCCCTGGTATCTTGTCGTTCGCTACACAAAGAAGAAAAACATTTAGAGTCCACCAATCGCCCTGGGGCCAAAGGTGAGGTTTCCCTCCGCCTGGTGCTCCTTCCACACCTGGTCCCAGTTCGTCTTCAGGTCGCCCTCAAGATCATCCCAAATCTTGTCAGCTCCCATGTATTCCTTCTTCTCACCCCACTTCTCCACGCGGTCCTTCCACACGTTTCTCATCACCTCTGTCAGCGCCAGGAGTCCGCCACCCGGGCCGTTGACAATCTCACGCGTCCACGGGTTCATAACCTCCTCGAGGATGTTCATGTCGGTGGGGACGTCGTCGGGCCACTGGACCATGGGGGAGCAGATCATATCGGGTTCTCCGCCGGCAGACGTTCCGAGGACCTCAGCAGCCGCGTGCTTTCCCGCGTGGTTCTCGGGGACGGCTTCGGCGGGGATGAACGGGATGAAGAAACCTGGGGACTTGGTTGCCATGTCGCGAATGATCTCGAAGTCGGCGAGGTAGTAGCCGCCGCGACGGACCATGCTGAAGATGGCGTACCAGAGGGCATTAGCTCGCTCGGGCTCGTCGGGGGGCATCCAGGCGGCGGCGGTGGCGTAGTGGATGGCTGCGACGCCGAGACGGCTGGGACTGGAGGCGATGGGGCCACGTGCGCCGGTTTCTTTGGAGTTGAGGGCGACGTGCTCGACGTCCATGCCGTAGCGGAGGTTGGCGAAAGCGAAGAGATTGTGCGCTTTGGCTAGCGGGGCGACGTAGTGGGTGTAGTATACCGTCCACCAACCGGGCTCGCCGGCGGGAGTAGTATGTTTCTCGTCTTCTGGAGGGTGAGGGTTGTTCTCGAAAGAATGGATGATCCACATGGTTATCGAGATGATTTCATCGAGAAATTTGATTCGGTTGGGGTCGCTGGGATTCTGCATATACTTCCTAGCGAGGGACTCCGCGAGGTGCACTTTAATCTGGGTTGCCCGTGAGTGTTGGTGGTTTTGACGGGGACATCAAGACACATGCTCGAGTACTTACCTGACGAAGAAAGGTCTCCTCGAGAGTCCTACCACGAACACCACCACTGACATCAGGCCATTGAGCTCGAGCCTCTTCAATAAGGTCCACACAGCGACGGAACTCTTCGTCCCCTATCTCACCCTCGGCGAATACATCCTTGATGAATCCGCATATAAGGGATGAGCGAATGCTCAGCTGCAGAGCCGGACGAACATAGTCCCAGCCAACAGCCATTGTGCTGCCGGTGCCTGCTCCGGTTTCAAACACTTGCCTAGATGATACTGGCTCGGTCAACCTACGCAGATATTCTTGGATCGTGTCCCTGGGTGACATGTTGGGTCCTATGGCATTCCGTCGCTGCTGCTCGAGCTGGAGACACATGCGAAGCTTACCGAGAAGCACGTGATCCATACGAGCCACGCGGATATCCTCGGTCATTGCGGTGGTGAGTTCTTCGAGTGTCTGGAGTTGTCCATAGATGAGTGGCTCGGGCTGGTCCGAGCGCGGAACCATCACTTCGACAGTATTGTACTCATTCAAGTGGATGAGAGCGTTGTGAAACTGCATTTCTCTGCAATAATCAGCACGATGGATTGTAGTGGTCTTGGTGGGGAGCCAAACGCTATCCACAACCTCCGAAAGCAAGATCCGATAGGAGGCCAGCTTCCGAACGGCACGCCCTGTTGCGCGCGACGCTCTGCCTCTCTCACGATGAGAATACCAGGAGAATTCTCTAGATCTCTTTGGGTATGGAGAATTCCAGGGTGCTCCGGTCTCGCGTTAAGCTTCTTGCTCAACGCTATGCGGGCCGTCAGCAACCAGACAGAACCAACCATAAATCACCCAGAAACAAACCTATCATCAGCTTCTTGACTTCGACCTCCTCCTTCTTCTTCTGATCATCCGAGAGGCTGTCGTCCAACCTGGTCACCGCAAGGGCCTCCTCGTAGACCACAAGAGCGTCCCTATACCTCTTCATGGCATCCAGAACCGTCGCCTTTCTTCTGTATCCTTTGGACCATTTAGGATCCAGCTCAATGGCACGTTTGGCATCGTTGAGGGCCAATGGATGCCGGCCGAGAGAAAGCAGAGCCGCCGAACGGTTGGAATACAGAAAGTGCGACGTCGGATTCAGAGCAATCGCCTCAGTGTAACTCGAGAAAGCTTCGGTGAAGTTCCTGAGATTACAAACCTCAGCTTTAGATCTTGCGAAATGAAACGCAAGGAAACCTACTTGAGACGAAAAGCGGCGTTTCCTTTCTGTTTCCACTCCTCGGACTGTTGGAGTTGATGCTCAGTCGGCGGGGGGCGAGGTGGAGCCATGGTGAGTGGTTGTTTGTTTGTTATGAGAGAGACGAGGTGGATTGAGAGCTTCGGAGCTATTGGGATCTTCATGAGGTCAGGGGTTTCCTACGGCACGAAGAATGCCGCTAACGTTTCTTGGCACGAGTGATCGGGAATGAGCTCCGTAGCTCCTGTTTCAGAGATTTGATACCTCCGCCAATTTTTATTCAATTGTCCCGGAGAAGGCTTACCAGGATCCTTAGAAGTTCAGAAAGTAGGACAGCCTCGCTGCGAGGCGTCTAAAAGATTGCTCCGGCAACAGAATAGTATGATATTTGAGAGAAATGGCAACTAACGCTTCAAAGTTGACTACCGGTATAATTCCTCCTAATCCTCGTACCCACCCGCACCATTTGTAGCCACTCCAAATCCTTCTTTCCCTCCTCTTCTGTCTCCATGTTGCCGGAAACCATCCCGCACACTCTAGAGGTTTGTGCTTATTTTTGTTTCCCTCAAACTCCTTCGACCGTGTGAGATTGACAATGTACCGGGCCGTCTGACGATGATCGGTATCGCACCCCCGGATAATCCATTTACGACCTAGATGACCAGCTAGATAAGACGGCTTACTCCCCTTACCCACCCACCCACCGCCTGATCTCATGCTGGACCAAATATTCACCCATGACAGGTGCGCAGTGTGACATAGAGTATGTATCGAGTGAGAAGATGTACATAACTTTGTGAGACAATCACGATCAGCCACGCAATATAGCCGGAGGGGCCCACTAGTGGGCACGTACGTACATGCAGGTAGCAACTGTGCTCCATTTCCAGCCACTCGGATTGTAAGCGAATCCTACTTGTAAGTATATAAATACCTGACTGCATCTACGGATTTAAACTCCTAGACTGGGTGGGTGTTGTCTCCGAAGAGTACATAAGGTCCGTCGGGATGGTCAACATCATGTATGACGTGCGTAGAGTGCACTACTTCTTTCCAGGGGCTGGATACATCCCGTTATTACCGTGCGCTGTTAAGTATGTAGATAGATAGACTATCTACCGGCATAACTTGCACGCTTCGTTAGCTATACATATGTCCGATGGTAGGAAAACGTGGTGAACGCAAGCGGCGAGAAGACAAGGTCTGGAGAACACCTACCAGGCCGAAGGAAAAGAGATAGATATGGCTGCCACGAGGCTGGTTCGATAGGCGAACCGAAAATGTTAAGTGGGAGCTCGACGAGATGGCGGAAAAAGAAGGCGGGCCAGAGAGCGGAGCGGGTATGCGTAACGGAGCGGCGATACAGGTGTGTATAAACCTCAACTCTCCCTCACTCATCACCACCAAAACCGGCAGAATCGTACATACTTATGTATCGCTAGCAGACCGCTCTCCGTCTGCAGTTTTCATGAAAACGGAGTTTAGCCTGGATGGGAGGATAGTTAGTATAAACGTGTCCACACACATAGCAGGAATAGTACCTTTCAAGCATTCGATATGGATACCTTGTAGTATTCGAGATGTCGGCGTAGTATATAACCTTCGAAAGCAGCCCGCCGGCAGCACGGGCTCTGATATTCAGGAAATCCGGGCCCCCAATGGTTCAACCCCCATGGATTCGAATACCGCAGCACGATAAATACTGCAAAGAACCCGATACCGGCGTACGTTCGATGGCGGAGGATTCGGACGAGGGACTCGTAGATTTTGAGACTGTCAAGCTCGAACCGTAAGCATTCGGTCCGGAAAGGGAGGGGGTTTCGAGTAAGTACAAAACTAATCGACGGGCATGACGGCAGGATCGAAAACAATGGTGGCGGGTCCGCGCCAACTTCGCTCTCGAGCTGGCGAACAGGAATGATCTCGTGTATCCTCTGCATGTCGGTGGGGTTCCTGCTCAATCTAATCATCACCATCTGGGCGGTGGCAAAGTTCTCGATCCACGACGGACTCGGAACTGTCTATGAGGGCTCCTGCGCAGAAGTTAAGACGCTGTCGGTGTGGATTCATGTCTTGATCAACACACTGAGCACCCTGGCATTGGGCGCCAGCAATTATGTTTAGCAGTGCTTGATGAGCCCTACTCGCGAGGAGGTTGATCGAGCCCACGCAAAGGGAGAGTGGCTCGACATCGGCGTGCCGAGCGTCAGGAATTTGTGGAGCGTCAAGCGGAGACGGATGATGCTGTGGTGGTTCCTCGCATTCACTTCAGTACCGCTGCATTTGCTGTAAGGCACGGTAATCGATGGCACATGACTGGACACTGACATGGAAATCGTGCAGATACAACAGTGCAGCGTTTGCAACAATAGCGACAACCGATTACCTAGTGGCTGTTGTCTCAGAAAATGCATTATCCTCGGAAACTCAAATCATAAATGCAACCAGATTTGATGTACCTGACGAGCTTTTGGTTTATGCGCCAGAATACGAAACATATGTCGACGATGCACGGCGCGGATGGTTGGAATTCCTCGGTCAGGCTCAAAACTGGAAGGCAGTCCCGGCCCGAGAATGCTTTAGCGCCTACGACACAGCATTTGTTTCCAGAAACCGAAATGTCGCTGTGGTTTTATACGGCAACAGCAGTGAGGCACTCTTGGATGGCTATATGGTCGACGCATCGGCGCCCACTAGCCGGGAGTGGCTCAGCCGTCCGGTGGGTTGGAGGTATCTATATTTCGGGAATATAAGCGATCAAAGGACGATCGACAGGATTCGATCCGGTGGGGAGTGGCAGGCTCGTAATCTCGAAGGAGAACTCGTCGCAGTTAAGGAATGCCGTACGGAAGCTCGGAAGGAATCCTGCAAGCTGCAGTTTTCGACATTGATATTGGCGATCGTTGTCGGGTGTAACGCGGTGAAAGCTATCTGCATGACCCTCACGCTGCTCGATCCAAACTTCATCCTGCTGGTCACCAATGGCGACGCAATCCGGAGTTTCCTGTTGAAGCCGGATCCGAACACTGCTGGAATATGCTACGCCGACAAGCAGTACATCGTGGCCCAGCGGAAGGCTGGAATACCGTGGAACAGCGGAGATTCGCGGCCGCAACCATGGAAACGCCACTCATACCACTACCATTGGCGGAATGCCGTCAGTCTCAGGCGGTGGGTTGTCAGTGTATCCTGTATGTGTATCAGCCTGATGGCCGTGGGGATTCTGCTGTGGCGAGCCGTCCAGGAGGATAGGTTCAACTATACTTCCAATACGATCAAAGACATCTGGAACCGTGGGTTCGACCAAGTCAGGCTGGGTTCCGTGGTTGAGCTGAACCCCAACATGGGCCTGAGCCTAACCGCGGCTGTGCTCCTCGCCAACTTGCCTTAGACGATCCTCTCCTTCCTCTACCTCCTGTACAATGCACTTTTCACGAGCATGCTATCGGCCCTCGAATGGAACAGTTATGCCAATTCTCGAAAGCCACTGCGAGTCACCAACCCGCGGTCGGGCCAGCGAAGCTCATACTACCTCCAACTGCCGTACCGCTTCGCCCTCACTCTCATGCTTCTCTCGGGGATCCTCCACTGGATCACCTCTCAAGCGATATTCCTGGCACGGATCGAGATATACCCCGTCGATCTGCTGAAGCTGCAGGCGGTCGAGGCCGGGCACTCCACGCTCTCGGTGGCGTGCTTCAGCACCGTTGCTATAATCGTGTCTCTGCCCGTAGGGTCCCTGACGGTAGTCGCAGTGATCCTCATGGGCCTGCGGAAGTATCGTTACCACATGCCGATTCCGAGCGGCTGTTCGGCGGCTATCAGCGCGGCTTGCCATCTGCTGGACGCGGACGAGATTATGAGGGAGGAAATCGTATCGAGCCCGTTGCAGTGGGGGGATGTCGATTTTGGCTCTGTGAATCGAGAAGGAAGAATAGGGCATTTGACGTTCTCGGCCCATCCAGTCGGCGAGCCGGTAGAAGGGAAGGAGTACGCAGGGTCATGGGCAAGACGGGAAGCGCTGCGGTGATGGAGGCGGATGATCAGAGGTAGCGGAACAGCGTGTTTGGTAGTAGTCCGTTCGGACATCGGAATCAAGTACATACGACTCGGTCTTTAAATGGAGCGGACTCGATTGGATCACTCGTAACTGGTTGTGCCGTCCAGCAGCTGATCGCGGCCAACTTCTGAGTCCACACGGGTGGCATTCCTGCTAGTACAGGAGGCCTATGAGACTTGTGGCTCTGAGCTTCTGGCTTCAGGCGACGATGATCCGCATTCACGATAGACTATCGTATATGCCGCCGGACGCACATACATTCGAACCACGGACCCTCACTCGCAAATGTCATTTCAGTCTAATGATGTGTCTTTTTGGTTCTATATAGGTGCACATAAGAGACGGGGGAAGGAAAGGGCTGGGACTCGCGGCCGGGTTGTCATCCAAGCAAACGTTGCGGAGACGATGGGTGTGGGGGTGGGGACACTGCGGAGCTATCTAGGTACGTTGTGATGGATGAGTTTGCAGACTCGCAGTGCGAGGAGGTCGGTCGTTCCGCAGACGAGAGCTTGGGTCGGGCTGTGGTTGAAATCTATAGGTAGGCAACGTTAACCATCTGTGCAAGTAAGCAGACGAGACCCTCTCGGTACGCCCGTGGAGTCGTATGTATAGTCAGCACCCTGTCGTGGAAGAAGCGCATCTATGATGGCGAACATCACGGCCTGGACCTGGCCGTAGAAATGCGTGGGGTCCGGCTACTGTGGAAGCAACATACCTGGTACTATTACTACTAGTATGTATGTGCTATTTACCTGCCTACATCACAGCTAGTGCTCACTCATGTCGCCCTATAGATATGCAATCTACTATATTCAGCCCTGAGATTCCACACGACTAACTAAAGCTTAATATTCGTGCCCAGCAGATGTGAGCTCCTGATATCTACACGACTCTGAGGCAAGACGGTTAACCATCGGCGTAGTACTCCTTCGCAGGGAGTACTTAGGTAGCTACACCGGTTGCTGCTGCGGTATTCAGGATACTTGACGGTAGTCTTCACGCTTCGTTGGATACATGGCTGATGTCTGATGGATGGTCAATTGGCTGGAAAACACCGTGCACATCCTCTCCATGCACATCCTCCCCGTGCAGACCGTCCCCGCTTTGTACCTACCCTCCCCGCATCATTGAAGATCTCTCCCAGCATTGATTGTCGCCATGCAACCGCGACACGATCCCACTGCGAGTACCGGAGACGGCGAAGGAGGCCTGGGAACGAGGGAATGACAAACGACCGCTCTGAGAAGGCAGCTGCGGCAATTGAGAGTCCTCAGAACGGCCATCGAGCTGAACAAAAAGAAACACATATTACCTACCCCCTCGTTAGCGACCGTCTCGATGCTGGGCGACCGAGAGCCGGCAGGTTAGTGTAACGAGACAGTGCGAATGTGGACGATCGAGAGCTGAAAATATCGCTTAAAGGCGGCATGCGTGGCGGTGGCTCATGCAAGTGGGAACGCCAAACCAGTAAGAGTGTCTCCTCACCCTACCTCCCCCCACTTCCCCCTATCAGAATTGTGAGTAACGCAACTGGTTGTCTGATTCCGAAGAAGACGACGAGCACATTGGGTACTCCACTAGTACCTCCAGCCAGCATGGAGCCGGCTGTCTCGCTGTGTTCAAATACCTCTACATGGAACCCGAAAATGCTACCTAGACGGCACAAGTCGATACTCAACAATTCTGGCCCTCAATGCTTGATCACCTCCCGTGGACGCGAGCACAGCAACACGATGATGTCGGCGAAAAAACTGACGCCGTGCACCCACCGGTGGATCATTCGAACGATAAACTTACAACTCTCGAGGCGGTTGAATTACAATTGTAAGCATCCAGTCCGAGGGCGGGTTGCGGATGCAAAATATAAACTAACCGGTGGTAATGGCGGTATGTAGGATGCGAGGTGCTGGCGGCCGTTCGACGAAATACTCGCCCGACTCTGACGATGGCGAGCTGTGTACGCGGGCTGCGGCACCACGAGAACCGACCTCGGGCTGGCGGATAGGATTGATATGGTGCATCGCCAGTGTGTCGATGGTGTTCCTGCTCAATCTGTTTATCACCATCTGGGCGGTGAAGACGTTTTCGGTCACCAATGGACTGGGGGTTGTCTTTGAGGGCCCCTGCGCACAAGTGAAGACGCTGTCGATATGGATTCATGTCCTGATCAACGCGCTGGGCACGCTGGCATTGAGTGGCAGCAACTATGCGCAGCAGTGCTTGACGAGCCCCACTCGTGAGGAGGTCGATCGGGCCCATGCGAAGGGAGAGTGGCTCGACATCGGCGTGCCGAGCGTCAAGAATCTGCGGAGAGTCAAGCGGAGCCGGATGGTGCTGTGGTGGTTCCTCGCAGTCACGTCGGTACCGCTACACTTGTTGTAAGTCCCGATCATCGATTACAGGCGCATGGCTGTACTGACATGTATATTGCGTAGATACAACAGTGCCGCGTTCACAACGATAGCATCAAACGATTACTTGGTGGCTGTTATTCCGGAGAATACGTTTTCGTCGGAACCTCCAACGATGAATTTCACCAGATCTGAAATAACAGAAGATACCTATTACCCGAACCTAAACAACTACACGCCGCAGTCGTGGGTAGAGTTTCTCGCCCATGCTCGAAACTGGACGGCGATCTCGCCTCGAGAATGCTTCATCGAGTACGACAAAACATTCGTCTCCGGAAAAAGAAATGTCGCCGTGGTATTACAGGGCAACAGTAACGAAGGGTTCTTGAATGGCTTTATCACGTCCCAGCCTTCGCTTTTCCCCCGGCAATGGCTCTCTGATCCAGTGGGGTGGAATGAACAGTATATTTACATGGATCTTGGAGAAGATGACAAAATAATGGGTGTTGTTCGATCGGGTGGAGAATGGAGGGTTCGAAACCTCGAAGGACAGGTCGTTCCGGTCAAGGAATGCCGTGCCGAAGTCATGGACGAAGCCTGCAAGCTGCAGTTCTCAGCATTGATACTAGCGATCGTTATCGTGTGCAATGCCGTGAAAGTTGTCTGCATGACCCTCACGCTGTTTGAACGAAACTTCATCCCGCTGGTCACCCTCGGCGACGCAATCCAGAGTTTCCTGTTGAAGCCAGATCCGAATACTGCTGGGATCTGCTACGCCGACAAGCAGTACATCGAGGCCCAGCGGAAGACGGGAATACCATGGAATAGCGGAGATTTGCGACCGCAGCCGTGGGAACGCCGCCCATTCCACTGGCGGAATGCCGTCAGTCTCAGGCGGTGGATTGTCAGTGTGTTCTGCATGTGCATCAGTCTCGCCGCTGTGGCATATTTGTTATGGCTAGCTGTCCGGTCGGATATGTCCGTCTACCCTTCCAATACCTTCAAAGATATTTGGGATCGCGGGTTTGCGCGGGTCAGTTTCGGCTCCATGGTCTTTGCGTTGGGGTACAAATTGCCCCTGATTGGGGCTGTTTTCCTCGCCAACTTGCCTCAGACGATCCTCTCCTTCCTCTACCTCATGTACAACGCACTTTTCACGAGCATGCTGTCGTGCCTCGAATGGAACAGTTATGCCAATTCTCGAAAGCCACTGCGGGTCACCTACCCGCGAGAGGGCCAGCGGAGCTCATACTATCTCCAACTGCCGTACCGCTTCGCCCTCACTCTGATGGTCTTCTCGGGGATCCTCCACTGGCTCACGTCGCAGGCGATATTCCTCGCACGAATCGAGGTATACTTTACCAAAATACCGGGCACACCGGAATTCGATGAGATTGAAACACTCTCCGCGGTGTGCTTCAGCACCATGGCCATAATCTTGGCGCTCGTGATGGGGGCTCTGACAATAGTCGTCATCATCGTTATGGGCTTGCGGAAATACCGCCACGACATGCCGATTCCTAGCGGCTGCTCGGCGGCTATCAGCGCGGCTTGCCATCCTCCCACCATGGACGACACCGGCAGGGAAGAGATCATTTCGAAGCCGCTGCAGTGGGGAGATGTCAGTGTCGGCTTCGAGGAGGGCGGAACGGGGCATCTGGCGTTCTCGGCTTATCCGGTCGGGAAGCCGATTGTCGGGAAGGAGTACGCGGGGTCAAGGGCGAGGCGGAAAGCGTTGTGATGTCTATGCATGGGCAGATGTTTGAGTGAAAGAGTTTATCGATTTAACTAGCTGGAGTACATAATTTTTATTAGAGCGGGGCAATGGGCGGTACGGCAGTCTATCCGGGCATCGGGATCCTGTCCGACTCGGTGATGTCTGTTTTTTGTTTTTTTCATCATTCTGTGTTCCGCCGTACAATACATACAGCCTCCTCAAATCACGCAGCGTATGCAGGATCATTATTAGTGAACTATCGCAAGCTTTGGGTATTGCTCTCGAAGAATCTGTCCAGTATCACCGGCCTCCGAGCCGTCGTATCAAAGTCGCTGACGCAGCTATCCGCTCCTCGACGGGTGATCTGCACAGGATCTCATTCGCGCCACAGGAGGAGTCGCGACGAAGTTGCAGTTCGTAGTTATACCCTACATACATGCTCTGCATTCCACAGGCTCGAGTACTAGTAAAGTACGAGTACTGTAGGTGTGCCACTCGCACCGAGCGTCATGGTGTGGACCGTGTGGTTGTGTAGTGGCTTGGACGCCCGCCCTCCCGCCGTGGCCCGTGGCTGTTGTTGCGAGTCGTAACTGCGAGCTCGATCCGTGCGGGCAGGCTGGCGGGCTGGCAGTATTTTACTGACGAGAGGGTCCGTTGGCATCCCTAGGACCTACGGCAGAGGGCTGCCACTTTTTATATTTTTTTTGCACCGGTCTTGAAGTTGCTCGGTCTGGAATCCCTTAGTGGTAGTTAGAAGCACTCTGGGAGAACTGTTGGGGTTTGGTGCTGTAGATAGATACCGTGATCGCCTACGGGCTGCGGGGCCTAGCATACTCGTGATGTAGTTCAAACTTTGGAGCGTGCCGTAACTAATGTCTCTGGCCCTACCGAGACGAGACGGATTGCCACGCCGGGACTCACATAGAGTAGTGATGGTAAGTAGAGTAGAGTACGTGCAGATATCTCGTAACGAGAGGACTTCGACATGGGTCCCTCCGATTCGATTCCTGCACATCCCATTGGCCGGGGCTGCTATGAGTGTGGGGACATTTCATTTGAACTTTGGACATTCTCAAAAAGAGGCCCTGAAAGTTAAAACCGCTCGCAAACTTATCGCGGCCTATGGTGCGGTAGGTTGGGAGTTACTAGTAGTTACCATGTATGCGATGTTTCTCGTCGAGCAGGGGGCTTCTTTGTGTTCGCGAAATGCGTGCTTCGCTCGCTTGCTTCGTGGGGACGGGTGGCAATTGCGGTTCCGATTCGCTCGTGTGCACTATCGACGGGGCTGGCAGTTAGATATATGAAGCTGACGAGGGCACTGCATCAACACTGAACAGTCAGACGGGCTGGGTTCTCGCTCTGGCTCTGGAGGGGGCAAGCGTCTAATCGATGGCTCAGTGTGGGTCGCTTCCTTCGAAAGCCATCTCGTTGGGGCGGCGGCAGTGACGAGACCTCATCGTGGTCGTCAAGATGCTCAATCGCTGCTCGATGGAGCTATTCACTCTGAAAGAGCGAGCGAGCCAGCGCGAAAAGGGACGAGGCGAGAAGTATTTGGAGCCCAAACAGCCTCCCACTGTGTTTCACCTCTCACCCCTGCTCGATCAGTTTCCCCTCCATCCATCCCCGACACAACCAAATCCAATCGACCAACCAACAAACAGCTTCCCCTCTCTCCTTGTCATCCCCCATCTCCTTCTCTCTCCTCCTCATCTTTCTCCTCCTCCTCTCTCCTCTCGTTATCATCTCATCCTCCTGCTCCCTTCTTCCTTCCTTTGCAAATCCACAGCATCATCTTCCAGGTAAGCAATATTCCATCCTCAGTCATCTCCTCTCCTCCTCCCCGCAGCTGTTGTCGCGCGACAGGCGCCCACACCGCCGTCCAGCAACAGTCTCCCTCTCGGACAGCTGCTCCTTGTTCCCCGCTCCATTTCCCTCTTCGTTCCCGTCAGCCCCACCACATCCCTCCCCTCCCTCCCACAACGGCACATTCTACTATCCGAGAGCTTAGCTCAGGTTGCGAATTGCTTTGCACATACCCATTCACTCTGCAGCTGGTGGTTGACGATCTCAGCAGAATCTGCTTCAGCTCACCAGGCTTCCGTGTCTGTCGCATCTACGATTCGCAGACGCGCTAACCGAACCCCTCCCCCCCATACCACCTTATCTCAGCTTTACGCGCGCGCCCTGCCCTTTACCTTCTCCCGAGTCCGATCCTTTGTCTGCTCATCACCTCACATCGCATCCCTAGACCATCTTCACGACCGTGAGCTGCGACGAAACTGAAACATAAGCAGCAAATTTCTTCTCGGATATCTTAGACGGAAACCCCCCGTATCCATCGGCCAGAGGAAACCTCTGCAAAGATGTCTCAACGACATGGCTCGAGAAAGATCAGCTTCAACGTAAGCGATCAATATGAGATCTTGGACGTTGTTGGAGAGGGAGCCTACGGAGTTGTCTGGTAAGCTTATCCCCGTACTGCTTCCTGCATTCGAGAAAATGCATCGGAACTGATGTGGAGATTTTGTGCGCTCGCAGTTCGGCTCTTCATAAGCCTTCGGGACAGAAAGTCGCTATCAAGAAGATCACCCCCTTCGACCACAGCATGTTCTGTCTCAGAACCTTGCGCGAGATGAAACTCTTGAGATACTTCAACCACGAGAACATCATCAGCATCCTCGATATCCAGAAACCCAGGGATTTCGATTCCTTCACCGAGGTTTACTTGATCCAGGTATGCCCGTGCGCCCTTGTTTCGGTGCGGAAAGGAAGAAGCGACTGACTCGCTTGTAGGAGCTCATGGAGACGGACATGCACCGTGTGATCAGGACCCAAGACTTGTCGGACGATCACTGTCAATACTTCATCTACCAGACGCTGCGCGCGCTCAAGGCCATGCACTCGGCGAACGTTCTGCACCGCGACCTCAAGCCATCGAACCTCCTTCTGAACGCTAACTGCGATCTGAAAGTCTGCGACTTTGGTCTCGCCAGGTCTGCCGCTAGCACCGAGGATAACTCGGGATTCATGACGGAGTACGTGGCGACTCGTTGGTACCGTGCGCCGGAGATCATGTTGACCTTCAAGGAGTATACGAAGGCCATTGACGTGTGGAGTGTTGGATGCATCTTGGCCGAGATGCTGAGCGGCAAGCCTCTATTCCCTGGAAAGGATTGTAAGTTCAATTGTGAGCTCTGCCCAATTTTGGTACATTACTGACATTGGGTTTCGTTTAGACCATCACCAGCTCACGCTTATCCTCGACGTCCTCGGTACCCCTACCATGGAGGACTACTACGGAATCAAGTCCCGCCGCGCCAGAGAGTACATCCGCTCTCTGCCATTCAAGAAGAGGGTCCCGTTCGCCTCCATGTTCCCCAAGACTTCACCGCAGGCTCTCGACCTGCTGGAGAAATTGCTGGCCTTCAACCCGGCCAAGCGTATCAATGTCGAGGATGCCCTGCGACACCCGTACTTGGAGCCGTACCACGACCCCGAGGATGAGCCCACTGCGCCCCCGATCCCCGATGAGTTCTTCGACTTTGACAGGCGGAAGGACGATCTGTCCAAGGAACAGCTCAAGAGTAGGTTTTATCCGTCACCCATCGTGTTTCGAGATCGATACTGACAATATTTGCAGCCCTCATCTACGAGGAGATCATGCGGTAGGGGGTGGTTTTATTTGGTTAACCTTGATTTGGTGCCTTTTTTTGTGGTTGAATACCCAACATGTGTATTTTCTTTCTTTGTTGATGTGTAAATCGAGTGTTTTTCCTATATCCTATTTGTTTTTTTTTTGCTACGGAAATGTGGGGTTCGGATCATGTCGGGATGTGTCGACGCTTTGCTTCTATACGGCTGTTGGATGGGGTTATGTCAAAAGAGCAACCGCTTTCAAAAATGTGGTGTACCTATCGAATGGATCGAATGGTAACGAAGTAGTTTGAATCTCTTGTGAAGAAGAGAATGGCAGGCTCCTGCCGCGTTCTACCCAATAGATCGTCACGTCCTTCTTATACCTACCGTCGAAGTATATGCAGCTTCCATACGCAGCTGTACCAGTAATCGACTGAGCGAACATCTAGAGTAGCCCGCGAAACTCCTCAGCCCAACTGCCCTGGCAGATCTTCCGTGATACGGTTATACATGCGCTAAAATGGGGTGTGGATGTTGTGGGTAGGAGTATGCGAGGTGTTGTGACGGCTCTGCTTGATGAGAGGGGCGTTTATTGTCTGTGAGGAGGGAGGGAGGTAGGTATTCAAAAGAAGCCCCGAGCGTCAAGAGGCGGATCAACAGCAACAGCTACCTATCCAGCTATCCAGCACCACCTTGGAGACAGGTGTCGAGGGTACCTATTCCAATACAATCACAGAATATTGCTCATATATAATATCCGAACTACATTGAGTCCCATTCATCACATTGTCTCATAACATGACTATATCGCATAGCATCGCATCCCACCCTATCCCCCGGTTTCCAGGTACCTACACACACAGACACACACAGGCACACATAGACAGGCACACGACGATACACGACGTAACAAGCTATCTAGTCAGTCAAAGTATTAACCCAACACCTCAACACCAACACCTCAATACCCTTCCAGCGCCATTCGATTCCATTCAGTTCCATTCCATTCGATTCCATTAAGTCATTACTCCCCCCGCTACACCCCCTTCTTCCCGTGCCATCACCGATCCACGACGAGCCGATCTCTGTGCAGTCTCGGGCCGGAACTGACTCGTTTCTGCAGGCGATCCAACTTCTCCTGCGGGATAGGAGGCACCGCGTCCTGGCGGAAGCGCTTTGCCGTCTTGTGGGCGACGTATGATCGTGCGGCCTCTGACAGTCCCTGCTCCGTGCTGGCCGCCAGTGGGAACGGCATCTCGCCGCCGTTTTGGAGGAGCAGTTCGGCTAACGGGAAGGGCGTGGTGGTTGTTGTTGCCGTGGGTTCGGTGGGAGAGGTTGGCGACATGCTGGGCGAGAGCGGGCTGGAAGCGGCCAGCGCAAGGATTACGACGTGCATACCCGTTGCCGGGTCGACGGTGTTGGCGCTCCCGTGGAGGGCGAGCGCGTAGAAGGCCGCGGGAAGATCCCCCTTCTTGACTGCCTCAAGGAGGAGTTCGTCTGGTGAGTCTGTTATTGATAGTGTGGGACTTAGTGGAGCGACGAAGGCGCGTTGAACGTATTTGGCAGTGATAAACTTGAGCCGTGATTCGCGAGAGGACTGTGGGCCTGGCCGGAGGGCGGGTTCGGCTTTGGCTTCCCAAACGCTGTTGGCTACTCGGTTGCCGATTTGGCAGAGGAGCTCGACGAGATCGGGTGTGAAAGAGGTAACGTCCAAGGTTAGTGAGCGAACTTTGCTTATGTGTGTACCAAGGGAACGGTGGAGGCCGCTGCATTCTGCTGGTAGTCAGTGTCGTGTAGGCGGTAAGTGCTAAATGGATGGATAGATCTCACCAATGCAGAGTACAATCCCCAGGTTGATGGAAACCCACTCGGTCTTGACCTGACTTCCACAGTCCGCACAACTGCTATTGCTCGGATCCGCATCTCTGATCAACTGCAGCAACTTCTCCGGATCCTCTCCGAAATTGCTACTGTTCCTCCTCGCCGCATTAGTCGGCGGCCGAGCACCCACCGTGGTCCGGCGGTAGATATTATTGGCATTGGCTGAATTGCTGAGCGGATTGCTGCCATGGACGGAGTGATGGTAGTGCGGACTTTTACCTGTCAGGGCGGACTGAATATTCTTCAACTGGACAGCATCACCCTCGTTCTCTATTGGCGAGGCGTCAAAGTTTTTGATTGAGCCTCCGCTTTCGATCGTGCTCTTGACCGCGTTGTGGATGGACGATATCCAGTTGTTCATGTCTTCCTCTGACGTTGCTTGGTATACCCGCTTGTACTGTGGCGTAACGACCTCGAAACAGAATCGGCGGTCCGAATTGCGCGCTTCTCGTACGGACGCCATCTTGAGGTTGATCGGGTCGTTGTGTAATCCTAACTTCTGCTTCCAGTTGGAATATTCGCACAGCTGCCCTCCGGCAAGAACAACCCAGTATCTGTCGGTCATGTCAGCTAGGAAAACACCCTTGACTTCATTGGTTTATCGTACTTGTGCCACGCTTGCTTGTTCAACCCCTTGGGATCTACGTGACTTCCTGGCCTGCTGAGGGCCCAGAGAAGTCCCTCTTTCCTGCGCTCCGTCTCCTTATCCACCCCCAGTCCGCCTTCGCCGATGGCGATGCCACGGTACTTGAGGGATCCCGAGTTTATCTTTGCCGGCGCCGAAGCCGAAATCGGAGACAGCACGGTGTTGTCCTGTTGTGGGCCACCTTCACTGCCGGAAGACACGGCCCTTACACTACTAGTGCCCATGCCCAAGCGCTCGAAACCGGTATTGAATCCGAGGATATCACTGCTGGAAGGCCCGCCATTGGGATTCGGTGTTGTCGGCGGCAAAAACGGGGGAATGGATTCCGGCTCGACGTAGACCAGATTATTCTTTTCCAGCACTCTCCGCCGTTCTTCCCGCTCAGTGCGCTGTATCTGAAACTCCTTCGCGGTTTCCTTCACCTCGTGATCCAACGCCTCTAGCTCTGGAAGGAGATCCTGGACCTTCTTCGCGGTGGCGAGGAATCCGCGCGCTTGCGCATCCGCAAACTTTGTGAGTTGTGCCAGAACCTCCTGTTCTTTCCGACCACCGTGAAGATCCTGCATGAACGTGGAGTAGTCGAAGCGCTTGAGCTCAAAGTTCTTTCGTTTGGCCTGATATTTGGACTCGCTCTCTGCCTTCTTCTTCTCCTTGCTCGGGTCGTTCCGGATACCGAGGTAGCGGCTAACATAGTTGTAGTAATCGCGGCTCTCCTCCTCGAAGTCCCTCTTCTTTGCTTCAGCCTGCTTCAGGTCCACCTGGTAGAGCTTGGTAAGCGGATCGATAATCAGCTTCTGGAGGTTTGTTCCGTTCAAGCGCTCGTACGCCAGGATCTCTTGGAATGTCCGGTTGAAGTAATGGTCGAGTGCGGGTTGGATTCCCGGGGCATTGCCGGTAGTCGAGACCTCGCGCAGAGACTCCTGGAAGGCAGCGAGCGCATCGATGCTAGTGACCTGCGCCTGACGGGCCTGCTCCGCGCGCTTGAGAACCTTCTTCATCTTAGTGCGAAGGTTTCCTGTCTTCTGTTCCAAGCTTTTCATCGTAGCTCTGAACAATGGGCCGTCGTCCGACACGGAGCTGTCTACCGGCCGGGGACAGTTATCAACCCTTACCGCGGGGATGTTCGTGATGGAAGGTGCAAGCGTCGACCCGTCGAAGTTGTCAATCAACGGTGATGGCAGCTCGCCATCGGTGTAGTCGCCCAACATCGCCATACCGTTACCGACGCGCATATCCGTCGATCGACTCGAGCTCACTCGAAGTTTCGGCGGTGAGTTGAGCAGATACTCGGGACCGATCGCGGGCGATGGAGGCCATGGTGCAGCTCGTACGGATCCTATAATTCCTACCGTCAGCTTTCCCACCAAACTATACCGCCTTCGTCGGTCCGAGAGTTGCTCACGCGGCACCCAGAACGAGAACTGTGCCAGTGTCGATAACTTGTGCGCCCGCTGATCATATTCGACAAACTATACGCGCGCCGACACACAGAAAAGATATCAGTCCTCAGCTTTACTTTTCCGCACCGAACAAGAACAAGAGCAAGAAGGGCGTTGTATGTAGGTATATGTACACTGCAGGTATTCCTCCAGCCAAAGTTACTGGCACCCCCATCCTGGCCCTGTGGTGGTCTCCAGCGCCATTTATAGTCGAACTGCACCGCATTCGAGCCGTCGGTGGAATAGTCGCCGACGAGATTGACGTTCGGGTTCTTGTGCAAGTTCGGGTCGGCGTGGAACTCTCGGGTGACGAGGTTCTCAATCTCGCGCGCACTAGAAGCAGTGATAAAGGTGAGTCCGTTGATGGTCGTAATCGTGCTGTTGTTGCCGTTTGAAGCTGTTCCGGCAGTCTCCTCTCGGCGGCGAATGGTAAATGTAAATATCAGATTAAGCTCGTCCTCGGCGGGTGGCAATTTAATCAAGAACGGTGTCGTAGAATTCGGGTCCGGGTCCTATTATTTTGCATCGCCACGGATTACCATCATCACAACCACAGCAACCACCACAGCAGAAGCACCCCCGCAACCGCAACCGCCGCCGGAGTTTCCACCCACCTGCACAAACTCAACCAACCCCTCATCGCCGGGCTCTCTTCTGGCGGTAACCCTCGAGCACGGAAAGGCGTTCGGAGCGATCCGCAGCAACACCCGATTGTGAGAATTCACCACTTGGATGGCCGAAATCGATACTAATCGCACGCATCAGCGCCCCTGCCCCTGCCACTGCCCCGCGCCCAACTGCTCTTCAATTCGCGCCTGAGGTGGTAGTGGTGGTGGTGGATTCGTACATCTCCACTGATCTCGCAGGTACATCGTTGCCCCATCCTCCAGTCTCCCGCTGACGTTGCCCATGGTCTCTCGGTGGTGGGCGTGGGCGTGGGTTGTGGGTTGTGGTGTGGTTGCGATCGCGATCGTTGGGGGGTGAGGTGGGTTATGTGGTCGTTGGAGTCTCGCGCGCCGCAGGGTCCACCGGTCTTATCTCCTCTCACGTTTACCTGCAAAGTTACCTACCTACCTACCTCCTCGAGATCGTTGCGTCGCGGGAACAGGAAAAGGCAGCAAGTAGAGTGTGTAGATGGTGTTTAGGTAGGGTTGGTAATTACGGCTAAGCTGTGGTCGTTGTCGTCGTGTCGTTTAGCATGCGAGCGAAAGGAGCGGCGGCGGCGGCGGAGGTGGGTGGTTGATGGGGGGAGAAGTGGAGGTGGAAGGTGGAGATGTGGAGGTGTGTGTGGGTTAGGCTCAGGATACCTAGACGGAAGGAACGACGATGATCTCTGGACAAGGGCGGCAGTTGGAACTCGGGGGATGGGGAAGGGGTGGGGAGTTGTGAGTTGCTCGATGGCGATGAGTGCGCGGTTAACGGTCGGACAGACGGGAGGGCAGCAAACAAACAACAGAGAGTACGATAGTTACGGATATGGAGGGAGGCAGGTATAATAAGACGAGACGCGAACTGAAATGGATGCTTTACGGTTCCTGTGACGATGATTTGGTAGGTATATGCCTATTTGGTGAACAAGTGTGCGTGGAGGACACTCGTGATAACTATCCTTCACAGGCACATACTTCCGCTGCGAACCCTTTTCTGTTTGGGTGTTTCTGTCTCGCTTCACTCTCATCGCATCCATCCATGGCCACTCTAACAACTGACGGACGGAGACAGCGCCGCGACCTGCTGTGGGCGATGAGATAAGATGATCAGACAAAGATGGCAGATGGATAAGATAAATCACCGGCTCTGGCTCTCACTCTCAATCATCGCTACCTATCCTGCAACTCCAACAGTTCCTTACCTCTTTGTTGGCATCTCTCAAAGACGAGACCGTTGTTGTCATCCTCTCTGGTCCGATGCATTCATGGCCCCTCACTCGGATTTCCTGGTACAAGCTGTAGATGGGTAAGTACATAAGCAAACGGTGCGCCAGCCAACGACGATACGGGAGCTTGGAGCTCGGAGCTTAAGACACATGGCCAAGTCACCACTCCTGAATAGAATGTTCACTAGACGTCGCGTGCGAATGTCACCGACGCGTGGGTGAGCCGTGGTGGAATGGTGTCTGGCCGGGATGAGCACATTGTGTCACGACTCCAAGCCCCGCATCACCACTTCCCAGCTCGAGCAGCCCCACCACCATCACCATCCCACCACCACCATCACCACCACCCCACCCCACCTCGCCATCACCTCCAGCCACCATGTCCTCGACCGGTCTCCCCCCCGACTGGATCGTTAAGCACAGCAAGTCCAAGAACGCGCCGTACTACTTCCACTTGCCCACGGGGATGTCGCAATGGTCAGCGCCCGACGGCACCAACGAAGACCTGCTAGCCGCGCACGTCGCCACGCTGACGCAGACGCAGAAGGTGCGCGCCGCGCATCTCCTCGTCAAGCACCGCGACTCGCGCCGTGCGAGCAGCTGGAGGACCCCCGAGATCACGCGGTCCCACGAGGAGGCCATTGAGATCATCAAGGGCTATGAGAGCAAGATAAGGAATGGCGAGGCCTCGCTCGCGAAGCTGGCTGAAACCGAGAGCGACTGCTCCAGTGCCAGGAAGGGCGGTGATCTGTTTGTCCCTCCCCCATACCCCATACCCCGCACCACAACGGGATGTTCTGAGGGCGGGGGCTAATGTAGTGGAAACAGCGGGTTCTTTGGGAGAGGTGAAATGCAGAAGGAGTTTGAGGATGTGGCTTTCTCACTCAAGCCCGGCGAGATGTCGGGTCCCGTGGATACTGGGAGCGGCGTGCATCTGATTGAAAGGTGAGTCCCCGTGAAGGAAGAGACGTGGTGGAGAGGCAGGGCTGACAATAGGATAGGTTGGAGTAAATATAACAAATACGTCGTATGCATGCACTAGGTATCTAGGCACGGCGTGGAAGTGGTTCAGATTGACTCTGATAGAATAGAACTATTATATGACACGATCCACATTGGCACGAGGGGGGCTATCGGGAAGCTGCAGAGAGTGACAGCCTGGTCGTGCAGTGACGGATGCCATCTCAACCAAACTTTCCAGTTTTCTGGGAAACGGTCTGCTACACCAACCCCCATCCCTCTAACTTAGCGATGGTGCGGTACGGGCCTTCGCGAACGCCAAGATGGTGACTTGTTCCGTTCGTGTCCTCCAACATACGCCTGGCGAGCGTGACGAAAGAGGAACGTCCCCCGCCCCCGATGTGAACCTCCAACCAACCCCGCTCAAATCATTCTTGGCCCAAACCCCAATGACGGGCCGGTTGTGATGCTATCATAGTACCTACACTCTGCCGTACGAGACATTCAGGTTTGTTTTCAGCCGCACATTGCTTCAACGAGAGTTCTTACTCGTGCTGAGCGGTTTGCACATGGCTGGGCACTACTCGAGTAGACAAATAGAAGGTGAACATTGGGCCGTCTTCAGTTACAAACAACTGGATGCCGTTTGATACGGAAATTACCATCAGGTCTGTAGGAAACAGCACATCAATCATCCAATCAATCCGTTAATCCATCGGTCTATCACCCCACCAATCCATTAACTCATAAACCAATTACATCCTATAATCGGTGGTTGGGGCAATCATTTCAGCGGCTGCCCAGCACTGTTCTCGGAGCACAGACAATCGCGATTCCATATTAATGTCCTCCCGCGATCGGTGAGAAGAGCCAAAACGGCAGTACATGTGTATAGTAGTAAACCAGTCACCCGTGTGTCTTTGGGGGAGTACTTACGTTCGTACCAATGTTCTACCTCACTGTGGTCGCTGGTCAGAAAAAGCAACCACTGGGTATCTACGGGGCACCGCACCTATGCGCAAAGCGGGTGGTGGTGGTGAGAACTGCGTTGTGCTTCTAGAAAACGATGATTGCATGCCACATCAATTGGCATGTACGATGAGCAGTTTATCCAGCCTCAGCTCAAAGAGTGCGATGGCCGATTCCCATATTCCCATCTTCGCCACTTTGGGCAACCGCGGTGTGTGTTGCTCCCTATTATGGGTTGATCTAGACCACAAGGCTCCAGGTGCCATGTGGCCTTGTTGGTTTGGGTATGCATATGTCAATTGGAAGCCATCGTTCTCTGATCGGGTCGGAAAACGCCGCTCTTGAAATTGGGAGGAATGACTTTGGGAACCATACTATAGTCTTCCCTCAGGCCAAACATGCTCTATGTCGTTCGGTGAATTCAATGGTCAGGCTTGTAATTGATAATTTGACATGTATCTCGACGTGCGGGGCAGCGTTTGTGAAACTGTGGAGTATGTACTGACGAACAGTGTACTTACAGTAGCGGCCCAAGATAAGCGGTTGGGCCAATACCTATGTGAGACATGAGACACAAAAGTGGCGACTGCAGCTTCATACATAGCTGCCAGTAGTATGCATCGCCAGTGTTGGTGGCATCTCCACGTTGGTGATGGTAGCTTCTTGGCCGAATGATACATCACCTTACAGCACTGCAATATAATGAACTGGAACAACGAACATAATTATACAGGCTGCTATGTATCCCCTCCAATGCAATAGCCATCCAAGCCCACAGATCGTGGATATAACACGACAATACAAGGCTCGACGAAAAAGAAAAGAAAAAGAGACAAAAAAACATAAAATCTGGCTCATCTGTCCATCGAATGTCGAAATTCACCATTGCCCCCACAGCAGACTTACGAACGACCCCTCGTGCGCGGGCACTTCTTTGTCTAGTAGCCCATTGCTCAGGTTAGTATCCATAGCCTCAGGCTGGTCCTATCCCACAGGTATTCGGGCACGCGCAAGTATGTATTGACATTCATCCGCCGTCAGTTCTAGGAAACTGACCAATTGCTTGAGACTTTCCACGGAGCCCACTACGAAACCACACGATGGCATCGTTAATCCGATTATCCGCTCCATGGCCGGCCATGATCACTATCATCGCGTTATTCCTGGTCTCTCTCACGTCCGCCGACCATTCGAACCTCACCGCGGGGGTGCAAGTGCACAATCACAGCACCTCGCTCGGGCCGATGACCTACGCCAAGAGCCCCGAGGGCCGCGGGACGTGGAACATAATCCTCAGCTGCACGGCGACGTTCCTCTTCTGTGTGTGGACGACGGTGCACCCGGACACGATTCCGGCGTTGTCGACCTGGCACCGGTTCTTCTACCGGAGCTTGCTGATGGCGATTGCGGCGATCAACCCCGAGGGCATTGCGGTTCTCGCGTACAGACAGTGGCGCGATGCGAGAATGGTCAGGAATGAGTGGCGGGATTACTTCAACGGGAAATACCCCACCAAAGACAGTAAGCCACAGGACCGCATCGTACGGAAGAAATTGAAGAAGTGGGCGAATCTCAAAATGACCACGGCGTTCTTCGTCGTCATGGGCGGGTTCGTCATCGACAGGTCTGAAGCCGTGTCGAAGAAACCTAGCAAGGAGAATTATTCTGGCAGGTTCAAGAAGTACAAGCTCAATCCGGACGGCGCGGTGGACGATCCCCATTATTTTGACGCGGTGGGCGATCCCGGGCATTTCATGGCGACTCTCACGCCGAAAGGCTTTGTCAGATACCTCAAGGCGGGATACTTTGACGACTACATCAACCCGCCATTCCAAACAGATGATATCAAGGATAAGAACAAGGAGGATTACTTTGGGAAGATCTTGGCTTCCTCGCAGGCCTTCTGGCTGCTGGTTCAGTCGCTCCAACGATACATCCACGGCCTTACAATAACGTAAGTAGGTATTGAACCACCGCCACTCGGGAAACACCGCTAACATGAGTACTAGTCTACTGGAGATACACGTTCTGATCCAAGTAGCCTGCACCGTCCTGATATTTCTGTGCTGGTGGCAGAAGCCAATGGACGTCAACGAGCCCATCCCGCTCAAGCTCAAACTAAAGCGCCAGCCCGAGAACGAGCAGGTAGACAATGGGGCACACGGGTCTCGAGCGGACACACCCAGTGATACCGGCTCGACGGAGGAATACGAATACGTGCAACCGTTCCTTGGTCTCACGGAGGAAGAGCTTCTCTCGAGAGAAGCGATCGACATCGGGCCGGGCTCGCCACTGCCACTGGACCGGGACTACACAATATCCCGCTCCCCAGCGGGCCTCTCCGCCGTGACCAACCGGGCCTTCTACGACATAATCGTGTACATCACGCGGGTGGACAAGCTCACCTCTACCGGCAGCACCAACCCGCCGCTGCTGCGGCGCCTGATCTCCGCGCTGATCAACCCGAACATGATGTTCGTCGAAGGGCTGTTCATCACGATTCTCGCGGGACTTCACGCGGTAGCGTGGAATCTCGATTTTCCCACGCCGACGGAGCGGCTGCTCTGGCGGCTGTCGTGCGTGGGAATGGCGGTGTTCCCCGCGGCGACGATCCTCGCCGCCGCAATGAACTCGTATCATACGGACCTGACTAAAGTGCTCTGGCGAAATAGCATGGTCGGCTGCAAACCGCTCGAGTATCTGCCCCAGGCGCTTATATATCTCTACGAGATCGCTGAGGTCAGTGCGCAGAGTCGACCTGCACCCGCCGCCGGTGCCGGTGCCCTCCCGACCGCACAGGAAAACAAACCCCAAACTGTAGTAGTCACAGAGTCTGCTACGAATATCGAAGCGCAGACCCCCGCTGTCGACCAGCCGCTCCCAACGTCGAACTGGAGGATCCTCCTGCATGTGTTCCTGCTGATCCTGTGTCTGCTGCTGCTGGCGGGATATCTGGTCTGTATCCTCTTCATCACTGTCGAGGGGTATATCAGTCTGCGGTCTCTGCCGGATGATGCGTTTGTGACCGTGGGTTGGACGGATTATTGGCCGCATGTTTGAGCCTGGAGGGGGGGTGTGTGTTGATATGTATTTTTTTGAGGGAGTTTAGGGTGGGTTTGGGGTGGGTTTGGGGGGTTTGTTTGGTCAATGTTGTCACGATCTTTACTTTGCAATTTCTTTTTCGTATGGGCTTTGGATATCATAGGCAGCAACAGCAATCGAGAATTGGCATCTGGGGGGGGGGGGGTTTGTGGGAGATCGGAAATCTCATCTCATTGGAGTTGGATTTGGACTTGTATTTGGGGGCGAAAGCTTATTCCCGCGGAGAGGGCCAACACACTGGTATGTGTAATTATAGTAGTCTACCTATAATAATTCTTCGATCATACCAATGATTATCTGTCTGCCCGCGTGTGTATGTGTGTGTGTGCTTCTGGCGACTCCGAATCCAACGATCGGCCACCCGGGCATTTGTTTGAAGCCAGCGACTCGGAACCCATTCTCCTCGGTCTGTCAGGCCAATCACGACCGACGACTCCGCCCGTTCTTTGTGTTGAAGCCTGAAAAAGCGGGAAAGCGTAACTATCTTCAGTGAACGTTGTAATGTATACTCTATACAAACATTCATACCTAGTCAACGATATGGACGGAACGGCTGTCGACGGAGACGGTGACGGTTTGCCGCCGTGGCGCGTGAAGTTTAAACCATATTTTAGCGCGCTCGGCCCGACCACGCAAGCGCCGAGCGAGCGGGAGCTGGAGTCACGGAACAAGATTCCTGGAGACTGGAGACCATGGACGGCGAAGATCGTGCTTGCGGCGAGATTGCTCCCGCGGGTGTGCTCGTCGAGTCGTCTCTGGCGAGTACCTACCGGTACCTAATGTCGAGACTCGATGCCGTCGAAGATCAGAGTTGCGTGGGTACCCGTACATACATATCAGAATGGAATTTTGCAGCCCCAGGTACCGGTACGGTACTCAGGCGAGCCCGAGCTTCGGCTTCTCGTGGTAGATGACCATATACATGTAGTTCTTCGGAGAGATATCTGGCAAAGCCCCACCCTGATCACTTATGTACGGAGAAAGTTGAAACGTATTGAGAGTGTGGCCCGTCTTCATCTTCATCTTCATCTTCATCTTCATCTACTCTACTATTAGTACCGTGATACCAGCTTCTTATGTCCGTCCGTCCGTCCATCCGCCACCCTCTCGTCGCCGTCGTTCCTCTCAGCTCTGTATGTATCTCCTCTCTTCCCGGGATTCAGTATTTCTACTATCCTTTGGCCTTAGCCTCGCTCCATTTTTCGTCTTTTTTTCCCAAGGGGGTTGGAGCGGGAAGCCATCGATCGTTGCATTTCTTCCAAGTTCTAAGTTCCATGGTCCTCGTTACCGTATGGTGCCTGCAATTTTGAAGGGCCCTCTTTTTGCGGTTAATTGTTCAAGCCAGCTAGCAGCCGGCAGCAGCTATGAGTGACGGAAAGTGAAAAAGGCACAGGTTATGTACCTCCCCCCATCACTAGATTCCTGGTCCGATGCTGGTGTGAATATCTTTTGCAAGATGTAACATCGGGTTTTGTATGGAAATCATCATCGTGTACACTAAACCCCCACGTGATAGCAACTGATTTTCACTCTAAAGTAAGTGTAGTGGTCACATGCACTCGGTTGGAGAAAAGCTCGGAGAGATTTTCGGACCCGGAACTCAGCTCTTCAACTACCATCCGAAATACGGGCCGCCATCCAGACTCTACCACCGGATAGCCTGTCCCAGGATATGCATAGCCAACCACCGGCAGTGATTGATTCTCGTAGTGGAAAGGAACTGGTGTATACCAGTCATCGCCGGCTGGTGAAGTTGCATGTTTGAGAGTTGTCAGGTGATCTTTTTTGATCTTTTTGGTGGGGCCGGCTGTTGCCATGTAAGTTATCCGGGTGCAAAGCTCAAAACCACTGTGCCGTTATATACTGTAGGCACCATACCTATGGCCTTGCATTCGCTGTAACTTTTCATACACTTCCTAGTAAACCCCGATGTACCCAGTGCCATCTTATACCCCGAATGAGAGGGAGAACATCAATTATTGTCGTATACGGCCTGTCTAGCCTACCTATAGCGACGACCATATCCAACTGGCCTCTGTCCCGACACCGGCCCCCACGCGACTGACACTGAGTGACGTCTCGTGTTCGAAATCACCTCACCTCACCTCACATCACGTCGCATCGCATCACATCAAGCACGGGAAGAGAACTCTATTCCACTTCATCAGATGCCAGAGAGCGGCATATGTACCTATTATCATCACAAATTTTCCCCCAGGGAAAAAAAACCCCCCATCCCCATCCCCATCCCATCCCATCCCATCCCAATAACAAAAGAAAAGAGGAAAACACCCGAAACGAAAAGAAAAGGAGAAAGAAAAACACCAGAAAGATTACAAAAGATTTAAATGTTGACGGCAGTCCTGAAGTGCTCACCAGCGTAGACAGCATTGGCACCGAGCTCCTCCTCGATACGGAGGATCTGGTTGAGCTTGGCGAGACGCTCGGAACGGGCGGGAGCACCGGTCTTGATCTGGCCGGCACGGAGTCCAACGACGATGTCGGCGATGGTCACGTCCTCAGTCTCACCGGAGCGGTGGGAGACCATGACACCCCAGCCAGCGGCGTAAGAGTCCTTGGCGGCCTGGATCGACTCGGTGAGGGTACCGATCTGGTTGACCTTGAGGAGGAGCGAGTTGCACGCCTTCTTCTCGATGGCGGTCTTGATGCGCTCGGGGTTGGTTACGGTCAAGTCATCACCGACGATCTGGAAGTCGGAGGTCTTGAAGAAGTAGGACCAGGCCTCCCAGTCGTCCTCGGCGAAGGGGTCCTCGATCGAGACGATGGGGTACTTCTCAGCGAGGCTCTTGTAGAGGGCGGCCAGCTCCTGGTAGGTCAACCACTTGGAGCGGTCGGAGTCAGGGTTCTACATAATGTTAGCTACATAAACTCCGATGGTAAGATGGGGTGTGATCGCATACCTTGAAGTCCAGGTCGTACTTGCCCTCACGGTAGAACTCGGAAGAGGCAACGTCCATGGCGATCTTGATGGTACCCGTGTAACCAGCCTGCTCGATGGCGTCGGTGATGAGGTCAAGGGCCTCCTCAGCGGTCTGGATGTCGGGAGCGACACCACCCTCGTCTCCGACATTGCCGGCAGACTGTCCGTACCTCTTCTTGGCCAGAGACTTGAGGATCTGGTAGACCTCGGCACCCTGACGCATAGCCTCCGTGAAGGTAGGGGCAGCAGAGGGGACGATCATGAACTCCTGGAAAGCGAGACGACCACCAGCGTGGGATCCTAAAGCATAGTCAGATCAGCTACCGGAGAATACCGGACGGACGTCAAAGGTCCGCCGAGGGAAAGCAGCTAACCTCCGTTGAGAACGTTCATGAAAGGAACGGGAAGAACATAGGGCTTCTTGGTTCCGGCAAGGTCCGCGACGTGAGCGTAGAGAGGGATACCCTAAAACCGCGCATAAAGTATACCAGTTAGCCGGGTTGAGTCGAAATAAGCACGAGCAACTTGAACACCCGACGGACCCTGGTGCCCATCATCCGACGGCAACGGAAGACATCCCCCCGGATCGTTCCGACCCCAGCCCGCCAACCCGACCCAGCCCAACGAGCTTCCGATCCGTCACCGCTACCGAACTTCACCCGAAGACGAAAACCAGCATGCGAGGACGAAAATACCCCGGGGCTAATGCACAATGGCGCCGGATAGAAGCGAGGGGTGGAGGGGATGATGCGCGCAGCATGTATGGGGTAGGTAAAGTAAGGTAAGGTACTTTGGGGCTAACTAACCTTCTCAGCGGCAGCAGCCTTCGCGATAGCCAGGGAAACACCGAGGATGGCGTTGGCACCGAGCTTTCCCTTGTTGGCGGTGCCATCGAGGGAGTTCAGGAAAGCGTCGACGGCGGCCTGGTCCTTGACATCGAGGTTCTTCTTGATGACAGCGGGGGCAATGACGGAGTTGACGTTCTCAACAGCCTTGAGAACACCCTTTCCAGCCCACTTGCTCTTGTCGCCGTCACGGAGCTCAACAGCCTCGTGCTGACCTGTACATTGTGATTGTTTAGCCCCTCTGCTGCTCGGCTCGCGGGATTGCCATTCGCAACTTACCAGTGGAAGCACCGGAAGGCACAATAGCACGGTGAAGACCGGTCTCGGTGACAACATCGACCTCGACGGTGGGGTTACCTGTTCGTCATAACATCAAACACATCAGCATCAACAACATCAAGCATCCCACCACCACCAGCAGTGGCATCACCAACTACGTGCTCCAGCAAAACATACCGCGAGAGTCGTAGATCGAGCGAGCGTGGATCTTGGTGATGGCCATTTCGATTGTGTTGGTATTGAAATGTGCTTTTTTCGGTGCTTGTATATTGTGTTAACTTGCGATGAGAGGAGAGAGAGAAGGGAGAAAGGGAGAAAGAAAAGAAGCTCACAATTTATCTAGCACGGCGAAGAAGATCGGAGAAGACTGGGCAAGGTTGATGGTGGGATGGTGGGACGATGGGATGGGTGGTGGTGGGTTGAGCGAGGAACGAACAACGGCGACTTAGCGGACAACGGAGCTAGGACCAGAGAGTAAACACTGATAGATAGACCGGAAACGGGTGGTTGGTGAGTCGGCAGGGCTAGAAGACGAGCAGAAGCGGGGGGGAAGAAGGAAGAGGGGTCTCTTTTTTTTTCCGGCGTCTTTTCAAGTATGTACGTAAGATGAGGGACTTTAGGTGGCCAGAAAGATCGCAATTATACGCGATATCGTCTGGGTAAGCCCTGCTCTGCCCCAGCCCAAACCTCCAGGCTTCACGCAAAAGTTCGATGTCCATCTAACTAGCCTTAAATCGCAACTACGTCGATAAGACCAAGCACGCAACAGGAGTCAATATTTTATCAGCGGAACGCAATTGGACCATCTGAACCTAGTTAGTAGCCATGAGTGGCCCGTGGGTGGATGACGGGCTGGATGAGAATCTACATATTAAAGATGAGGGTGGGGCGGCGGATCCCTCTGTCGCCGAAGAGTGGGATGTCAAATGGAGTGGTGGCCGATGAGAAACAACCCCGCACCTTCGCCGATGACGTTTCGTTAGTGCAGTGTGGCAGAGTGGTGGGGTTGCCTGAGCCGAGCGCCACGTGGGTGGGGGGGAAGAACCCGGATGGTTTTCACTGGCGTGGCGGTGCAAGCGGTCAATATATTAACATCACAACATCATCGGTGTATTCATCACGAAATCAACAACTGCTGCGAGCATCCCAATCCCGCATTAAAGCCCAAAGGAACACAAATGAAACACAAAGGAGACTAGTAAACAAGACCGTGACCACAGAATAAGCACAAGCAACAGCCCCAAAGCCTGAAGAAACTCGAACAAACGATGCACAAACACCCCGAAACCAGCCCAACCCAACCCCAACCCCATCCCGTCGCATCTACAAAGTGCCCTTTCACTGCATGTCCTAACAAGCCTAAGCCTTGTGGATCTTGCAGACTAAGTCCTGGCCATCTACGGAGTCTCCCTCCTTGACCGCGAGATCGTGGACCTTTCCGGAGTGAGGCGCACTGATAACCATCTCCTATATATTTCAATTCGATTAGTAAACATATTTCGGAGACAGGTGGCAAATTTAGGGAGGATATCTTACCATCTTCATGGCGCTGAGCACAGCTATCGGGTCACCCTTCTTGACATCCGTGTCGTTCTTGACGCGGACCTCAACGACAACACCAGACATGGGTGCACCGACGTGAGAACCGTCGTTAGGGTCAGCCTTGGCCCTGCTCAAGTTCTCCACGGCAGCGTGCTTGTCGTCGACAGTGACCTGTCTGACCTCTCCGTTCATCTCGAAGAAGACCTCCCTCTGACCTGTCTGCTCGGACAGGGGTCCGACCGCCAATAGTCTCAGAATCAAGATCTTACCCTTCTCGATCTCAACACCAAACTCCTCGCCTATGTCGGGTCGGGACAGGAAGTACTTTGTGGGGAGCACGCTCAAGTCTCCGTACTTGCTGCAGAAGTCCTTGTACTCCTGGAAGACCTTGGGGTACATGACGTAACTGGCAACGTCGCACTCGGAAGCAAAGCCGTACTTGGTCTCGAGCTCTGACTTGATCTTGGCCAACTCGGTGGGAGGCAGAGACTTTCCAGGGCGCTCGGTCAACTTCTTGCGGGTGTTGCGGAGCACCTTGGTCCGGAGAGGCTCGGGGAAGCCTCCGTATGGTTGACCCATCAGACCCTCAAAGAAGTCGAGCACGGAGCCGGGGAAGTCCAGGGACTCGGCCTTCTCGACGACTTGCTCGGAAGTGAGCTTGTTGGAAACCATGAACTGTGCAAGATCTCCGACAACCTTCGATGTGGGAGTGACCTTGACGATGTCGCCGAGGAGGTAATTGGCCTGGTGGTAGGCCTTCTTTGTCTCCTGCCACTGTGTTCCCAATCCAAGCTGTGTGGCCTGGAAGATGAGGTTGGTGAGCTGTCCTCCGGGGATCTCGTGTACGTACACCTCAGGGTCGGGTCCGGTAAGTCCGGCCTCGAAGCAAGAGTACATGAGACGAAGCTGGGCCCAGTACGTGTCGATGGCACGGATGTGGTCGATGTTGAGGCACGGGTCGCAGTCGGATCCCTCGAGGGATGCAATGACGGCACCAACACTGGGCTGGGAAGTCATACCCGACATGCTGTCGGTAGCCGTGTCAACGGCGTCGGCACCAGCATGTGCGCAAGCAGCCATGGAGGCAACACCGGTACCGGCGGAGTCGTGGGTGTGCACGTGGATGGGGAGATCGGGGTACTTGGCGCGGATGGCACCGATCAACTGAGTCGCAGCCTTTGGCCGCAAAACACCAGCCATATCCTTGATACCGAGGATGTGGGTGCCCATGGCAACCACCTTGTCGGCCAGATCCAAGTAGTACGCAAGGTTGTACTTCTTCTTGGGGTTAAGCATGTCTCCGCTGTAGCAGATAGTAGCCTCAACCACACCTCCGGCCTTCTTGACGGCCTTCACACCAACCTCGAGCTGGTCGAGATCGTTGAGCGCATCGAAGACACGGAAGATGTCGACACCGTTCTTCTTGGCCTGGTCGACGAAATGGTCGATGGCGTTGTCAGGAAGCGAAGAGTAGGCAACACCGTTGGCACCACGCAGCAACATCTGGAAGGGGATGTTGGGCACGAGCTTCCTCAGCTTCCTCAATCTGTCCCAAGGGTCCTCGTACAAGAATCTCATGGCCACATCGAATGTGGCACCACCCCAGCACTCCAAACTGTAAGCGTTGGAGTACGCCCAACTGGTGTGCTTCGCAATAGCAACCAAATCGGTGGTACGGACCCTAGTCGCCAGGAGCGACTGGTGGGCATCACGCCAGGTGGTGTCCATCAACAGAGTACCGGTGTTCTTACGGATGGCCTTGGCGAAAGCCTCGGGACCCTCCTTGACCAGGATATTCCTCCATCCGGTCGGGCAAGGCTCCGAGATGTCGATGAGCTTTCCTTCCGCATCGTAGAGGTCGGGGAAGATGATTTCACCCTTGAACTTGGGCTCTCCGACTTGTCCCTTGATGCTGCTGCCGTTGACGGCAACATCTCCAAGGTACGCCAAGAGCTTCTGAGCACGGTTCTGAGACTTCATCAGAGAGAACAACGAGGGAGTATCGTCGATAAAAGTGGTCCAGCAGTTGCCGGTGATGAAAGTCTCGTGGGTGAGCAGCGAAGCCAAGAAAGGAATGTTGGTCTTGACACCACGGATCCTGAACTCGACCAGCGCACGGAGGATCTTTCGTCGGGCGACCTCGAATGTGGAGCCGTGGCAAGTGCACTTGACCAACATGGAGTCGTAGTGGGGGGTGATGATAGCACCGGCGAAACCGTTTCCACCATCGAGACGGACTCCGTTACCACCTGCAGAGCGGTAAACTTCGATCTTACCAGTGTCGGGCTGGAACTGCTTGCTGGGGTCCTCAGTGGTGATACGGCACTGGATGGCGTAACCACGGGTGGAGATACGGTCCTGGGTCAGACCGAGCTGTTCCAGAGTCGCACCGGCGGCAATCTGGATCTGCGCCGCAACGATATCGATACCAGTGATCTCCTCGGTGATGGTGTGCTCGACCTGGATTCTGGGGTTGATCTCGATGAAGTAGTATCGGTTCTGCTGGTCGACCAGGAACTCGGCGGTACCGGCGTTGCGGTATCGTACCGACTTGGCCAATCGCACGGCGTCGGCCAGGATGCCCTGTCGGACATGGTCGGGCAGATCTTTCGCGGGCGCAATCTCGACGACCTTCTGGTGTCGTCGCTGGACGGAACAGTCACGCTCGTACAAGTGAACGACATTTCCGTGGTTGTCACCCAACAGCTGGACCTCAATGTGCTTGGGGCGGTCGAGGAAACGCTCAATGAACACGGTGCCGTTTCCGAAAGCCGACAGAGCCCTATGTGCGAAGCGTAAGCGAATGAAACATCCCTACCCTGCTGGCAGGGCGGGGTACTTACTCGGAAGAAGCACGAGTGAACGCGTCCTGCAGGTTGTCTCCCTCCCTCACGACACGCATACCACGTCCACCTCCACCGAAGGCAGCCTTGATGATAACCGGGTATCCGTGCAGCGCGACGAAATCCTCGCACTCGCTCAACTTGTCGACGGGACCCTCGGTACCGGGAACGACTGGCACGTTCTCCTTGATAGCCGCTCGGCGTGCAGACACTTTGTCACCAAGGGCATCGATGACCTGGGGCGTAGGACCGATGAAGACCATTCCGTTCTCCTCGACCTTGCGAGCGAATTCGGCGTTCTCCGAGAGGAATCCGTAACCTTTCGCCATCAGCCAAGCTCTCCCGCACAACCTTTGGAGCGCCGCTACTCACCGGGATGGATCATGTCGACGCCGTGCTGGACGGCAATCTTGACAATCTCGTCGATAGCGAGGTAGGCCTGGACAGGTGTGTACTGTCCCCGCTTTCCGATCATGTAGGCCTCGTCCGCCTCTGTTGTCCAATGAGTCAGCCAATTGCCCCCTCCCTCCTCCTCCTCCCTCTACTGCGCCGGAAGCTACCCACTTTGACGATGCATGCTGAGACGGTCCTCATAACTGTAGATAGCCACAGTTTGCAACGACAGCTCGTGTGCCTATAAAGCGTCTCAATTAGCCTCTCTATCGCCTATATCGCCTCCATCGCCCCCCCCCCCCCCCCCCCCCCCCCCCCTCTGGCATAGGTTCAACGTACAGTTCTGAAGATCTATTCACGGCGCCACAAGTCCTAGTCAGCAAAGCCATCCCAATTGACCTCCTCAAACAGCCGAAGGTTAAACCAGCATAGATAGGCGATGCATACACGAATAGCTATTATCTCAATCAGCCTTCCACCTAACCAATCGCCGGTCACTCAGAGTAGGAGAACTTACGAATCTCTCCACGGTTGGCGACTGTTGTTCCACACGCAAGCGTTACCGTCAGCATTCACATTCACTTTTACTTCCACCCCGCTGTGTAGGAGGTGCGGGGTGGTGGGGTGGATGGGCTAGGCGGAGGGGTGTATGGGTTACCCAGAATCTTGTTCAGGTGCATGATGGTCGAGTTGGCACGGACGCGGTGGATGGTCCTGACGGTGGACGAGTCGGCCGCATCCTCAAAGACCTCGTTGTACTCGGTAGCCATTGCTGCGTTTGTTGCTGTTGTAGGTTGTTTGTTTGTGTGTATGGGGGTGGGAAACAGTGGATTCGGGCGTGGGCGGAAGGGCAACGCCGGCAAGCCAGTTCAAGCTAAAGGTCCCTTCTTTTTTGTGTCGTGGTGGTGAGTGTGTAGATAGGCTGGCAGGCTAGCGGATGGGAGAGGTGAGGTGAGGGAAGAGATGGAGGAAGGGACAGGAGGAGGAGGAGAGGGAGGAGGAGGAGCAGGTGGGTGGAAGGGAGGATAATATATCGGGAGTGATGGTGGGGGGAGGGCGGGAGGGAGGAGGATCTTATGTTATGTATGTGCAATAGAGTCATAGACCAACGATAAAAGTCCAAGTGCCTTGCCTATCTATCTTCACGGACGCAAAGATGGGGGTTGGGTCGGTCTACGGTCTGGTCTGCGTACGGTCTTGGGTCCAGCAAGCAGCAGCTGCTGCTGCTTCCTGGGCAGCGGCGGCGTCACTGCACTTTTCCCTACCACCACCACCACCACCATGTGCGCTAAGATTTTTTGTTTCCCACAGCCACAGGAGGGGAAGAAGGTTCGGCTGGGGTTTGGGTTGGCGGGGTTACGAGATGGAGGGGTAAGGAAGAAACGAAGGTTAGAGCGCAGTAGTGACACTAGATTACGGACTTTAACTAGAGTGTGCTAGGTAGTTTTCCAGTGAGGAATCGAAGCTGCTGCTTGGTTTCGGTTTCGGTTTCTTATCGCAGCGCACACCCAAATTTCCAAGAGGAAAAGGCAAAGGTAACATCACGGCCGGCCGAGCAGTCCGATCGGATCAGATCAATTCTGCACTGCACAAGGCGACTGACTTGGGTGCAAATAACCATTTTTCCTGCACACACACACCCCACCCACCCACTCATTCCAAGCCGCTCCATCGCCCATCGACTTGGAACTTCATCTCCATCCATCTCCACGAGCTTCAACCTCTCCTCCCACCCCCGCAGCCCGTGGTCAATGGTCATAGCTCTGATCCCAGGACGGAGCACCCATGCCCGCCAAAGGCCAAATTCCAAACCCCCAGCCAACCAACCCTTCTGTATGATAGACTGTCAGTCCCGAAATATCCACGCAGGTACTCTACTCTACTTCTACTCTCCGGGTATGTGTGTAGATAGATAGACCCATACCAACATACCAACATACCAACTTACCCAGAGTCCCGACCCACAGACCCACAAATCCACAAACCCACCGAGTCCCGACGCTCTCTCTATGCTCTATACCCATCCCATCCCCTCCCCCATACAATACCCAGCACGAGCATCATGTAGGTACGGGTGATTGCCCACCGCACTCAACCTCGGGCCCATCGCATAGCCGACTTCGCCCGCCCACTGCCATCCACTACCATTCACCACCCAGCATCCATCCAGAGCTCCCCCGTACTCTACCTATCGTATGTTCTCCTACAGCTCAAGCTCTCGTAGACCCTCTGGACTTCCTCCTTACACGCTAGGCGGGGGAAGTAGTGGCTGGCTTGCTGGCTTGTGAAACCCGCACCCAGCACGCGGTGTTTCGGGTCAATTCCCCGGACACCAGACGCCGACCTCTCCCCGGCGTCCGCCGTCCGCCCACGAGCATGCCCATGAGCACTGCCGAGTTATACGCACTTGCGTCTCCGCCTAGTACTTAAGAAACTACGTACGCACCTTGATGGGGTCCGGTCTTCAGCCTCCTCCTCCTCTTCGACGCCCTGCGAGTCGTGGTGTATAGTCCTGGCTGTCGTCGTCGGCCCCCGAGACATGTCCTGTCATGTCATGCAGCATCTCAAATACGCACATACATACAGTGTGTATCTACAGATCGATAATCGATTAACGGCATGCGGCGGCGACCTTCCCCCATCCCCAGTCCAGCCCATCCCTCATCGCCGTACATGATAAGTTCAAACAAAAAAGTCTTAGAACTAGAGGGGGGCATTTTTCAAAAGAGAGGAAAAAAAGCAATGAAGTGTGTACCAATCACACTTTTCTTCGTCGCCGCTTTACTCTATCTACAGACTACAGTCTACAGATCACATCATCGTGCTGCTCTTTATGCTGGCTGCCGCGCAAAGCAGAAATAGAGTATACCGTAGAGTAAGAGTAAGAGAGTAAGAAGCGTCTATTAGAGTAGGTAGAGTGTAAACCAACCCCATCGCCAACCCCATCGCCATCGCCCATCGCCATCCTCATCGCTACCTATCATATCGCTACCAATCATAGGTAAGGAAATTTATCCATGTCATCATCAAAAAATTCGTAAACAAACGAACGGAACAAGAAGATCCCATTCTGAAGTGTCATACGAAGCGGAGTGTAGAGGAAAGGTCATCAAAATCGCAAAGGTAAAAAATACTCACTTACTTAAGCAAGCAAGCAAGTGATAAAAAGGAAAGAAAAACCAAAGAACAAGCCAACCCTTACAACTACAGCAGACCCGCGAATCGAATGGACATGAGTTTGAAATGACAAAGTACTTAGGTACGAAACTAAAAGACAACACCCCGCAAAGAAAGAAAAAAAGGAAGAAAAGAAAAAAAGCTAAGAACCCACCACCCCACCTGGACTAATTCCCCCTTTTAACCCTTCCGCTCGAAAAGAAAGAAAAAAAAACAAACGGAATTTCCAAATCTCAAGCCATCCCTCGCTCGATCCGCCCGATTAGAACCCCATGAATCCAGTAGCCTGGGGGGCAATGCCATTTCCATAAGGCTGACCAACGCCACCGGGAGCGGCAGTGATCATGAGTGTTCCCTTACCCAAGATCGGCGTGTCGTCCTCAATCTTCTGTTGGGATGCTTCGCGAGCCTTGCGTTCCTCGTTATCCTTTTCGAGCGTGATGATCTTCGTCGACTGCTCGCGCATGACATTGATCATGAAAGGCATGGCGTAATCGGTAAGGCCGTACCGCCATGAAATCTCCATGACCGTGTGCACGGGGATCAGATCGTAACAGGCGTAGAGCATCGCCGCGTAGCATTCCCGATTTCCGATATCGACGAACTAGAGAATCTCCACTTAGTGGATATTACCCGGGAACACAGCCTAAATGTGGACGACTTACGTATCGCAGGAGGTCGTCGACAACCTCCTCGCGGCCCGACACGGCAGCAGTTTCGATCGCATCCTTGAAAAGCTTGTCTTGTTTCGACAGAGAAATCGATTGGCTCCAGCGTTTGTGCTTTCGGTAGATGTTTGCTGCAACCTGCCGGAAGAAGACAAGACTACATGGGATCGTCAGTTTCACCGTGACCGCATGTTGACCAAGCGATTGGCTGTGCTGGACTGTAGGGACTTACTCGTGCTTCTCCAGTCTCTGGGCGAGCTCAACGGGATCGTAGTTGTCGTAGTTCTCAACCGAGTCACGCAGAGTCTTGTAGTCCTCCTCCTCGATCAGCAGATCGTTGATGGCACTGTTGACGACCTTGTTGTTCTGCGGCTGCACGTTGAGCAAGAAGGGCTTTATCAACGGAATGTTATCCGACTTCTCGAACATGCGAACCACCCTGCATGCAATCAGTATCCATGTCCATCAGCTGATTGCGGGCAACATACCTGGCGACATCGACGCGGGGCGTGAGCACCGTCAACAAGTCCGTCATAAGCGAAGGCTGCTCCTGTAGGTAGAAGTTGAGCGCCCGGTAGTAGATCTCCAAGTTCGCAACCTTGACGACAATATCCTTGAAGGACTGGTGCTCCCAGGCATCCGCGGCCCGCTCCATCATGGCCAACGCAGCATTGTCCCACTCGTCGTAGTGGCAATACAAGAAGATAAGCTCTGGCCACAGGTGTGCTTGCTCGCATGCACGGATCATCTTGGGGATGTTGATGCGGCCCCAGAATAGCTTGAGATGCTCCATGACACGCTCGGGGTGATACTTGGTGAGTGCGATTCCGAGCTCGGTGAACATGCCCATGTGCGCCCTCTCGAGACCGAGACCATTCTCAAGCAAGTGGATGAGCTCGTCGAAGTAACCGTTGCGCTCGTACTGCTTGACAATCTCCTGCAACTCCTCGGCGTGAACGATCAGGTTCAGACCACAGATCTGAGCAAGGCGGAACTCCTTCTTGTGAACACAGGCCTCATGAACCTGCTTCCAGACCTTGGTGCTGTTGGCCTTGCGGGCGCACTCAACGGCATTCTGGTACTCTTCCAAGAACACCAGGGTCGTCGCGAGCTTAGCCCAGTTGGAGATGCTGGTGTAAAAGATCTTGGCAGCCTGGTGAAGGCCCTCTTCGTACGCCGCGTCTCCGCACTCCTCGATGTTGGCGACATTGGCTGCGTTCAAGAAGTCCTCCAACTCGTGAAGCTTCTCGACACGAGCCAGGCACAAAGCCATACTGCTGTCAATCGGTGGCTCCCGTAGCGTCTTGCGGCACATCTGAAGGTACTTAATAAGGTCCTCGAACTTTCCGGCACGACTAGACATCTCGATGACCTCGGCGTAGTTGCTTGGGTCGCCGGCCCGAATGTACGACTCGATACCATCGGAAATGCGAAGGCCATCGATTTGGGCCTTACCCAGGCGGCTCCATACCTCCGGCAGGTCAACACGATCAGCATAGGCGTATGCGCGGTCGATGCTGACGATGTGCTCGATGAGAACATTAATCGCCTCAGCGTGTGCATCGCTCTTCTTGTACACCTCAAGTGCTTCCTCGAACAGACCGTTCTCGATACAGATGTTAGCGATATCGGGACCGTCATAGTTCGTCAGGCGGTTGATGTAGTCCATCACGCGAGCCTTGTCGGCGCGGACAGCGGTGAGAATCAGCAGGTTCTGCAAGTTGTTGTTTTCGCTGAACGGGGAAGCCTCGAGTATGATCTTCTCCAGTAGCTCAATGAGCTCCGTAGGCAGATCATTCTGCAAGAACGACTGTACCGCGGTCGAGACGTCTTCGGGATCGGTCGACTCCGGAACGGCAGTGGCAACAACCTGGTCAACAAGGGGACGGCGATGCAAGTTGTTCGGGCTGAGGACGAAGTTCCACAGCTCGGGATCACGTCTCGCAACGAGATACCTGGCCTGGTGCTTGAACATCGAGTTCTCATTGGTGATCTTAACCAGCTCGAGGTCGTTCTGGCCCTTCTGGTAGGCGATGAAAGCCAGGTAAGGATCTCTCTTCTCGCAGTATTTTCCGACGATAGCAGAGTCGTACTTGTCATTCTCCTTCAGAAATTTCTCGGGATTATTGTTGCTGTCGATGTAGATCTTGGCCAAAGCGTTGTAAACCGCAGGCTGCTCGTTGCCGGCGTTAAGCATGTCCTCGAGGAAAGGCAGGAGCATCTTGAGCCGGTTCCTCTTTTCTACCTCGGCCACGAGCTCGTCAACAGGAACAGCAGCAGCCGGAACCGACTTCAACAGGCCCTTGATGATGGACTCTTCGCAATCCACATCCAACAGTCCTCCAACAACGGCGGGCGTCCGGCTCGGGTTGACGCGCTGGACATAGACCTCAATGGACTTGAACTGTTGGTTACGGTAGAGGTAGAGGACCAGATCATGGATGAAGTTGAACCGGTCGCACACAACGATCAAAGGAAGCTGTTCGGTCAACTGAGCCTCCTTGAGGAAGTTCTTAACCTTTTCGGGGTTGTAGTGGTTGTTGTCACGGCAGATGCGCTCCACTTCGGTCATCTGGCCCATCCGGGTGGCAGCCTGGAGGTATTTAAACACTACATCGCCATCCTCCGTTAGGTTGACAACGGTTCCCAAGTAGTAGTACAATCCCTCGAAAGTCTTGAACTGCTCGAAAAGCTCAATGAGACGGTGGGGTCCCAGAAGATCCGAGTACTTGGTGGCGATCTGGATGACAATCTGAAGGTTCGCCCGGATGTTGACGCGCAGCATTTCCCGGAGGCATTCCAGAGAGTCCTCGACCGACATGCGTCCGAAGTACTGAACTACGAAATCGGCGTTCAAGGCAGCCGCATTATTGCACAGAACCCGCTTGATGGCCGCAGGATCCTCGTAATGCTCGAGAGCCTGGAAAAAGTTAGGCTATATCCGGCGAACGGGAATACGGGGAGTAAAAACCTGCTGGAACAAACCGGCATTCTCGCACAACTGCGCGACCTTTGCCTTATCATAGTACGAGAACATGTTGTTGCTCAGAATCGCAGCAGCAACCTGCGGGGCATTGAGGAGGTTCATCTCGAGCAGACGAGTCTGCTGCGCTCCTTGCTCAGGCTTATTGCCCTCCAAAGCAGTAAGCAGGAACGCAGTAGCCTGCTGGATCATGCTCTGCGAGAGGAAGACATCTACAACGCGGTCGATATCGATCAGAGCGCCGCCCTCGTGGCCAGCAAGCTGGGTAGCGAACTCGGCTCCTTTCTCGGGGTTGATCCGGACAATGTGCGTCAAAAGAGCCGTGTAGTCCGGGTTATATCCAACCTTCTGGGCGTATGGCAGGATCTTGTCGAACTGGCCGGTCTCCGCGAAAGACGCAACGACCTTTTGCGAGGCGTTTGCCCGCAGGTACACGCTCAAGGCCAGGTTGATGTCGTGAGGACGCACGATGTCTCCGAGCTCCTCGGTGCACTCGAGCTTGTTCTCCTTCACCCACTTCTCCAGAAGGTACATCCTGTTCTGGGCCAATACCGGCCTGACCAACTCGATCGTCTCATGCTTGTTGAGTGTTGTCTTATCGAGCAACATTCCAAAGTACTGAAGGATGACGGACAGCTGCCCCGGGGGTGCAGGGACGGCCTTGAACTTCTCGATGGTCTGTGGCGTCCGCAGGAAACCACGGGGAGAGTTTGCGGCAACCTTGGCAGCTTCCACATAGTTGTTCTGCGACATTAATTGGTTGAACTGCTGTGTGTAGAGATCGTCGGCACCGGCAAGTCCAGCACGCGAAGCAAGATTGATGGCCAGCTGTGAGTTGGCAGGATTCTGAAGGAGGTATGGGATGATCTGGTTCTCGTCCACGCTGACCGACAGAACCTGACCCTTTCTGTTGACCGCGATTATGCCGGATGTGGCGTCATGTGTTGTGGTGGTAAAGATTGTTTCACTCGAGATTCTGTTCATGAAGATGCAGGTTCCGGTCTCCAGATCGTAAAGGTGGATGAAGCCGTATTTCGTGACAAGGTAGATTATTGAAAATCTCTGGGAGACTTGCATCGCAACGGGAAAGTCGTTGACCGCCTCCGCCGGGAAATAGACGTCCACGGCCTTCTTCTGGAAGGTGGGGTTTCCGGCGACATGATCCACCTCTACGACGTGCAGCTTTGCCCCCTGTGGCGTGCGCACCGAGAATGTGAATAGCTTCGTCGGGCTCGGGGCCCCCTCCATGCGAAGTTCGGCGAATGCCGCGGCGTGACCCTCGATAGCCTGACTGATGCCCCGATCCTTCGAATAGAGCTGCATGCTGCCGACGACTCGTCCCTGCTGCGAAGATATCCCGACAACCACCATCCATTTCTCGTCGGAGTTGACACGGTAATTGATGATTTGACTGCCCTGTAGGATCACCGTTCCATCATCAGCATCACAATTTCCCGCCGCCGCCGCCGCCGCACAAGAGGGTAGAGGTAGATGATCCGTTAGCTACCGACCTGAAGGTTCATGTGCCTATCAAACATCTTGACCGGAGCATTCTGTGAGGGGTCCAGGATATCCCAATGGTAGACACTCGTATCGGTGATGAGACCAATCGCTTTCTCGCTGATCCACTTCCAGAACACGACATCGGCATCCATCGCGTGGGACTTCAGCTTTCCCTTAGCATCCAGGTCGAAGATCTGAAGTGTGCGCTGGGCCTTGAGAGCTATGATGTTTTTGGTCCAGTGCATGATGGCACTGTCGGCCTTGATGGTTCGCCGCGTGACATTGTTGCCATTGTGAAGGTCAATAATCACAACCTGGGCCGAAGCTTCGTCGCTCTTTTCCCGCACACATATGTACCGGTCGCTCTCTAATGTCTAGACACCACCTCCCAATAAGCGGACATGCCCCCCTCCCCACCCCTCCGGAGGAGATGTCACGATCTCGAGGGATGCTACTTACGGTGGTATTGAATCCTATCGAACCTGGCTTTGAGATGGTTAGGATGGAAAAAGAGCTGGGTAACGGGGGAGGCGGGCACATACCGAGATTTCTAGCTGCGGGAGCTATATCGAAGCACCAGCTGTCAGCATCACACCCCGGACCTCCAACACGTTCCAGTGATTCAGATCATACCGAGAGAAGCTCAGTAAAGGAGATTGGTAGAGGCGCCATAGTGATTTCCGATGTTGTAAGCCAACACTAGGGGTGGGGGTGGGGTTGTTGGCGGGTGATGGTGGTGGTGCGAAAAGGAGGTGGGTTGGATTGCTCCGGGGGGTTAAGGTCGACTGCGCTCGGAACAGTGAACAGAAACGAATCGCCAAAAGTGAAGAGCTGCGTGGTATCGTGACGGCGACGGCGTTAAAGTAGTAGATAGTGGTAGGTAGAGTGAGTGTTGCGGATAAAAAGCAAGATGGCAGGATTGACGGAAGGGGATCGGTTGCTCTGTTGGGGGGTGGGGAGGCTGATACGAAGTGTTCACTCACACAGAGTTGTTCACTTCACCGTTCGACAGGAGAACAGGGTGTCGATGACTGAAAGTACGCTTTATCGCCGCACAGCTGTGAACACTTTGCATACTTCAACCACGTGCATGGTCGTACGGGAGTTTCGAACATCCTCACGAGTCACAACATTCAGAAATCTGTATACTGGTAGTTTTTATTTACGGATTTCCATCGCATTTTTGAGCTCCACGGCACGAGCGGTGGGGACGGAGACAGTGGAGACAGCGGAGACACTACTCGGCATGTCGTAGGGATCGGTAGGCACGGATTGTCTCGCTTTCCGCTCCGAAACAGCCAGGGCCCAGCGAATGACCGACCTCGAAATGTCGCAGAATGCTCCATCCACCCGCCTCACAAGTGTGGGAATAGGGAGCTGTAGGTGTAAAAAACATTGGAGCTGCTGTGCAGCACAGTTTTACAACCATAGCGACAATCACGGAAAAATAGCTTCGGGACGAGAGGTGGTAAGGGTAAATACACAGATGAGATGTTTGATGTTTGATGGCCAAAAGATCACGACAGCTCACACGACAGCTCACACGAGATACACACATATTTGCGGATGGAAATTAAGGCTTCTATTGTAACGCAGAAACGGGCAATCCACTCCCCGACATCCTCCTCCGCCATCCTCTCCCGATCATTACGCCCCCAGCAGAACAGAAAGCATCATCCTGCCACAAAGTCGTGACACCTGATGTCTCCCAAAGCAAGAAAAAGAAAAAACGGACACTCCCAGCAAAACATGACTATGAACAGAGACGCCACATATCGCCAGAACCAACCGAGACCATGCAAAGCTCAAACCACTACTCTATGAAAAGAAGAGGTTGATTTACAAGACCTGCAGGGACAAACAATCAGTAATTGCTCGAGGGAAGCGACGATCGAGTGTAGGTGTCAACATACCAAGGCGAGACCTCCAGCGATGACAGCTCCCAAGAGACCGCCAGAGACGGCGTTCTGGAACGCAGCCGAGTCGGGGACAGCGGACTGGGTGGGGACGGGGGTGGTTCCGTTGGTTCTGATGATGGAACATGTCAGTATACGATGAGCAAAGTGATTCCAGCTGAGCTGGCTGTGATGATCGAGGGGTCCTTACCCGTTGGTGGCGTTCTGGGCCGCAGCGGAGGCCACGAGGGCAGCAACAGCGAGGGAGACGAGCTTGAACTGCATTTTGATTGATTTGTTTGTTTGGGGGTTGTTTTGGGATTGAGAGTTGTTTGTTGATGGATGAGATGCTGAGGTCGTGGGGATGGAACGAGCGTGTAGTAGTTGAGCGAGTGTGTAATGGGTTGGAGGATGCAAGAGAATATGGGGGGGGCTTGGAGGGTATTTATTTGGACTGGTGCTTGTTGTGAGTTGCTGGTTCGAGGCGGGTGTGTGTGTGATGGGATGTGCTTCGGGACCATGCCCTTTGCGCACGTAACGCACGGGGAGCCACTCCACTCCACTCCACTCCACTCCACCACCACCACCACCACCTCGACCACCACCAGCACCGCAGGCCATCGACCCCCCGTTGCCACACACATCCACCTCAGTCGTCACTCATCAACAACGGACCCTTGCCCCTCCGGGAAGGGGGGACGGAGCGAGCATGAACACCATGGATTATTCGGGGTTTTCTTCTTTTCTTTTTCGAAGGCAATCAGCAGGGTAGGGGGAGATGGCCTTCTCCTGGTTGGGGCAGATAACGGGAGATTCGGACTGCACTTCCTCCTGCTCGCTACGCCCGACACGGCAAAGCCGTCTTCGGACTGGGTTGCGACGGTGGGAAGGAGGGAACGCATCCAACACAAGAAGCATGCGAGCCTTACAAACCACCACGAGTAAGCAGACGGAACAAGCAGACGAGCAGACGAGCAGCAAAGCACGCAAGCAGTCTTGCTACTGCTCACCAACGAGGCCCTGTCTGCAGAGTGCAGCGTCGAATTTCCCTCCGGACTCCCAAACTCTTCGATAGCGGCCACCCGCCATCACCGCTTCGGGCGTTCGTCTGGCGTTCGTCTGTCGTTCGTGCCGTATGCTTGTTACCTTTTCGCTATTCTTTTTTTCTTTTTCTTTCTTTTTTTTTCTTCGATGTGCGGTTCTATTATTGGAAACGAGCCGCGCAATGCCCACACCGAAAGAACAACAAGTGGAACCTGCGGGTCAAGTGCCATAGGCCGGGGGAGATTTCGGTATGTATGTGCAACGATTCCTTCCCTTCCTTCCTGCCCCCCCACCGCCAGAATCGTCGATCGTAATTGGACGGTTATCAGCAGTTTTCAAGGTATCGACGTACCTACTATCATAGTGGCTGGTGCGTACTGGGTATCTTTGCTACTCGCCATGCACCGAGTTCTCGGAGCAGAAAACTGGTATCTATGTAGATATTGTGATCTATCAGTATCTACGTCGTCCTCGTCGTCCTCGTCGTCGCCGGGAAATAGCTTCTCCCGGAGCCCGATCGCCGCCGACTATCTATCTTCGTTCCCCACCGATCCGTCCAATGTCACCCCGCGTTGCCCAAGCGGACGCCATGATAAGAGAGATACTCCGCAGTTGCTCGACTGCTCGAGCACCTTCTCCGCCTAGAGATGTGCTTGTTCTCTACATATCCACCTTGGTACTCTAGAACGGCTTGTCTGGAGACTCTAGTCGACCGACGAACATCGTCGACACGTTTGGTGGGGGCCAACCTCCGCACAACTTGGAGAGTCGCTCCTACACTAGAGTAACTAACGGCCACGAGCTTCGCACCGGAAGGGTAATCAAGTCTCCACTAGCAGAGCGACCGGCATTCCATTTGCCAGACTCTAGAGGAACTAACCACAGTGCCGCAGGCCGTCAGGCTCTGCTAGCAGCGCAAGCAGTTGACGAGGTCAGGAATTGTCCACTGCCCAGGCTCCTTTCACCCACAGGCTTCTTCGAAACCCCCCCCCCCCCCCCCCCTAGGCGAATCCCAGCCGATCCGGCCTCGTGAAACAGCATCCCCCCCGACCCCAGCCGCCGCCTTCCCCGATCCTTGGCATTAGGCAGAGCACACGTTCCTCTTCCTTCTTCCCTTCCTCCTGCTCCTCGTCCCCAGTCCGGCCCGCCCGGAGACGTCCTCCTCCTCAGGACGGAAAAGCCGGCGATCCGTTCGCCATGGCCGTTTTCGACGAAGCAAGCGAGGCCAAAGAACACGCGGCTATATCCTTCCTAGATATCCTTCCTACATACCCTTTTCCATGCTCCATCGGATTTCGCAAAATTCCTGTTTCCCCGGGCTTTGCCTTTTATCCAGCCCCAGCACGGGATATGTCACCCGAGGGGAGACTTCTCCCTAACCGGTGGCGGCGAAGGCGCACCAAGCGCCTCTCTCCCTTCTTCCCTCGCTTCTTTCCTGTAATCTTTCCGTCCGTCGCTGTCGCCGTTGTTATGATATGTTATGTTATGGTTGCAAACAAAACCGGGGGTGGAGGGGGGGCAGGCGAAGAGAGAGAAAAGAAAAAGACAAAAGAAAAAGAAAAGAGCACACATGCCCCCTATAATTGTTTTTCCGTGCGAGAAGTATGTAGGAAGGGTTGCACCGTTGCACACGGGAGCAGATATTCCTGTCACACCCGCCGACGCCGACGATCTCCACAGAAACATGGCCAACCAGACTTGAAAGGGGGGGGCGGCGGGGGGCGGCGCGATTATCGCAGCCTGCGGCTTGTGGCTTGCTTGCGGCTCTGTCTGCAAAATGTATCTATCGGAAAAACAGAGAGAGAAAGCTGAGAGAGCTGAGACACGACACGCAACCTCCCGAGTCTCGGGGCGATAGCTAGTCTACATAGCCTATGGGTAACAGCTATACAAGACAAGACAAGTTGGGCGCAAGCCTCAAGGTGAAGAAGTGGAGATATCTCGATGGTCAAGATTCAGATTTTAGATTTCAGATTCCGCATTCCATTCCGCGGCCGGGAAGAAGTCTGGCTGTCTGAGATTACTCCCATGTACGATGATGCTGCGATTTTCGACATCCACGCGTTCTTTTCTTTTCATTTCGCACTCACTCACTCCCTCACTCCCTCACTCCAGCTTCGGTTCCGGCTCCGGCTCCGGGCCTTCGACCACAACCACCAAGTTAGGTACATGCTAACCCGAGGAATTTCTATTCCCGTTGTGTTAGATGGATGGATGGATGGATGAATGGATGGATATTGGATATTGGCTCAGGGACGATCTACCATTTCCATTTTACATGCATGCATCTCTCCCTCCGTTGCTGCTGCTGCATTTCTACCGTAATTCTCTAATTCTCTAATTCTCTAATTCTCTAATTCTCTAATTCTCTAATTCTCTAATTCTCTAATTCTCTAATTCTCTAATTCTCTAATTCGCCCTGACGAAACGTCGAGACTTGAAAGCCCGCCCACCCGCCTTTCGTCCGGTAGAACCAGTAGAGCCGGCCGGCCACCTCTTCGCGAGGGAGACACTGGACAGAATGTAACGGGAAAAATTCATTCCATTCCCATTCCCAGCTTCCCAGCCTCCCGTTCGGATTCGAAATTTTGAAACAGCGAAACTGTAAGCACTGGACTCCGTGGACTGAGCAGGCATCGGATATACTGCGCTGAAACTGACAATTCATCCTCCCCTCCCCCTCCCCTTCCAAGTTCCAAGTCCCTCCGTACTCATGTCGCATTCCATTTGTTCCGTTCATGACGTACACCATCTACCATCTACCATCTACTCAAGTTACCTTCCTACCTTCCTACCTTCCTACCTTCCTGAATCTTGAATCTTGAGTACCTATGTAGAGTACCTGGGTAGAGTAGGTAGAGTAGATAGAGTACTGACCGACTCCACCTGCTCTCCACCTGCTCTATGTACTCCCTTACTCCACCTGCTCTATTCTATCTATGTACTCCCCTACTCCCCTACTCAGATACCCTACAGTACTGGCGATACCTCACCCACCCAGCTCACCTAATCTATCGGCTGCAGAAACCTGAACAGGAAGCGACAGGAAGAGAAATGAAAAATTGCGAATCGCGTCCGTCCGTCATCCCTTTTTTTCTCCGGGAAGAAGAAGAAGAATGGGGGGATGGAAGCGATATTGCAGTTGCTGTATGTTGCGGTATGTATATGGATCACATAATCCCTCGTCCTCGCCCTCGCCCTCGCTCGCTCGTCCTTGCTCGAGGTGTGAGGCGGCGGAAGGGTGGTGGGAGGCGGCGGAAGGCTGCATGAAAGAGCATGAAAGAGCATGAATGAACTCGAACCCGAACCCCCAACCCGAGCGAGAGCGGGAAGAAGTCACTTACAACCCGACGACGACTGTTCCTGCTGCGCTGTTCATATCTCCACCTGGAAACCAACGCCGAACGGTACTGCCAGTACATACTGCCAGTACATAACTGCAACTGCAACACTGTAACTGCAACTGCAACACCGAGCGGAAATGGTGATCACAGCGTTTACCTATGTCCATTGTCCATTGTCCGCCCATGTTGTTTCCCGCCCTCCCGATGCGACGTACTCTACCTACTCTACTCTACATAGGAGGAGGAAGCGGGGGAGTCACGGCTTCGAGTCGCGGCTTCGAGTTGCGGCTTTGAGGAAGCGGAGACCATCGCATCGTGCCCCAATCGGCAAACTGTCGACGGACGGACGGCGGCCTGCATGCGATGCGATGCGGAAAAGAAAGAAAGCGGTGCAAGCTGAAAGCTGAAAGCTGGAGCTGTAGCTATGATCTATCCAATGCTTACATCACACGACGACGACTCGTTGCATGTGCTGAATCATACTGCACGCTTCTGACGTGTGCAGAGTGTAGAGTAGTAAGAAGGGTGAAGTGACATGGAGACTGGTATTCACTACCTATCACTCGCGGTGGCAGGTGCGAGGGGAGGTTCAAAAGTCACTCAAGTTTCAACCACACAAGGACTGTCAAAGGACCCCACCGTTCTTTCGTATTGTACCCTGTTGCCATTTATCTCTACAAAGGACATACCAAACAAACAAAACAAAACAAAACAGGAAGAGAAAAAAGCCTTATTCGCAGATCAGTCCAAATCGCACGCACGCAGAAACAAATCTAAGCCTCGACACCCTTACAAACGCCCGCATCCCTCGGATCCACAATGCCGACACAGAGGCCGGCCGCGTCGACAATATCGCTGGGCTCGAGTACATGCCACTTTGCAGAGGTGACCTTCGAGCTCGGGCCGACGGTAACACTAAAGATATTCTTCAACTCGCCTGCCTCGCCGTCGCGGCCCTGCTCCTCGAGCTGGTTGAGCGCATCGAACATGTCCTCGTCGGTGCGGTCGTCGCCCGCGCAGAGGACGAAGCCTACGCCCTTTCCGTCGTCGCGCTTCATGGCCTTGACGAGCGTGCGCGCGATCTCGCCCTTGTTGAGCGCCTGCGGACGCACTTCGAGGTTGGCCTTGCCCTCCATGACCTCAACGGGCCACTGGCTGAGTGCCACTTCCATCTCGGCGCGGCAGAGGCTGGCCATGTGCGTTCCCAGGCCGAGTTCGGCGCGGCGGTAGTGCCACGTGACGGCTACGTTCTTCTTCTCGATGAACGAGCCGGCAGTCTTTTCCGTGTACCGTGCAAACACGTCTTCGGCGACTGCCTGCCAGCTCATGTCCATGAGCTCGGCGAGGTTTTGCCATTCGGTCTGGCCTGGGTAGCGCAGGAAACAGCCGTGCTCGGCACTGAGGCCCAGCTCGTCGATGTGACCGAGCCATTTGCTCAGGAAATTTTGGTCGCGCCCGGATACGATCCAGACTAAGTTACCAGGCTCCTGCGCAAGACGCTTGAGCGTACGAACGACTCGGTCGGCCGGGATCGCCATCTCCGGGTCCGTGACGATCGGCGTCAGCGTGCCGTCGTAGTCGAACATGAAGAGCCGCTCCTTGCTCTCCTTGTAGGCGGTGAGCAGGCGCTGCGAATCCAGCACCGGTGTGATGGGGTGGGAGGCGTCGAACACGAGCTCATCGAAGAGACAGCTCAGGAAGCGCGAGTTCCATGCCTGTGAGGTGTTGGTGGTTACGTACTCGTAGAGCTTAGCATGATGCGCTTTCTTGTCCTCCTCGGACATTGATAGGCATCTCGCAATCTCGTATGCGACCTGTTCTGTGTTTGTGGGGTTGACGATGATAGCGTCATGCAGCGACTCGGCCGTTCCGGTGAATTCGGACAAGATGACGGGACCGTGTGTCTCTTCCTGACAGATAATGTACTCTAGAGATGCCGTGTTCATCCCATCTCGCACACTGGTGATCAACCCAAGAGCAGCGACGCGCAGGAGTGCAAAGTACTCCTGAGGCTGCAGATATTGGGGGTAATGCTGGACGGGGGTGTAATGTAGCGACCCGAATCTGCCGTTGATCTGGGAAACCAGTTCAGACACCTTATTCTCAATCGCCTGTGATTCCACCAACGACGAAGGAGATGTGATTTGGATCAACACAACCTATTGAAGCGGTTAGTTACATGGCGATATGACCCGTACAGGAGGTGTGAAAATTACCTTATCGATCCATTCGCGATTCGTCTCCAAGAAACGCTCAAAAGCGCGCAGTTTTTGCAGCACTCCGCGAACACTGTCGAGTCTGTCACGACCGACAATGATCTTTCGGTCTCCATATCCGCTTCTAATCTTCGCCATGTTTTCCTCGACGCCCCGATTCCTAACTGCAGAATTGACTTTCTCATAGTCGATTCCAATGGGCAATGTGTGCACTGCGCAATGGGATCCATAAGTCTCAACTCCGGTGCAGTTGCCCTTTGAGTCCAGAGATTCTCTAAATCCCAGAATCCTCTTGCAACACGACACGAAATGTTCTTTGTAGGTCTCGGACTGGAAACCGATCATGTTGGAGGCCAACATTCCACTCAGAAGCTGCTTCCGTCTGGAAAGGATGCGGAATATTTCAGACGAGGGCCATGGAGCATGGACGAAGAGGCCGATGTGAACATCCCTCCCAATACGCTGACGGAGAATCTCCGGCAGGACTAGTAGATGGTAGTCGTGAATCCAAATGATGTCGCCGGGGGTGTATATCTTCATAATCTCGTCCGCATAGGCATTGTTGAATCGCAAGTAATCCCTCCACCAGCCCTTCTCCTCGAGCGAGGATCCCTCGGCCATGGGAAACGTCTGAGGAATGATGTAGTGGAACGTAGGCCAGAGGACTAGATTGACAGTCAGCACAAGCTCGATTTGCACCAAGACCACGAGGTTACTCACCCTTCTCGGCGTACTGCACCCACCTAGTCATCGAGGTCAGAGTGACACCTCCATCCTCCTCGTCTCCCAACCACACAGCGCGAATCTTTTCCCAACCAACATCAGCAGCACACTTTCCCAGGACAGTCTGCAGCTCCTCCCGCTCTTCCTTGGTAACCTTCGGCACCTGTTCCTCCTCAGGCCGTTCGCGAGAAAAGTCCGACGCCGTCATCGTCATTCTGTTCTGGGTTCCCTTAAAAACCGGAACCGGCGGCGGAGTCTGAAAACTCTTGGTGCGATTCAACAATCCGGGCTGGATTCTCCCGGGGATATTTCCGGTGGCAGGCGGGGGATTGCCGACCTGGGCGGTCCTAGAATTCTGTAGGTGCTGCAGCGGATTCGTCGCAGCCTTCGCCGAGAGCTCCGTGATATCGCCGGTCCATCCTACGATGGTATGATTCCACTTGCTCTCCTTCGAGGCCAAGTGTTTAAGAGTGTCATACAAGGCGGACGATCCGCGGCGCGGGGTCAACTCCCACGTCGAGCTGCCGGCCTCGCGTTCATCGACGTCTTTGGCTTTCCGTCGGTAGCCGATCGTGTACGGAGTGAAGCAGGTGACGGAGATGATGTTCCCCGAGAGCTTCAGTTTTGATGGGGCGTCGCTCGGCGAAGGAAGGACGGTGACATTGTCGTCGGCTGGGACGGCGGCGGATTTAGCGAGCGGGGAAGGCCTCGCGGGCTTGATTCCGTCTGGGATGGTCATGCTGGTCGTGGGCTTCGCTGTGATGCCGGTGGGAGAATGCAGTGAGCGACGGAGATAGGGGGAAGGTTGCGCCAATGTCCGGACGCCTTGAACGAGAGTTAGTGTGGGCCTTTTGCTCCGTACAGCTTGTAGCGCGGGCTGTTGGCGAAAGCTGTTGTTCATGTGTCAGATCATCTTCTGTCAGTAGGGGATTGGGGCGGGAGACAACATACAGAGGCGGTATGGGTGCGACCGCGGCGTGAAGGAATACAGTCTTGGTTGTTCTGTGGACGATGATGGTGAAGAGGAGGAGGAGGAGTACCGTTGGTGGGGTTGAGGGGATTAATGCCGTCGATCTCTCGGGGGCAGAATGAGGGGCAGCTATGCAGAGGCGTGGAAGAAGTCGGATAGCGAAGCGAAGCAGATGAACAGGCGGAAGAGATGGCACTGCGGGATAGATAAGTGCGTGAGCAAGACCGATTGACAAATTCCGGACTCGTAGATACACCGCGTACGGACCGCTTCTATGGGCTGTAGTGTTCCCACGCTTCTATGGATCGTAGTGTTCCCACGCTTCTATGTCACTTACCAGGCCTTCGTTCCTTGCTTCACCCTCGGCACCAAACACGTCGTGCTGTCTATCGATAGAGTGCGCACTCGACCGGCATCAAGCATGCGGGTCTTCTCGCGGATTCTATTCTATGTGGGTATGTGAATCCCTCTGGTGTACGGTGTAAGGCCCGCCACAGGGAGACTTCTTCGTTCTGGCCCTCCCCCTCCACCACTGCCACTGACCAGAGATGATGTCACCGCCCAACCGTACAGCTGAGACGCCTGATCCCTGCAATCCGGTAGAGTACCTAGAGTAACTCCATGTCTATCGTGGAAAGAAGACCCGCCTTTCTCGAGCGATTTTGGCATCATAAAGAGCGCTGCAAAAACATGCACAACGGCTGTCACCTGCAGCGGCCCTAATACCAAGATGCGACCAAGAACAGAGGCCGTCACGTCAAGTTATGGTACCTACGTAGCCGGTTACTACGGCCTCATCTGGCCACTATGGAAACATACATATCAATTGCAATTTACATACCCGTTCTTACGGACTGAGAATCGATTGGGCCGGAAGACTCCCACGGACACTAGCACGGACGATCTGACTGAACTGTGAACAGAGTTTGTCCCGCTTTGACATGTGCGTTGAGCCCGCAAGCTCCACGTGGGAAGAAATCGTTTGTCTACTGTGTTTACCTTGGCTGGGCTGCTGTGCCGCTATTGTAGGAGCGGGGTCGGAAGACCCAAGCTAGCAAGAATGGAACCAGTGGAAAAAAAACGTAAAAAGAAGTGTTGACAGAAGTGGGACTTGAACCCACGCTCAGTTTCCCGAACCAGGAATCGGAACGATTGTATTAAGGTGACCTTAACCTGGCGCCATAACCAACTCGGCCATCCTGCCTTGATTGGAGTATATAATAGCTAGGTGCTTTTTGAGCAGCAATCTGTTGAACACAAATATGCCACCCACATACTCGGTCGTCGTCACTCCATTCAGTACTACTATTTATCCCATTGTTTCTAAACTCTATGGGTTCGACCATAATTATCGAGGGCGAATCGAAGGATGCAATAAGCATGGCCAATTTTATCGCATTGTTGGGGTGAAGAGAAAAAGGACGTATGCCACGAAGGACCCTATTTGCAGTTTTTCGTCCGCCGCCTATGCGGTTGCGCACTTAAAGCCTCCCGAGTCCTGGGGAAATATATGGAGTCTCCGGTGGAGAGGCCGAGATAATCATGTGTTCGGTAGTGCTCATTGGATGCACAACTATTGATATGGCGTCTACCGGGGGCGGTTTCAGACATATCGTATCACTCGCAATTCCGGAATTCCGTCCTGGAATCCAGATGGCAAATCATGGCCGACGATCTTTCATGGCCGACGATCTTTCATGGCTGACACCGAGAGCCCAATAAACCGGAGTATGTACGCACCGCCCTCCCGGCAAACCTCGCTTTCCATGGCTCGTGATTAGGGCAGCAGATTACCGTACCGTAGGTAGTCCTTCATGCGAGCAACGGTTGAGTGGGGACAAGACTCGATGCCGGAATACTGAGATTCCGATATCGAGAGGGTGACGTCGATGGCTGCTGGATAAAGCACATATATTTGTCGGGGGGCCGCGTAACTATTCTCCTCAACCGTCCGCGCAGTCCTTCTCCACCACGGCCCGAACAATGGTCTGGAGGAGACGGACGACTGGCAACCCTCGCCTTGGACTGCCGTCCGGTCGGCACCGAAACCGGGACGGACCGTGTCACGCATAGGTACACTAGGACTTGGGACGACGATTTGAGAAGAGAATATACGTTTATATACTAGCCATGACCATGACCATGACCATGACCATGGCCGTCCCCGTCCGCGTCCGCCGTCCCCGTCCGCGTCCCCGTTCACCGTCCGTTCACCATCCCCCCGCATTACTCCCCCCAAATGCCCGTGTATGTATATCCCCCAAAAGCATCGTAAAGCAAACTCCCATACGCCGCGTGCCCGTCCCGCCCGTCTCACTACGCCCTCACACCCCCACCACCCCCATTGGGGCTAGTTTTCCTCGCGTCCTCAATCATGTTGTAGATTCCCTTCTCCTTAAGCGCCTTGTTGAGACACGTCTTGTATTCCTTGAACAGCTCTTCGCATTCCTTTGAGGGCTCGGTCGAGCCGCGTAGGTACTCTTTTCGTCCGCCAGCACACGTTAGTCCATTTTCTTCCTTCTTTCGACGGCGGTGGAGGACGAGGAGCAGGAGGACGAGGAGAAGGGAGCACTGACTTTCCGAATACCAGTTGATGAAGCACGTATCGTAGCGCTCCTTTCGCTCGGAGCATTCCTGGCATGGGAGGACGTTGTTAGCCGCTTCACGGAAGAAGTCTGAGAAGCGTGCGCGGTGGTGCGTCATGGCTGTTGGGAGGCGCGATGATGGTGGTGGTGGTGGTGCTAGGAGAGGTGCTGACGGTGGTGATGGCTTACGGGCGCGAGTGATGCCGACATCTTTTCTTCTTCTGCTTCTCCTGTGGAGTTTCTTTATATCCCGTGCTGGTGCTGGAGGTGTAGTGTGTGCTGGTGGTGGTGGTGGTGGCGGCGGTGGTGAACGGTGGTGTGGTGTTTCGATGTCGTATGATGGCTAACTGTGGAGAAAGATGGACGATTGCAAGGTTTGAGATGAGGTGCTGTCTGTCGGAGCTATGGGCTGCCGCTAGAGTCACCCGAGGCTTGCATGCCACCTCGTCTCGGCCCGATCCACCGAGCGAGAGAGAGATCAGGTCACCCATAAATCACGAACGAGGAGTGCGGAGAAATTATCGGAACGGGAGAGCGGGTAGGAATCTGCAGCCTTGCGTCGGTGCCGGCCGGACGGGCGGGGTAATGGCAAGAAGGCGGAGAGAAATCTCCTGATCGCAGCTGCACGCGTTGGGGCATCACAGCCAGCACCTCGAGACAGAAGCTTCGCTATGAGGAGTGGGTGATGGTGGACACTCCAAAGAACGCCGTGATACATACCAACTATACGCGTTTCTAACCCAGCCAACTATCGTACAAGCACACGTCCTCTAAGACTAAGATAAAAAGAAGCTACAATCAAGTTACCAGTCCGCAACCCAGTAAAGCCCACACGGATCCAGATGAAATAAAACCAAATGCACAAACGCCATCCATCGGCCCTCCTAGGCCCTAGAGCTCTCCCCGGACTTTGCGGCCGCCTGTCCCTCCTCGACCGCCGCCACCGGCACCATCTCATACTCCCCGCGGGCACCCTGCTCTCCGAGTCCGAAGCTCATCGGCCGCAGCTCGCGCCAGCGACATGCCCATGTTCCCCCGCCGATCATGAGCACGGTAATAGCAACCTGTAGCGCCCACCAGAGTACCGAGCGTGGAACTTCGTGGTCGTAGAGGCTTACCACCATCAGGTGGAGGAACGTGCTGGTGAGCGAGAAGTCGAGGACAAGCTTGGAGCGGGCGATTACTAGGAGTTGTGCTACGATCCTGTATTGCGGTATGCGTGTTAGCCGGTGCAGTGAGAGAGCGGGGAGATGAGGGGTGAGAGGGGCGAGGGTACATGAAGAGCCCGCATAGGAGCCACACGACGCCTAATGTCCACCCCACGGTTGTATCCCCGCGTACAGCACGCCAACTAAAGATCAGCGAGATGCTGAAGGGAGTGCCGGCGACGAGCGCAGCGAAGAGAATTAGGAGTGTTGCGGCGAGGTAGTAGATGCTCTGGAGCAACACGATATGCAGGAGTGTTCGTAGCGGCTGGAAGGGTTCCGAGGCGTTGCGCCGGAAGCGACGGCGCCGTTGAGGTTTCGCCATGGCACGCGTATGTGCTTCGTAGAGATGCGAAGCTGTTGTGTGTGTGGTCGCGTTGTAGTTTCGTGTAGTTCCGTGCGGTGGTAGCTGGGTATGCTACGGTATGGTAGTGAGCAGTGGTGGAAACGATGGAGGAACCTTGTCCGCTTCGCTGCGGATGACGATGATCGTATTCAAAGCCACGTTTCAAACCGTGTAAACGCCCAACTGGTACTAATTATCGCTCAGCCACAAGTAGCATCAACCGATAGATACTCCAACTACACCCGCCGGAGAAGTCTGGCGCTTTCTGGAGAGCGGCTATATTAAAGGGGAACCCCGCCACTTGCCGCCCGGAGATGATGAGGCCGGGCCGAGAATGCGGGCCAGTCTAGCATTCTTATGTAACCCTGGCCTCCGTGGGATAATAGCGTCTCGGTTACACACACCGATCACAACGTCATCCACTCAGTTCAACCCGCCCCTCCATCACCGCTCCTACCTCCACCTCCACAATCACAACCACAACCACACCGCCGACCACAAGCTCATAATGGGACTGTTCGGCTCCTCTACGCCCGCGGGCCTACCGCCTCAAAAGATCGCACCGAACCGCACGCAACGAGCGGCCTGCTGGGAAGCCCGTGACGGCTTCTTTGCCTGCCTGGACGCCAACAACATCATCGACGCGATCAAAGAAGCTCCCAAAGCGAAGAGTGCATGCGGCGCGCAGGAAGTCGCATTCGAGCGCGATTGTGTCGGCAGCTGGGTATGTCCCGACTCGACGGAGAGCGGGCGGGGTGGGGGTGGTTGCTAACGCGCGAGCAACATAGGTCGAGTACTTCAAGAAACGGCGCGTCATGGAACATAATCGTGAGCAGATGTTAAAGGGGCTGCAGAATGAGGGCGCAAAGCAGATTGATGTTCCGCAGCCTGTCGGACAGGCGCAGACGAGTCCGAAATAACGGTGCATGTGGAGGAGAGGGAGGAGGACGAGGCCGAGCCGACGGAAGTGTACGATATCCTCTGCTGCTCGACAGAGTGAGCGTACGGAGGGATAGATGATTTGATGCTTGTACAATATTTTGGCTCTGAAAAACGGTTCCTCATTGCAACGGGAATAGACAGGCCACTGTTACTATGGCTTTCTGGTTTTTGATTTATTATTATTGCATTCGACCCTATTAGATCATGGCAGTTACAAACCGGTTCCTCCCCACTGTCTGACCCATAAACCGGCAACTCGATGTGAGCTTCCCAATCCCTCCACCGGATCTTGTCACCATGGCGAGAGACTCATCGCATAGCACTCTACATAATCACCAGCAAAAACGCATGAAGTACGGACGATGTATGTAAAATTTCCTTTTCATCTATGTACCCCAACACCAATCCCAAATCCCGATCCTCCCATACCTGAGTGCCTATCCGGTGGCTAACGCCCATCCTCGGAACCAGACGCAGCCACATAACCTTGCTTGAACCCCCAAAAATCAAAATCGACGCCCCCAACCCGGTATCCCAGTATCCCAATCCAGTATCCGTCTATATAACAATCCCCCACCGTTTTTTTCCTTTTCGGGTGTTCGTGCGAATCATGAATCATGAACGGCCAGCGCAGCCAGCCAGCAGAGCAAAACAAAACCAAAAACCTTCCCATCCACCACCTATTCCGTGTATGTACCAGCACCACGCTCAATCCGACGGAAATCAACCAGTGACTCCGTTCCGGATCAAGCATTTAGACGTATTCCCAAGTAATGGCCACCCGTCCCTGATCGGGGTCCGCCAGCTGGTTGAAAGCAATCGGCGAGAGGTCGACATCATTAGGAGCCTATAGATTAGGTATTAGCCACAAAGCCCTCCATAACTATAACTCAATAGGTAGGGAAGAACTTACGCAAGATGCACACAGGTCGACAATTTCAACTTCGATTTGCTTCCCGCCGCAGGACACGCGGATCCTGTTGCCGCACTCGCCCTTGCCCCGGCCAATGGCCACCGCAGCGATCATGTCGTTCGGCCCGTTAACTCGCCCGCAGGCCCCGAGGCCCGGCTCGTAGAATGTTGCTTCGCCGGAACCACCGGAGGCCCGGCTGGTGAGCGCTGAGGCGAGGGTCTTGGGTACTGCTGCCGGCACTGGGGCGGCGAGGTTGAGGGAGAAGAGGGACAGGAGGAAGATAAGGGGGAGGAGGGAGTAATGCATGGTGGTGGTGGTGGTGGTGGTGAAGGAGGACGAGGAGGAGTGAGGTAAGGGTCTTAAAGTTTTCCTTGGAAAGCTTAAAGTAGAAGGATCGTGGTGGATGTAAGTGCTGCTTGACGAGAACCAGTCTTGTTTGCTTGCTGAAGAGGAAGGAGCTTGAGGATAGAAACGGGATTTCAAACGGGGAAGGGATAGGACTTATATACGCCTGCTCATCTACACATACATGGCGCCAAGGGGGGAGATGGAGTATATCTGCCGCATCTACCAACACCACTGCAGGTACATTCGATCCACATCCAATCACCGGTAAGCCACGATGGACAGGCACTGGTGAGACTTTTTCTCTCCTTGCGGTGGGCCCGGAGGAGTGGTGGAGGCAAAGATTAGCCCAATCCCATCCATCGGGACTGGCGCTGACCAGTGACCATGTCAGTGCACGAATATGTACACAAATCCCCTCGCTCCAACAACTCCGACGGCGCATTTTTTTCTTTCGGGCGGTACATAGAACAATTCACATCCCACCGCTGCGACACCAGGATGGAAATCATGATTGAGCTTTTGCTGTTCGTTGTCCACGGCGATAAGAAGCTTTGAGTTTATGTACATGGTTGATTTTAAGCTCAAGCTCGTATTGCTGGGTCAAGCTACTATGTTGTATAGTATGATCGGGCCATCCAGAGTACATTCCTCGCCTCTCCGCTGACTTCCCCGTCCTCATCCTCGTACTCTTCATCCTCCTCCTTGCGAACAAAACCTCTCCTCACCCCGCACCTCCAGCAGACACAGCGACCCCGCATTGTCTGTATCTGATACCTCCAAGACAGGCGGCAGCATAACGTAACGATTACAATAATACGAGAGTACATGTTCCGTTTCTCATTCTCGTCGCAGAGTCGCAGGCAAGCCCCAACACAATCCATACCTACCTGGCGGCACTTGGACCTACCATGGTATTCCACCATGTGGGGTGGGGGCGGGGGGGTGTGAGTGGATCTGACGTTGATTGGCGCCGGGGAGTTTTCCCGACCGGAACGGGAGGGAAGATCACTCAGGAACCAGGAACGTCTCCTTCCAAGCCGCTGGTCTGGCGCAGCAGTGCCGTGGGTGTGTGAAGAATTTTACGGAAAAAGCAGCGAAGCAGAAATGGACGGGAAGGGGAAGGTCGCTATCGAGCACACAAATCAGAGTGGAGCAAGGCGTCGTGATCGCACGATTATGGCCGTGGTTCTCATGAGCATGGTGAGTTGGAGACGATACCTACCTGTTACTGTGCATACGGTACCTACTTCCTGTTACTGCGCATACGGTACCTACGGCCGAGCGAATGAAGCGCTGATGCTTTCCGTTCGGGTTGCTCCTTGTTTGCAGCGTACCTATGTATGCACTCTCTCCCCCACGGCCACCGTGGTGTTCTAGCCCTCGACGAAACCGAACCGGAAACAAAGCCCTCGCTCACCAGTATACCTCGATTGGCCGCCTTGCCGACGAAGGGGAAGTGGGGTTCGTGCACTGCAGATGAAAAAAAAATTCTCCTCTCTCTCCCGACCGCCACTTGTTTCAGCGATTCGCCCGCTGACGACTTGCGCTAGTTGCCTACTCTACGTGGTCTACTTGCACGCGAGAGGAAGACGAAAGGAAGAAAAGGAATGGGAGAGGAATGGGAGGAATCCCCCCCCACCCGTGCATCGCGCGCTGCATGCAGGTACAGAATTTTCATTCGCTGTAATATCGGCCACGGTCGGTCGGTTGAACGCGTGGGTGGGCGCTGGGTGAAGGGGGGTGATACGGCGGCCGTCGCAACTGCCGCTGCCCTCGCCTCGCCTCGCCTCGCATCCGGACACGCGTCCATGGCTAGCTGCGTTGAATGGCGCACCGTGGATGCGAGCCATGGGACAATTGGGACTCTCCCAAACTCCCATTCGGCGGGGAATGTTCTCTGTCCGCAGCGGTGGTGGTGTCCGATGTGCCCGCTGGCTGACGGTGCGCATAGTAGGTACCTACGGGGTATGTATGAGCATCCTACGTGTACATCAATGCTTGGTGATAGCGACGTCGGAGGCGGATCGACATCCTGAAGGTGCATGCATTTCAGCCGTCTTCGACCTATCTTCTCCGGCTTGTCGGGTCGACGTCAATGTATCGAGTACAGCGTATATCCCTCATATACCCGACCACAAAGAGAACAGAAGCCAAGATCGATATCGGTAAGCAAGCCTTGCCATGGTAAAATGTGAAGTTCTACGACAGTATGATGTCGGCCGTGCGGGGTAGACAGTAGACGGATGCCGAGGAAGGGCACTGCCGAAATATTGCCTATTTGTGTCCGCATCGATTCTCCGCAGTGCTTTGCTTGGGAAATGGTCATGCGTGATCTCAAGACACAAGAGCTGTCCGCATCGACTTCTCCGCGGTGCTTTGCTCGGGAAATGACCATGTCCGAGTGCGAGACGGCACTTCCATCTCGCACGAGAGGATTGTTCCTCAAGTTCTGCGATTGCACTCCGCTGTCGTGTGGCTGTTTGATACCAGGTCGAGACCTGTGCCGCCATGTCATTCGGATCCAGGTATATACTCCATCCCGCATCGAAGCGACGCTTACTGATTGGTTTGGCAGTGGAAAGGCTTGACACAATACGAACGGGGATAGATAGGTATGGAGGAACCAATTCGCGAGCCCCGAATGTCCCTCCAATCTCTCGCTGTCGTGATCATCCCAGGGAAATACGAGGCTTGTGGTCGAGACCGTGCTCTACCTACTTGCATGTGGTCACACTCGCTCCCCCGGATTGGAACTGACGGATACGGGCGACCACCATGCAAAGGTGTGCACCGTGCGGTCGTACCTATCGAACCGATCGCGGGGTCAGCAAACCGCGGTACTTGATTTTGGTGCTCGGCTGGGGGAGACGAGTACCTGAATTGCAATCTTGGCTAGTTGTGAAGACAAGGCCGGATTGGGATCGATGGAGGAGGAGCGTAGTCCCACCACACTCGCTCGTGCTCGCGGTCTAGAATCCGGGGCGGACGAGTGTTGAATGTGTTGGGAATCGATCATGGTGGTGATCGTGTTGGGATTGTTGCTGTTCTTCAAGCACTGATATCAGCCACTGGATATCGGCCGTGACCGGCCGGGCCATACCGCCTAGGTAGGTAGTTCGGGATTTTATTCCGAGTGATGCTGCGTGGAGTTGCTGTGAGGTCGTGCTCCGCTTGCGTTTCGTGTTCAGCTTTGGATAGAGTATTTACTCTAGCGAGCGAACTGACGGAAAGCGCTGGGGTATTTCACCAGGCCATTCCTTTCAAGTACGCATACAAGCTTCTTCGTCCACCAATCCGACTCCAGGTGATACAGCTGGAGCCTGCAATATATGTGAGCATTCCCTGTGTCGGCCCAACGCCTCACCTATCAGAATGCCCTCCGCATTTCAAAAACACATATTTGGGGTTCCAGCAAACCAGGATTTCTCATCCCGACCCCATTATCCGTTCCAGCTTGCAGCAGCCAATCACTCCAAAACGCCTCGGTCCTTGAACCCGGAGCTAGGCATTCCAGTGGTGCAGCTCACGGTCTATATACGGACGCTCGTATCGTCTATAGTACAATGATCGAAGCTCGGCGAATCCGTGGAGTCGTGGACACCATTGGGTTGGATTCTGGCCCGACAGAGCCTCATGCCCGTGTTATAGTGCTGCTGAAAATTGAAAGCCAATGACGGCCTACGGCCTACGAGATGTTTGATTAGGTATGTGATGGTCCTGTACCCCGCTTTTGAATGAATGAGCTGGGCGGAAACAGATGGAATATGGACGGACCAGTGGAAGTGCAAGGAATATATTATACAGCATCGGAAGTTCGGACTACAGGCTTTCAGAACCCGGGGACCCAATAGTTGCGATGGCTGGATCGCATTTCACCACATTTAAATACAGGATTGGTGATATCGAGTAGATATCAATAGAGGCGATGAGATTGGGTATGAGAACTATCCAGTCAACGTGCACAGCAGGGTTGCTAGCTGCCCGCCCCGTATCCTTTCCGTCCTATGGCATAAAGAGAGCTGGATATTTCATCACCATTCTCGGCGAAAGCGTGACCGTTCTCCTCATTGCTCGTCACGACTCACCCTCTTTCGAATGACAAGCAGTACGCAGTAGCAAGTAGAGATATTCAGTCTCCTCCTTACCTCATGAGGGCTCAGGCGCTGTTCTCCCTCCCACCAGGCAGCGGTCGTCCACAGCAGTCATTAATATCGTTGTCGGCGGCCGGCGGCGAACCATAGCTGATGACCCGTCTACCTATGGCCTCGAGAAGTTTCCGTCGGGTATGTAGCCTTACTACGAGTATGATACTTCCCGGCGAACTTCTATGTATGAGCGATATTCAGATCTCCGAAGCTAAGCGGGCCTATTTGATCTATGTACTCTACTCTATATCCCACTCTAGGTCGCATTTGCGACCACCTGGTTATGTAGTTGCGCCGTCGGACCCAACAACCTGAGGATGTAGTTCGGGCGGATGATTGCCCTCTTTGCCGCCTTGCCCCGGATGGACTAGTACGATTGAAAGATGCTTACATACAGATGCTGACGGCAGTTCCACAGGCCAGTAGTCCCCGGCGCATCGATCAAGCGCTACGAGACAGCGGCAAAACCGCTCACTATCGAGCTCTGCTATGGGGTGCGAGGATAGTGCTGCTCTTCTTCTGGAGACTGGCTTACGACACCAGTAATAGTGTCCCTAAAAGTAGGTAGGGGGCTTTCTCATAGACGAGCGGTTCTTGCAACTAACTACGACCGCAGGAAACTCCACAATCGCTGGGTGCTCAAGTAACGAGTAACGTAGATAGCCAGCCGTGGGCATCGGAAGTGCCGGGAACTGTTGGGACTGGGAGAAGACTTGACTTGATTAATGGGATGAAAGAGAAAGACGAGTAGAGGAGACTTGGTACTTTTAAAGGGAAACAACGAGCTCGTGTACCTAGACTAAGGGATGAAGCCTGCCCGGTACCCGAGGCACCACGTAGATATGTAGGTATTTGAGTTGCTTGGTGGAGTCTGGAAACCCGGGCGGTCGTCTCGTCTCTGAAAAACGTTATTTCCTGCTGAACGGATATTGCTGTCGCATTAGGACATGAAGAATACGTATTTTGACCGTGTTGATACTATTTAGGTATGTCACTACCAGTTTGTCCAAAACATGGTAGGTTAGGTATGTAGCACCAGGTACCACATTTCTTACCCTCCCCTTTATACAGTAGGGGATAGGGATGGAGATGTGCTGCGAAAAATAGAAAGCGGATTGCCCATGCGATGCCTCGCAGCGTAACTATCGTAGCACATACAGGAATGAGGAATCAGAAAGCTGACGAAACCCCTCCGCGAACACGACTTTTTGCGGAGTACGCTTACGAAGCGGAAAGGGCCTCACGAAATATGTTGTAAGCCGAATTCTCTCTCGCTAGCTATCTATGATCCGTGCTGATCGGCGACTATGTATCTCCCTGTGACGGCGTTGATAGCGGCCCTGTGGCCCTTCCGAACTGCTTGCCTGCAGGGTTCGGAGGATTTCTCGGGAAGTCGCTCTGCCAATAGTACAGGCACAGTGCCTGGTGCCTGGTGCCACCGGCGAGTTAGCTGCGCGGTCTGCGTTTTGTATTTACATAGTTGTTCCTTCGCTAGCTGGCTGGCTGGCTGCGGTTGCTGGTATGTGAGCGGCGCCAGTCGTCGGTCGTCGGTCGTCGGTCGTTGGCGGCACAGCGGCTCGCAGCTGAGCAGCCACTCTGGGTTACCTAAGCAATATCCCCATCTAGCAAAGAAATACCTATGGTAAAGGATGGCCGTAGTTATTACTAGACATAAGCTACTGATGGTGACTTCTAGAGAAAGCCCGTTTCGTGTGCTATGTATCGTGTGCGGGATGAGTAATTACATAACTCAGTGGTTGCCCTTGTGAATAGAACTTCGCGGGGCATAGAGATGTACCTGCTTTCACGCCCGATGGGGCACTGCATCGTATGTACAACTATGATGAAATTGGATAAGAGGACGAGAAAGTGGGTATTCTATAATAGTAGCTGTTCTCCCGAGTAAAGTACTTGACAAGAGTGGGCGGAGAAGGTAACGAGAGTCGAGACCTGACTATGGGAAGTACCCATCTCCATGACATTTTTAGAGGGGTTCTACCGAGTCAGTTAAATGTTACATGTGGCTTAGATGAGAAGGCTTCCTTCCTTCTGGAGGCTGGTTGGTTGCCTCTCGTCCTCAAGTGAATTCGGCCTTGTATGGGAATCAGCTTTCATACCAATCCTGGACACCCTCACATTCGGACCAGGTCTCATGGAAAAAGACAAATCCCAAGAAATCCAGTGCGACAGGAATGGGATCACTTCTAGAGTACCCAATCTTGTCTCACTGAACTATTTAAGCACATTCCTTCAGGAATTCTGTCCGACATGGAGCACGTTGGCAGATCCCACCTAAACCGCAACCGCCGTCGGAGAATTGAAACCGACGCATCTTGGTTCTGATCTTTGCATGAACAGCGGATGAATCGCATCGGTTCTGCATCTTTTTCGGCTAAAGCCAGGAAGCCAAGGCGACAGGCGCCGCGGCGAGTGACAGGTAGTTCCTTGAAATGGAGCATCGAGGGGTAACTTTCACCTTGCGGCACGGGGAGCTAGGTAACGAACTGGTGACGCATGTGGTCGATGTCGCCAAAATAACCCCGCAGTTTCGGGTATCATATGTATTTTATATATACTTCCCTAATCGGGGTAGATGCTGACTTACCTATCTCTCGGAAGTGTCGTCATGCCTTCGCAGAGGTAATAATTCTCCACTGGTGAGAATTTAGAATGGGTCATCGGGCATAGTGAGGCATATTAGAATTGTATGTGGGCTTATGCCTAGCAGAGTGATTGGCTCAGGCCAGTTGGGCACAGTACATATGTGATCCAGAACGTCGTCCGCAGTGCACATAGGTACACACATGCGTAGGTTATGTCCACAGGTTCCAAAAGGCCGCGCTCTAACTTACTCCAATTTCCCACCACCGCCCACCTTGGAAGCAGGGTACCGGCCTATTTGGAGCAGATGCATATGTACCCCATTTCTGGGGCGGGAAACCTTATGGACGGATCCGATTCAACCGAAACTTGGTCTCGGTCTACATACATAAAATGCTTTCATGGGAACCCTTGACCTCCTCAGCATTACGAGTATCACGGTCGGAAGATACCTAATACTTTTTACCACCCAATCTTCCACGGGCAAGAAACACATGTGCCCATGGGATCGCTATCCTGCATTTCTGGCTACCCAGGTCGTACCGCCCATGTGTACGTACATATGGATGGGTATCAATGTTTTCTAACCGAGGGTCCCTGAGTCTGGTAAGCGGCAGGAGGGGGCGAGACCGTAGGGAGTTCCGGCCTGACGTGCATGGATAATTAGAGTATATACTTAGATACCCAGTACGAAAGCTAGAGGCCTTGCGAACTTCGTTTTCGCTCTTCGCTCTGCAGGGATGGACTCGCTGGACGTTCGGACAAGCCCTCTCCTCCGAATTGAACTTAGCTCCCGCCTTCCAATAAACAACGGGCCTCAACTGGCGATTCGGCACCCTTCGACTCTCTTGCACTCGAATTCGCACGACAATGGCTTCCAGTTACGGGCTCGAGAAGGAGACAGCTGGCAGTCCTGCCCCAAAGGACAACGACGACATCTCGAAGCTCGAAAACCCCGACATCGACACTGGCGACTGTGCACTCGTCACTCTCGAAACTGGCGGTGGTGATTACGCCTCCGATCCTTACATCTCGTTCCGCCGTGTGGAAGCCGTCAACGTCTGTGTTCGTGGCCTTGGTATCGAGGTCGTCCGGAAACCCGCAGTTTCGAGGCTATGGAGTCGGGAGAAGAAGAAGAAGAATGAGAAGGATGACGAAGAACAAGGCAAACGGGAGACGAAGATTCTGGACAATGTTTCGGCGGACATGCCCGCGGGGCAGCTCATGGCCATTATCGGCGGAAGTGGGAGTGGAAAGGTATGCAGCCTCCAACGTTATCTTGATAGCTGACGGACGAGTGTGTTGACTCAATCGGTGCCTACAGACGTCGTTGTTGAACGTCATGGCACACCGCATGCGAGGCCAAAATCTCCAGATAACCGGAACGACAACTTTCAACGAGTCCCATAAACTTTCAAGCGTCCGCCACGCATACGTAATGCAACAGGACGTATTGCTGCCACGACTGACGGTCCGGGAAACCCTTCAATATTCGGCCGAGCTACGCCTGCCGTCGGGAACAACCGCAGAGGAACGTGGGCGAGTGGTCGAGGAAATCATCCTACAACTGGGCCTCAAAGAGTGTGCCGAGACACCGATTGGAGACAGTATCCACAAGGGCTGTTCTGGGGGCGAGAAACGGCGGGTGTCAATTGGTGTCCAGCTTCTATCGAACCCATCGGTTTTGTTTTTGGACGAGCCGACCACTGGACTGGACGCAACATCAGCCTTTCAACTCGTCCGAACATTGAAAAATCTAGCAAAGAGAGGACGGACAATAATCACAACATTGCACCAGCCGAGGTCCGAGAGTAAGCAACTTTAGCTCTCACGTGTCGGGTAGTAGTTCGAATGCTGACCGAATATCACAGTCTGGGGCATGTTCGATAGGATCACATTGCTAGCCCGGGGAAACGTGTTATGCAGTGGAAGTATACATTACGTTCCGGGATACTTCGCATCGTTGGGACATCCTTTTCCAAACCACATATCACCGCCGGATTTCCTCATTGATCTTGCAGCGATCGATTACCGCAGCCCGGAAGCTGAATTCGAATCGGTTAAAAGGATAGAATCCCTAACGGCATCATGGCGAGAGCACGAGCTTCATGTTCTCACCTTCCAGAAGGAGACAGTCCCTTTGACAACCACCGTATCATCAATTTCTGCTGTAGCAGAGTCTGAAGAATTTGATGAGGACATTCATGGAGGCGCAGCTAAACCAACATTGTGGCGGCAAGTATCAGTACTTACTAGGCGTACGTTTAAAACGACGTATCGTGATCCTATGGGGCTCTCGGGCTGTCTGTTGGAAGCCATTGTGATGGGCTTCGTGGCGGGATGGATTTTCTACCAAACGGATGGCTCACTATCAGGGATCAGATCAAGGCAGGCGGCACTTTACATGGCCGCCAGTCTCCAGGGGTACTTGATTTTACTGTTCGAAACATACCGTCTATGCGAGGTCGATATCCGGGTCTTTGACAGAGAGCATGGCGAAGGAGTAGTGGGGGTGTTTGCATTTTTGGCCAGTCGACGATTTGCCAAGATTTTCACCGAAGATATCCCAGTGCCATTCTTATTCTCTGTCAGTACCCATATCTGGATCGTTGAACCTTGGCTGACCGTGGCTCCCCCCACCCCGATAGGTCATTTACTACTTCATGTGTGGATTCGACAATGATGCCGCACAATACTTCACATTCTTCGCTATTATCCTCGTCGCACAGTACTTGGCAATAACATTCGCTACCATGTGTGTGGGCTTCTCGCGTAACTTTCCCGAAGCTTCTCTCATTGGAAATTTGGCGTACACGGTCCAGGTCAGTTCCTTTCATCTCACAAGAGGGAAAGCTTTATGGACTAACATACACCTGATACTCGTAGAGCATGGCCTGTGGATTTTTCATCCAAGCGAATACAATCCCTGTGTATGTCCGATGGACCAAGTACATCAGTTACAACTGGTACTCTTTGGGAGCATTAATGGCGAACGAATTCACTGATTCGTTTTACGACTGCCCTCTTGAAGGTGGCCGTGAAAATTCTGGCTGCCTCGAATACGATGGAAACTATGTTCTGAGGTTATTGGACTTCCCCAGAAATTGGATCAGAACACCAATTTTAATCGGCCTTGCCTGGTTGTGCGGCTTCTACATCATTGCAGGACTGCTATTTCAATTCTTCACTGTCGATATGAATGTTTCCTCAGTCAAAATCAACGATGACAAAGACCGGTCAGCAGGAAAGGAGAAGCTGTCTACCGCAGAGAATTTGCAAACTCATAGGGTGGATGTCGTTCTCGACGACTACAAGCTCACATTGAATAAACCTGGTTTCTTTGGCAAAGGAAAGATGGAGCTCGAGATACTTAAAGGGGTTTCAACCAGGTTCGAAGCTGGAAAACTGAACGTTATAATGGGACCGTCTGGAAGCGGTAAGGTAAGTAACCTGATCAGCGAAGTTTTAGTAGTCATACTAAAGTTTACTCTCCGTGCAGAGTTCATTGCTCAATCTGATGGCACGGCGCCTACATAGCTCCTTTACGGCCCGGTATAGTTCCTCGGGACGCATGCTATTCAACGGATCATCACCTTCCGCTTCGGTGATTCGATCTTTATGCTCGTATGTCACGCAAGACGACGATGCGTTGCTGCCATCGTTGACAGTACGAGAGACCCTTCGATATGCCGCCGCATTGCGATTGCCTAGCACAATGTCCGCTGCGGATAAGAAGCGCAGAGCAGAAGAGATCATTCTCAAGATGGGATTGCGAGATTGCGCGGATATAATCATTGGCAGCGAGTTTCTAAAGGGGATATCCGGTGGACAGAAGCGACGAGTATCTATTGCTGTTCAGATTCTGACAGAACCAAAGATCCTACTCCTCGATGAGCCGACGTGAGTTCCCTTGATACACGTGAAATATCACTGCTTCGTGTCTCTGATTATACATTCTGATAGATCTGGATTGGATGCATTCACCGCTGGCTCCATCCTGAACGTCCTTCGAGGTCTCGCCGATGAAGGTCGTACAGTGATCTGTACAATCCATCAAAGCCGGAGTGATTTGTTCGAGAAGTTCGGCAATGTTCTCCTCCTAGCCAGGGGAGGTTTTACGGTGTACTCTGGGAAAGCCGCGCAGATGCTGCCATACTTCTCATCCTTAGGACATGAATGTCCGAAGAACTGCAACCCCGCGGACTTTTGCCTGGATATTGTGACGGTGGACCTGCAGCATGAAGATCGCGAAGCGAAGAGTCGTATCAAGGTCCAAAATCTGATCTCCCGGTTCTGTCATGCAGATGCATTGGCGGGCGACGGCGGAAACGAGAGCGGAAACCTGAGTATTTCTCTTCCCGCAGAGCTCGGACAGATGAGGCGGGACATGGCGCCATTATATGTCGCATATCCTATTCTTATGAGGAGGAGTCTGCTCAATATCAGAAGACAGCCCCCGCTCATCGTGGCCAGAATCATGCAGGTCCTGGGACTGGGTATCATAAACTGTCTCTTCTTTGCACCCCTCAAGAGTGACTATTATGCCGTACAGAACCGCATGGGATTTGTCCAGCAGTTCACTTCACTTTACTTTGTTGGCCTTCTGCAGAACATTGCGATCTGTAGGACTCACCTACCCTTTGAGATGTCTCTCTTCTGCTAACCTATCGGGAAACGCAGATCCCTACGAACGAGACGCTTTCTATAAGGAGAATGACGACCGGGCGTACAGTACAACATCATTCTTTCTCGCGTACACAGTCTGCGAGGTACCATTCGAAATTATCAGCTGTCTCCTCTTTTCCCTCCTCGCCGATCTAGCCGTGGGACTGCCTAGAACACCCGAACTGTTTTTTCTGGTATCAGCCGTCGTCCTATGCATAACAAATTGTGGCGAGTCACTCGGCATAATTTTCAATACCTTCTTCCAACACACCGGGTTCTCCATCAATGTCACTTCCACGATTCTCAGCGTCGGAGTGGTCATGTCCGGAATCATGAGCACAGACATGCCCGCCTTTCTGGATGGAATAAACTACATCAGCCCGGTCAAATATGCGGTGCAGTGTTTGGTGCCCGCCTCTCTCAAGGGAATCAAGTTCACTTGCGAGGACTGGCAAAAGCTACCCAGCGGACGGTGCCCGGTGGAGAATGGCGACGATGTAATGAGACTATATGGTATGGAGGGCTATACGCCATGGAAGAATCTGATCATCATGCTTGGAATTACGGTGATTTACCGGCTGGTGGCGTATTTGGTGGTGCTTGCGAAGAGGTCACAATGGGGGATGGGAAAGAGTACGGGAGGATGATCATAATAGCGGCGGTGGATATGGGAAGGTACATTGTAATGGTTTTAGTTACCACATCGAGATTTAAAGGAGAATCGGAAAGGGTACGGGAGGGGGAGCATAGAGAGATGGACATGAGAAGGCAATGGTTTTATTCACCTATTACAACTAGATTCAAATACCATCTCTATTTTGAAACCCCATTTTAGTTCGGGTGGTCTTGGTACTATCCTCAGATGTCATTTTTTTTATGAAGGTGAAAGATGGCCATTTCGAGCTAAAATTTCCAGTAACTACCTAAATCTCAATGGGGTTTCCGGTGGAAACGACCTTATTTGCAGTTATGGTGTCTCAAAAAGCGCCCTGATTGCCAAAACAAGGCCATTATTCGGTTCGTAAACAGTGGTGATATATTTCTTCCATGGTATTCAGTCCTCAACAGCCTGCAATCAGCAAAGAGTGAAGGTTAGAAGTCATTCAAACGCAACGAGCAAACTAGGCGGCTAATGCCGGTAAGTGGCCCTAGAACGCGCTCCCCAACCCATGTTGGATCATCCTTCTTCCTACCCTAGAAACTACATCCTTAAGCGACATCTTCAAGACAGTCCGCCACATCAAGTTCTAGTTACATCCAACCCCGCCCCGCCTTCCTCCAATACATCCACGGCTCCATCCAAAATGGAGGGTGTCACGACATCTTCGCAGCATCCCATACTTTCAATATTCGATATGAGCAAAAGGAACTCGACTACATTTGTCTCTCTTCCGCCAGAACTCATCCTCCGCACCCTGGTCTTTGTCGCGCGTCACGGAGGAGTCAAAGATCTTGCACGCCTGCGACTGACCAGCAAAACTTTCTACATCCTCCTCTCTGATTTGGGGCCTCAGAACGACAGGCGGATCTGGCGTGAAGTAGCCGTTGCCCTTCTCGGCGGCATTACGCCCACGGCCCTCACGGTCGAGAGCACCTGGCAGGAATTTGTGAAACGAATATGGGTCCTCTCGAAGCCCAACAGGAAGGAGATGCATAGCGACGGCAAGCCGCGCCACATGCGCGAGATCGGCCAAGACGAGGTGCTGTACACCGGGCACAACGGACCGTTCCCTGCGCCAGGCAAGACGGAAAATGACGGGGACCTGCTGGAGTACGAGGAGTACGCCAATTCGCTACGGTGGACCCAACGGAGAATGCATCCCGTGCCTGCGGGCGCCACGAGGATCATTGACTTCGCGCACTCCGGGACCGAAGGAACGCGTGGCGACAACGGCGGCATCGCTTATTCCGGGGCCGATTCGGGCGCTTTCTTCACCTTTTCGGACGTGCCGGAATTCTGGCACGACATGGGCGGGATCACCGGAAAGGGATACTTCGTGGCGGACATTGAGGCTGCCAAAGCGAAGAATTACTTGGTTTCTGGTGGCGTGCAGGATGTCCCGTGGCTGAGCGCTGCAAAAGCAGAATTCGTGAACGTGGAGGGATTCACAGAGTGGATCAGAAGCTGTGTACGTGAATCGGATCTCTATGACGTCAATTCTTGCTGACGGACTCTTCCATAGGTCCACTCCGATGCAAACCTGAACCTCGTGCCCTTGACCAGAGAACTGGGTGATGTTGGTCTGTCTTATTTGGCCGTTTCCAAAGTCGAGAGATACTCAACGCCGGATGTGGTTGACAAGGTTTGGGAGTTTGTACACGATGACCAGGAGCCAATATGGTCAGCTGCACAGGATTCCACCGACCCTACCGAATTGTTAGGACCGTGGGGGCCGTGGGGCAATGACTCGAACTGGGAATTCCGCTCTGCTGGGGATTACCTTGTTATCTGCGACGATAATGACGGAAATAAGGCATCAACTATCAAATGCTTCGTCCCTGGAAAATCTGTAAAACCACATTGGCAGCGCAAGATGATCCAGAGGATCGGCAACCGCACATTTTTTTGGGATAATGATGGCGTGAAGATGAATTCTGCCGTTGTTGCCTTTGCCTCAAGAAGCAAGCGAAATTTCGTCCCGTCAAACCACGTCCGCTCCGGTGCTAACAACCTCCGTGTGATGGAGTTTGTTCTGTTATCGACACAGACGGGAGAAATCTTACACATTCTCAATATGCCGCAAGAGTATGGGCCATTGCCAATGGAAGATGGCCGAAGTGTTTGCATGTGGTGTTCCTTTGCGCTCACCGAAACCCTCCTCGCTGCAACTGTTGGTGGTAGGATGCGGAATGGAGCCGATACTACTGGCCGTTATGAATATCGAGAAGCCCTTGTTTGGAATTTGACGGCTACCTCACGTACTCTTAGCCCCACCTACGCGATACCTCTGCTGAAGACGTGGGACCACGCGGAGACATTTGTGGCTTTGTCAGCTGACGGAAGATGGCTCGGCATTCAGGGCGACTGGGAACTCGCCGTCGTTGACCTAGCAAAACAAACTCCAGTAGGGGTGTGGAGAATCACGCGGTCGTCGCGGGACAGGCAGTCTCAGGAACCATGGGAAATCGATCGCACTCATGGATGGAACGGGGTGTGGGTTTCATACCGAGATGTGTATGAGGACTCTTCCTCTTCCGAATCCGAAACGCCCCCGTTAGATCCTTTGGGAACCGGGACCGGGGATCCGTATTCGCCATCTCCAATATACCATACCTCGCGAGACGACAGTGGCCGGAAGGTGAAACACCACGTTGCATACATCAGCAGCCGAGTTTTGCGCCATATCATAGACCACAACGAAATAATGAGGGACTGCGAGGTAGCATTGAGGCCGGCCGACTTTGAAGTTCTTTCGGAGGCTGGCACTGTCTCCTATGGGGACCACGAATCCGAAGATGACGATGACGACGATGGAGAATCTGTGTACGATTACGAGGACATGCTTGACGAGACCGACACCGAACAATACGATAGCGACGACATGATTCTAATGAGGGCCAACTATACTCACGATGAAGAAGACATGTGGACAGACACCGACGAGAGCGTCCAGAATGGAGAGGAAGCGGGGAATTCTGTCGGAGCATTTGAGGACGGTATGGAAGGATGGGGCTATGACCCGGTTGGAGTTCTGCCCGGTGAAGATATCGGATGGGGGCCAGCGCCTGAACCTGAGAGCATAGGGTGGGATGTTGAACCGCCGACAGAGACGACCGAGTGCGGAGACACATACGATGACCAGATCATGCAACAAGACGACGATGTAACCGTTGCCCATGAAAATACAGGTTCAGGCTACGACGATGCTGAGAACCACAACGACCACGATCACGATGTTATCTGCGACGCCATCACTGGAGAATTTGCCTGCGATGGCGGATACGAAGAGGACCACGATGTTACCTGTGACGACGTTGACGATTATGCCGGCGATAGTGAATGCGAAGAGGATACCGAAGATGACACTGACTATGATTAAGAAGGTGCACGCTACTGATGGGGAATACGGGTTTCTGTCTTCTTGATTCGTAAATTCATGCTATTCTACATTTTTTTAGGGCTGGGTTGTTTCAATGGGTTGAATCTGCGCGTTTACGATGGGTTTCACTTGTCATTACTATTAAGACCGTCACATTTGTCGTTCTTTCTTTCCTTGTGATTTTTTTTTGTCTTTGGCACAATGCGTGAGAGGTGGGAATGGGTTGCTCTGGCTTGCAAATGGATTTAATTTTCTGCAATCTGTGCTTTGAATACGACAGAAACGGGTATCCCCTGAATCGCGACCCAGCCCGGGCTCTCAAGCCTGGACATTTCATTGCACACTTATGCCTTTTAATCGCTGGCAAAACAGAAAAAATCTGTAATAGAGGTGTTTTTTTAGAGACTAGCATGGGTCTTCCTCATTTCATACCCCTTAAAAATGAGTGCTATGATACCTATTGAGAGGTGGGAACGACGTTTGTCCGCGCAGTCGGATTCAACCCGTTTATCACAGGTAGGCCTTACAAATTCTAGCTAAGCCTTAGTAATGTCGGATTATCTCCGGATCAGAGGTACTCTGTTATCTTCACTGGTTCAGTACGTGACCGTGGTCTTCGGGTTCGGAAGTCGTTACATACAAGGCCTTAGGGTACAGGGAATGGGATGAGGCCTCTTTAGTTAAATGCGAGTGTGCTTGTAAACTTGCTATTAGCACAAAGTGCGGCTCATTCTCACTGGTAATTCAGGCTTCTGCCAGTAAATTGGCCGTTTTTCCTCATAGCGTACAAGTTGCCATGTTTATTTAGGCGGAGCCGAGTCAATGGGCGGTTAGTAGTAATTGCAGCTAGTTTACGATGGTCATATTGGGCTCTTTCACCTAATTTGGCTGTCAATACTAAATGTGACGAATAGACAGAGGTCAGATTTGGTGTTGAGGTGTAAATTGACCATTGGCAGTAAATGCAATGTCTCTCCACAACTCTGTTCGGGCAACCGTTGGTAAAACGATACCTTACCGCTCATTAGGCTTTCGGCTTGAGTGATGAATAGGCCTCGATTTATAAATGGAGCATCATCTCCTTATTCGGCCGGCCCCGCCATGCCCCCCGCCATGCCTACCAACGTTGATGCCCACTACTAACCACATTCGTTTCCTCCCACCGACAGCTCCACCATCACTTCCTCACCTCGCTAACAGCCCCTCCTTCCCTTCCTCCTCTCGCCAACAACTCCTCTCCTCCTTCTCTCCAACAGCTACTCCTTTCCTCATCTCGCCATCAGCTCTTCCATCACTTCCTCATCTCGCCCTTTATACCTTAGAGCCCTTTTAATCCTTTAAGCCTGGATACAGCCTTTTCACAGCCTTTTCACAGCCAAATAGACGCTAATTACAGCCAGAAAACATATAGGAAGCCGATTTAAATGCGTGCCCATTCAACAAAACGGGCCCTGTCCCATTACCTGTACCATAGGGAGGGTTCTCAAAGGCGTTCTGTCCGAGAGTATCCGCGAGCTGCTCCCCACCCATGAAACTCGTACATACCGTTGGCAGCTTTTGTATGTAGCCGTGGGACTCGCTCCTGACTCTTTTTCTTGATTTTGCCGTATGTACATTCAGGGGGGGGGGGGGGGGTAAAAAGTACGTTGTTTCCTTCTCGACGCATATTGATTTCGTATCAGGGCATAAAAAATACGTATTTTGACCGCACTGATACGGCATCACTAGCATTTTCTGATAGATACGTTAGCACTACCATATTTTTTAACCCTCATGACTGTACAGTACATACTATATTGAGAAATGTACTAAAATCAAAAGTCTTATGGAGGCCTTATGAGTTCATCGTGCTTATGGCTGGCTTATAAGAATTATAAATTTTCTTCGGCTTATATAAGGTCTCTTTAGTATGTACTCTACATTGCTCAATAAGGTATGTACCAGTCCTGACAAAAGTTACGGTATGCTAGTTTGACGGGTCCGGATGGGCCCTTGGGCGCAGATTTCGAGAGACGGTAATGATAATTCCGGGCAGTCCTCTGGAAGAAGATGTGATTTTGCTTGGCGGCCTTTACCTACAGGTCCCAGTGCCGGTCTTTACAGATAAGTAAACACCTAGCCGTATAACACGGTCCGGCCCCAGTTGGAGTCTTCCAGCTGCTAAGTTCTAACTATTGGGTGCCCGAGGTGATATGGTTACATAGGATACCCGGGGGATGGTCGGAATTCCTGAAATCCTCCCGTTTGAACTTTGAAGTGACGGATTTCGGCCAGAAGGGGAGCTCAAGCCTCAAGGTCTATTCATAATCCAAGTGTAAGGATTCAGTAACGGAAACAGGACTACGGTGAAAGTGACCCCGTCTAGACACAACCCCTCCTTTGATCCCTGTACCAGTACCGTATTCGCACACTGCGAAACCTTAACTCTAATCAAACTACATGCCCACCTACCACGGAGAGTCCGGCGGCGAAATAGGTATGGTGCATCCGGGACCCTCGGATGTCCGTCCGCCCATCCTCTTCCATTCGGCTCGAGAAAAACGGGCCGAGAGTGAGCCGTGCCGGGCCGGCAGTAGGCCCCACCCAAGAATGCCCGTCCTGCATTTGCAGCCCATCTTCCGACCAATTCCCAAACGTTTTTTTGTTTAATCATCATTCCATTCGACCTTAGTAGATCATAGCAGATTACATATCATTTTCCACTCGGCTGTCACCGACCGCTGGCCGCGAGCTCGATATCGGTTCCCTATTGCTCTCCGCCCAGCCCCAATTCCCAAGCGTTCGATACCAGAACGAGTAGTATGTAATAAAGTCTTTAGCCACGCCGGGCTTCTCGCCATCGAGGCCTCAGTGCGAAATGGCAGTGAAGGGCCGATCCCCACCGGCAACTTGCTGGCGGTACTATGGAGTTCCGATTATCCGCCCTTGGATGGAACTTGGCCCTGGCATGCCTTCGCTGAAGTTTGAACTGCAGATTCCCGCCGCAGCGCTAGTCCCCATCACACGTAAACAGCAAAAAGAAAAACGGCGGATAGTCATGTTGGAAGGTTTTCGCGTGTCGAGACGGAATAAATTTAGCATGCCTTTTTTTGAGTTATTTTTTAATTCTTCATTACTCGCACGCAGCCCATATACTAGGTAATATACTGTAGAATTGAGACTATAGAAAAAAAACAAATACCAAAGTAAATCTGTATTCTCTGAGACTGCTAGAGACCTCCGACATCAATCACACCCTGCTTTTTGCTACTGTAGTAGGCCAATGGCAAGAAGACGCACCACCTACATATTCTGTCCGCTATCTCGGTGGCTAGCTCGAGGTAGCGGATGGAATTAAAATGTTTGGAAACTATTACTGGGAATGTTCAATGGGGAGATTTGGAATATAGAGGTTAGAGAATGGAGAATGCCTGAGTGACGGCTGGTGTCCGGGCTTGGAACGACGACGACGACCCCGGGAAACGGCGGCGGCCAAGAATTGTAGTGTGACCGATAATAGGTACTAACTGCTCTGCCATCGACGCCCGCATTAGATTAGTCACATCGAGCGAGAGTCGATGGTCTGAAATTACTGTGGTGAATTTCCCATACCACCTGGGTAGCCACCGCCACCGCTCCTCGTCCCCGCAATTTACCCCCCTCTCACTCTAACTAATCCATATAGGCCTGGTGTCACCGATGATAATGATTGTATTCTCACTGAACCGGGCAAGGCCAGGCCGGATGGCCGATTCATTGCACAAATCGTTACTCGCATGGCAGCACCTCGGGGCGAATTCGACAAATGTGAAGGCCGGTATGTACTCGAGTACGGTAGTGGACCGCACACATCAAGCCAAAAACAACTCTGGAGGGCAGTGCTCGACTAGACACGCAGGTGTTTGCGGTATTCCAGGCAGATGCATCGCAAACATGCGTAAACATCAATGCGGGAATGGTCGATGGAGATCAGCGGGGGAAAACTCCGTATGGCCGAATTCTTACTCTCAAACTTCACCTCGTCGTATGCAGATCCCCCCAGCCCCCCCTCTTGCAAAAGTGCTAAGGGAATGAGAGGAGGAGGTGTCAGATGCAGATGACAGCGGTGCAGTCCACTCCCTTCCTCCCTGCGCGCGCTGGGCGTATGGTAGGTAGGTATCCTCCCGTCTCCTCGCTTTAGCAATCGCTTTGAGACATGAGATACCGTGAGATACACTCGAGCCCAACGGCGGGATGCTACCGTAATCGGCTTTGCCAATCGAGATATTTCTGCCTGTACGCCTTTTGTTCTAACAAGGCAGCGGCGATTGCATCCGCAGTCAGCAGTGGTCACTTGAGACACCATCTCCGCTTCGCGGAGCTCGAAAGAATATGGCGGCCAGCTCTTAATGGAACCTCCCGCATCCGGGGGTGGGGACTTGGCACACGTCAGCAATGGCAGTCAAACACGCCACGATAGAGCGGGGATAGGTCAGGACTCAGAGCATCGAGAGCGCAAAAATGGACGCGCGACGAGCCGAACGCGCCTGAGGTCTGGCTGGCTGGTACACAGGGTGACAACTACAAAGACAGCTGAAGAAGACAGCTCAAGCTAAAGGCCAGCGGGAGGCGGGCATGAGAACCAATCGATCCACCACGGAATACCTATCTATCGATCCTTGCCGAACGAGTCCTTCGGAATGACCAAGACCAAAAATAATCATCTAGAACAACACGCACCTTGCTAATCGGCTACAAATCCGACCCAGCCAGCCAACCGTCTTGGCTATATATGCAGATATTCGGCGATGCCATTTTCCCTGGTCCTCCGGTGTTGGTGGAAAGGTCATCCTTCACCGTGATACATACGTACGGTATTATCCAGAAGACCACCACCAACCAAGCCAGTGTGAAACCATCCGCGCCGGGAGCTGAGGCTTTTTTTCTCCAACGAATGAGCCTTATCCGCTCTTGCCGGCAATCTTTTCGATGGGTAGGTACCGTATCACCGTCCCCACTTTTCTTGGGACTCTGCGCTTCGCGGCAGCAGCTCTGCCTGCCTCGCTCCGTACAGTTCCCCGGCCAAAC